TATAAAAATCAAAATTTCTTTGTTTGTTATAAATTTCAAAAGAACAAACAAAATTCTAATTTAATATAAAAATGTTTTTCAAAATTAACTTCAGTTTAATCTTACCCTGAATATAATAATAAAATAAGAGAATATAATAATAAAATAAGCGAATTTCCGAGCATTTACCATTTTTCCCCAATTTTTTATTTTTATTATTTTACATATTTATATATACACAGAAAAAATTTTCTCTTATGGAATTTACTCTGAAAATCATTCTATATAAAAATCAAAATTTCTTTGTTTGTTACAAATTTCAAAAGAACAAACAAAATTCTAATTTAATATAAAAATGTTTTTCAAAATTAACTTCAGTTTAATCTTACCCTGAATATAATAATAAAATAAGAGAATATAATAATAAAATAAGCGAATTTCCGAGCATTTACCATTTTTCCCCAATTTTTTATTTTTATTATTTTACATATTTATATATACACAGAAAAAATTTTCTCTTATGGAATTTACTCTGAAAATCATTCTATATAAAAATCAAAATTTCTTTGTTTGTTATAAATTTCAAAAGAACAAACAAAATTCTAATTTAATATAAAAATGTTTTTCAAAATTAACTTTTTAATCTTACCCTGAATATAATAATAAAATAAGAGAATATAATAATAAAATAAGCGAATTTCCGAGCATTTACCATTTTTCCCCAATTTTTTATTTTTATTATTTTACATATTTATATATGCATAGAGAAAATTTTCTCTTATGAAATTTACTCTGAAAATCATTCTATATAAAAATCAAAATTTCTTTGTTTGTTATAAATTTCAAAAGAACAAACAAAATTCTAATTTAATATAAAAATGTTTTTCAAAATTAACTTCAGTTTAATCTTACCCTGAATATAATAATAAAATAAGAAGTAAAAATTTTTGCGCGAAAGACGCGTCGAAAAAATGCCTTTATCAGATTCAATTTCGCGGTTCGCGAAATATATACCGCGTCTTAAATTAGCGCGCTTGTTTTGGAGCGAAAATAACAACGAGCGGGATGCGAAGGCGGGATGCAGAATGACGAGAGAGGAGAACCGATTCGACGGTCCGACACCCGGAGAGGTATACATCTCCTCGCGGAGATAGGCATCGCCGGAGGAAGAGTTCGGATGTTTACTGCTCCGCGATTCACGAGCGCGATAAACCGCGCGCGGCCCTTATATATGTATATATATGTATACAAGCCCCGGAATGTTTCGCTCTGCTCTTCGACTCGATTCGTCGTCGCCGCAGCCGTAAAATCCTCTCTCAATGAATCCTTAACGCGGGACGACCGAGCTCGCAACAATGAAGAACCCCGTCTCGCTATATATATAATTGACAATGTCAATTTGTACACCGCGTTGCCCCCGAATTATTTTTTAGGATATTGTATTTTCTTTTAAATTCAATATTTTTAAAAAATACAATATCCTTCCAAAATTTTTTACAATTAATTTAATTTATAATAATATTCCATCGCCGAATAATATTCTAAACATTGGACATTGTATATTTGTTCAAATTTAGTTTAATAATAAAAAATAACACTCCAATTCGACACGCTGGCAACAAAACCTTTTATTAAACTGCTACGTTTAGTTTAACTTGTTAACTTGTCTACACCTTTCAACTCACAAATATTATTTTGTTAATTGAATATATAAAAATATTTAAATTAAATCTAACGAAACGCATGTATATTTGACTTAAATACTAATATATGTTCAGAATACCAAAAGAATTAAAAAAAAAAAATTAGTGAAAATAGTAAAGGTATCAGTTTTAACGAAAATATGGAGAAAAGTAATGAACATTAGAGGATAAGGATAGAAATGTATTTTATGATAATGTAAAGAATAACTTGTATCATTGTCAAGAAATGTGAGGTAACATAAGAATAGTTCGTTAAACGGGGAAATGTGAGGAAGACAGGCTAAAAAGAATAAAAAATTAAGAGTTAGATAATAAAAAAAAGGCACTTTTGTGAAAACTTTCGAAAAAAAAAGAAAGAAGGTAGAGAAGATAACAAAACAGGAAAAAAGTAGTAAAGTAGATAGGAGCAGTGGTGATAGAACACATTTGCTGAAAATAAGACTGTGATAAGAATTCATGATATTTAAATTCAGAGTAAAGTTAAAGTCTAATGTAAAATAAGAACATTAGGTTTATAATTAGAAATAATTAGAAAATAAAATGTAGTTAGAGAAAGGATAGTTACGTAGTAAATAAAGAAATATGATTAAAAGGATGACTGAAGATGCGCAGTATGAGTGTGAATTAAGTATTTCTATATAAACCAAGTCCACTTCTTGAGACTTTATAAGTTGAAGGAAAGAAATTATATATATCTAATATATGTTCAATTAACAAAGTAGTAATTTAGTTGAAAGATTTAGTCAAGTTAGCAAATTTTTTTTCAATGCACGCGCGATATATCGAAAGACATGCGTTGCGTCAGTTAAATTAACTCTGTTAATCGAGTCTTAATTAAATCCCGTAATCCTGCTCATTCTGAATGCAATACGAGATTATGCAGTAGATTGAATTAATCAAGAAAAATGAAATAAAAAATAAAAAAAAATTGAAAAACGTGTGTATACATATATACATATATGTAGAACTCTATAGGAATTATCGTTTAATTTAGCTATCGATATTTAATAATGATAAATAAATTGAGATCGTGATTAATCACGCGAGTAATTATGCTACATAAATTGAATTTGATTTTATAATCAATTAAACGACAAGTAAAAATTTCCCATCTACACATATCGCATATTATATACGAAAAGAATTTTCTATTAGATTGAAAATTATAATATATATAATTGTGGGGAGAACCAATATGGTATTTGAAGAATTTTATAAGAGTTTCTCTGACTAATATTTACCACAATAAAAAATATTAATATGTACAAATTTTATATAATAAAATTAATCAAACATATTTTATATTTTATTGTAGTACATATTAATATTTTTATTGTAATAAATATTAATCAGAAAAACTCTTATAAAATTCTTCCAATATCATATTGTCCCATGATTATTTTATCATATTTTTCGGAGTAATTTCTAAGAGAAAATTATAGAGATGAAAGACTGTGCAATGTTTATAAATATAAAAAAATGAAATAATATTCGCGCGCTCCAAAGTTTGTATTCAATTTCATCATGCTTGATATTTAATTTGGCAATTACAAAAAAAATGTAAACAAAAAAAAAAATTTCGTGAAAATTAATACGCGGATCGATTCTCCCGCGATTCGCATGGCGAAATGGAAAATACATTCCGAAAGAAGTCACCCCCTCGTAATCTTCTCTCGTCGCCCGCCCCCTCCTCCCCCTCCCCACTTTCTCCTCTTTTTCTCTCTGCATCAATAATAGTCACCCGATGCGCAGGGTCTCTCAACTCGATTTCCTTCGTAACACACAAACGACCAAATTATGCAAATTCGAGCAGTTGAGACATACATATATACATATATGCATGTGTGTGTGTGTGTGTGTGTGTGTGTGTACACACACACACACATATATACAAATGCATACAAGCGATGCAGATTGCTTTTCCAACAATGTCTCCCGATTTAATTCTCGAAAACGCTCTTCAAGATGTGATCTGGTAATGATATACAATATGATGTTTCTCGAGATGATTACATTATACCGGCATTGCTTATATTAGCGGTGTCACATGTGCGATGATTACACGAACGTCTCGAGTCGACGTTGCGAGTACGAAATATTATGTAATTTTTGCAAGACGGAATAAAAAACGGACGATTGCATGTCTCAGACAATATAAGAGTATATTATATACTCATTCCCCAGTAGTTTTATGCAGAATAAAAGAAGAATAAAATCAGATTCCAGTGTGGAATCGGAATTGTTAAACACAAAAACGCAGACAAAGAAAGAGTAATTTTTACAGCATAAATTTGAATTATTTTGTGGGCAATAAATCTGAATTATCTTGTAGGCGATTTAAATAAATGTGCAATATACATGCGAATATTTAAGATGTTATTAAAAGCGACTCGACTCGAAATTCTATGTAAATTAAGAAACTGTCTCGTGCAAAATATGTTTGTATCGTCGAATTTGTTGTACTCTTTATTTGATATTCATTAAAATGTTGAATCTCATGAGTGGAAATTTTATCATTTTTAGTTTTATTATCTCGATTAAATGGGACGGGACTCGGCAATCATATTTTCCGTCTCGATCTTCCGCACTTTAGTTCCGCAATTACTAATAAACTCGTTTCTTATATTAATTACGTTTTAAAAAAAGGCACAATATGCATATAAAGGAAGTACAAGGCACAAAGAGAAATTAAATGCGAAAACAGTGTAAATGAAACGCACGAAACTATTCTTTTACGACTGAAATGAACGATAATTGGCAAACCAATTTAAACTTTACATTAGCATATGTTAATTGCACTCTTTATATACTTATTTATCTCCTTTTTCTCACAAAAAATGCGGTAGTTTTAATTTTAACGCAAAATGTGAGATAATTATGATAAAAAACCTCAAAATAAATAATTAAAAAAAATATATAATATATAATTTTAAAAAACCTATATATATTATCGCAAATATTATTATTAAATAATTTTTGATTAATGAAATAATTATCGATCCCACTCTATTTATTGTTGCGACTATGACGCTTCGCGAAATGTCAGCATCGCGTCGCGCGAGATCTGTCATCTCGTTGACAGGTCGATCTCGCGTTCTCGCGATCGGGGTCCAGCAGCGACGCCGGGATGCTTTCGCGCGAAAATCTCCGCGAAGAGGGCCCGAGAGGTACCCAGACAACGAATAAAAGAGCAGTACTCCCCAAATTCTACCTATTTGAATCTCGAGATAACGATAGATAGCTAGACAGATGATACACATATAAGGCCTAGGACCGCAGGAAGAGTAGAAACATAAAATCCTCTCGTGAGGAACTCACCCCGTGCGAGCGCTGTCAACAACAAAGCCAACAGGAACAGGACGACGTGAGGACGCGGCTCCTCCATTGGGTCGGAGCTGGTCTGTCACGCACAGACTCCGACGCGCGTCGCTGAGCGTAAAAGGCTCTCTTCCAGCCCGAAGAAAGAGAGAAGAGACGGCGAGGGAGAGAGAGAAACAGAGAGAGTGAGAGAGAGAGAGATCACCGCCTCCAAACACGAACACGATCACCGGCCACCGTAGCACACGCGCGCGATGTCCCGCCGAAGAAACGAACACATGCCCACTTGCGGATATATTCACGTCGTAGCCGGCCGCGAAAGTCTCTTCACCGTCGTCGAGGCCGATCGCGCGACAGGTAGGCTCTCACGCCCGCGGGACTCATTTTCGCACGATAATCTCGCGGCGTATCTGAGCGTGGAACATGGCAAACGGACGAGCGATCGGGACACACTAGTTAGCAGTGATGCCAGTCCGAGGGAGCGATGACGCGCAGCGCGCGCATGCGCGCTAACCTCGTCGCGGATCATTTGAAGTTGGGAGCGAATTATCTAAAAATTTCCCCTTTTCGATGAAGAGAGAGAGAGAAAGTCGATCGATAAAATCAATTGTTTCGCAGTTGCACTTTCACTGCATTTAAAATGACATATAGATTTATCTTAATTTTTTTTTTTAGAAACAACGAAATAAAAAATGTAGCAAGGTCTAAATTACTGTATTTGTTATATCTAAAGTGAAATGGATGCGTAGAATCAGATAAGAAAAGTTTTATTAGATGGAGAGACAGATAAAAGATCGCAGATTTAATAATTTGAAAATGTCATCGATTCAATTTATATATGTAAATAAATTAAAGGAGAGAAAATTAAAATGACAAGATATCTTTACGATGACAGAATTTGCACTGTATGTGTTCCTTTAACCTACACTTTCTCATAACACCTTTCTCATTTACACCTTTCTTTCTCTCGATGCGTATATTTTATTACGCGCGAAATAAATGCAATATAAAATATTAATGAAAAAGAAAACCTTATGTGCAGTCTTCTTTACATAGCAAGACTCGTTTTTCCTCTTCCGAGATTTGCATGATCTCATCTGGTCTCATGTTTACTATAACCTCTTTCTGGTGTTGACAGTCTCCCGGTTGCGTGCAATTTATTATCATAATAATATACAGCCTTCCTCACACATGTATTTTCGACTTTTGACGAAACTTTGCGAGCGATCTTTATATCGCACTTCAAGTAATGTTCGACCTCAAATCAGCAGATTGTGTCATGCTGCGGAAAAAATGAGGAAAAACAAGAGATAGAAATTACCTCGGAAAGGTTTCCCGATTACAAAGTAATCTACATCTTTCCTTATATCAAATACGCCAGTCTCATAAATTTAGTGAAACATAAAATGACTATATTTATTGGAGCAGCTGTACCTGTGGTAGGTGGACTTTGTTTGACCAATATTGTGTCATTCGACACAGCTGTTTCAGCAATAGCAAGTGGCAAGTTTCTAATAAATTTATCTTTTTTTTCTTTAAACATATATGACAGCTCCGACTAAACAAACTTCTTTTACTTTGTTCACAGGCGTTTACACAATTATGTGGCTGCATAGTTTTGGAATTTTATGCAACAATCTTGTAGGATATGTATATATGAATTTGGATAAACAAACAATAATATTATCTTACACAGACTACTGGGGAAAAAGAATAGATATGGAGACTAATATCCATGAAATTATTCCCATATCAGATAATCCGATTAGTATCACTGACTTTTTATACAAGAAAGTAAGGTTTTCTTCGCAAGAGAAAAAGTTGAAGATAACTTTGAAACTAGGACGGATAATAGACAAGGAAAGTTTCACGTGTACTCTAGGAACAATTCAATAGTTTCTACGCACACATGTATATGTGTAAATATATTGTAGAAAACCATTAATTGTATACTTTAAAATTATTTTATTTGTAAACAGAAACTATGTTTTTTTTTTACCTAGAGCCACCTAAAGTGCGCATAAGCCCGATTAGCATGGCATTTTTTGTGTAATTCTTCCTTCCTTTTAACTGCACGACCCTGATGAACAATATGCAGTTGTAATATATATCTTATAAATTATGTAAAAATTAATTTATATTCCAAGCTGATAAAAGTTATAAACCTGATTCATGGAGGCTGTTACCAATTCTTTAGCTAATGTATCGTAAATTCTTTCTGAATGTTCTTTCTCTTTTGCAGCTTCAATCAACCATTTCATAGATTTTTGTTGTGCTAGTATAGGTGAAACTGGGACAGGAATCTGAATAAAAAATTGAATTTAAATCATTGCACCCATTAATTCAGTTCATTAAAGTAATTGTGCAAATTGTTACCTGATATGTGATTCCTCCTTTCCTGCAACCTATTAAATGTAAAATAGGTGTACAGTTATCAACAGCACGATGGAAGACCATAAATGGATCTAGTTCGATATTTTGTTTCTCCTCGTCTGTTTTCGCCTTGTGATATCGCTGTAATTGTATCCTTTTGACTCCTTCAAAAGCTTTGGTCACCAATGTTCTTGCTAATTGTCTGTTTCCATGTCTCATAATAGTGTTCATAAATTTCCTAAATACATATAAAGAAACAAATTGTCAGACAAATGACGAAAAGAATGTGCGGCAGAATAAATTGGAGCAATTTCTTACAACACTCTAGCATCGTAAAACTCTGAACATGTGTCGGTGACTTGTGCTGGTTTCACCTGTTGATGAGCAATCTTTATCGCTTCTTCTTCACTTTGCAACAAAGCTTCTTGCTCATCTTTTCTATATATTGGGTTAACAAAATGAGAGGGAAACATACTGTATTCCCTTCTAAAACTTGTCAAATTGCACCTGAAGCAAATAAAACACTCTTGTAAACACATTCATCAGAATATTCGATAGAACTTGTAAAACATTTTGCAAAGAAACTGTATTAGAAATGATGTTGCAGTTTCAATAATTGCTTATTTAAATCTCATATCCTACCTTTTGAATCCATAACTTTTTAATAAATTTGTAACTGATGCGATAGATGAACGTAAATTAGCCATTTTTTTCAATCGTGTTGTTTCAATAATTACGTTTCTTCTCCTTTTTTATTTGGAAAAATCAGCACCGATTGAAGATCCAACTTCACTGTTTCTTCAATTATGCAAATAAATGGAAAACAAAAGTCACTGGACGTATCACAGTCAGAGTGTGTTCAAAAATCTAAAGTCGAGCATAGTGACATTTGACGATCAACCAATCAGGCTGAAGAAACAAGAATTCTGTAGTTCCAATTGGTGTCAATCGTGTTGTTTTAATAATTACGTTTCTTCTCCTTTTTTATTTGGAAAAATCAGCACCGATTGAAGATCCAACTTCACTGTTTCTTCAATTATGCAAACAAATGGAAGACAAAAGTCACTGGACGTATCACAGTCAGAGTGTGTTCAAAAATCTAAAGTCGAGCATAGTGACATTTGACGATCGACCAATCAGGCTGAAGAAACAAGAATTCTTCAGTTCCAATTGGTCAATCGGAAATCAGTACTCACACGACGAGTTTTCATGAGAATCGGCCATTCCTAGGCGATCGTGTCCGGAGTGTATACCTTGTGCACGGCCGTCCTCGTCAAGTAGCCAAATGTTCGCGACAGACGGGTCTTCGGCAACAATTCGCGGCGATTAACGAGAAGCGGAGGGAAGTTGAATAACTCGGTGACGCGTCATCGGACATCGGAACCCGAAAAGAAGAAAACAAACGTGAGACTCGCGCAAATGGTGCGACTGCCGTGTAACACCAGGTTGTCGAGATCTTGCGAGAAGGTCTCCTAGAAGGGGAGGAGAGCGCCTTTCCGTGCCCTCGAGAGCAGCCCTCACCGGACTCCAGAATGGCGGAGAATCAGGCCAACTCGTCGGGACAGGCTGGCCAAGGTAATCGCGAACGCTATTCAACCTCGCCACGCGACGTCGACGCCGAACGACCATGGAAAACCTAACCTAACCGTGGTCCCGCGTTGACACGCGAGAAGCCCTTCTTCTTCTTCTTTTTCTTCTTTTTTTTGCGAAAGTTCAGCTGCCTTGTTCAAATGCCTTTTTATATGCAGCACGCTGCAGCAGCAAATCAGTCACGTGATTTAAATTTATTGGAGCATATTTCTTTGTTCTCTTATTATTTCCAAGTGAAAATTACGATTTTTGCTTTTATATTCTCATAATAATCTGTCTTATTCTTAAAATCTATTATTTAACTAATATAGTAATAATAATAATTAGAATCAATTAGATGCGTGTTCTTCTGCTTTGCTGCCTTGGCTGTTCGTTCAATTGAACTTTACCAATAGCAACAAACTGCTGCGGCAGTATGCTGCACGTGAAATGGTACCTTTAGATGCTGCTTATGCTGCCAGATTATCTTTCTATGATTATATTTTGGAATTATTTATAGATTCCAATCTTGAAGCAGAAGTTAATTTCCTTGTTAGACGTTAATAGTAGGCTTGTTTTCTGTTCCTGCACTAATGAATTAGTGCACACTGGTGCAATAAGTTAGAATGAGACATGTATATTTTGTCTTGTTCTAACTTATTGCACCAGTGTTTATTAGTGCAGAAACAGGAAACAAACTCATTGTTTTTTGAAAAAGGAAGTTGTAGGAAAGGTAATTTTTGGGCTTGTTTTTCAAGAGTTTGATAGTTCTCTGATTGGATCTTAATCATTCTTATCATGATTACAGGTTCCGGCAGATCCTTTAACTTTCCACGATTAGATTTTCGAACAAACAACGACGTCCAGAATGAGATGTCGGGTACGTGCGAAGCCGAGGCGAGAGGTTTGCAATTTTAAAATTATAACAATAATCTTTGAATGTTAAAATGATTATGAACAAGATTCTTTTCTCGGATGTATCAATTCTTCTGTCATCTTTTGTTACAGAAAGGCGAAGACAGCTGAAACTTAGTTTCCAAACGCAGGGCAATAATATATTTGCCAATTCCACAAATTCCTCATTGTTGAATTCAACAGGAGCCACAGCCACGTGTCCACCAATGTGAGATTTTAGCACACGAAATAATCTTATAAACGTTTATTTATATCATCTTATTTCTAATAAGATTCCTACATCCTTTTTCATTCGCGACAAATAGATCCTCTCGCCCGAGTCTGCCTTTATCTTTACCTAAGCTGCCAGTTCGACCTCGCAATATAATACAGCAGCAAGAGTTTCTTCCTGATAAGGCAAGGTATAGAATTAATCAATAAAAAATTAATAGGATACACATTTTTTGAAATAAGTTACAATAAAGTACTTATTGCAGAGACAAACTGCGAATGTGCCAGTCTATGCAAACTACTGGTAAATTACAATTGTGTCCAGACATGGTTTATGATTTTACAAGCGAGGATCTTCAGGATCTTGGAGAAATAGGACGAGGAGGATTTGGAACTGTAAATAAGATGATTCATAGGATAAGCAATACCGTTATGGCTGTGAAGGTAAACTGGCGATTGAATTTTCATAATTGCATAATGCTCAAATGGTGCACTGGAGTTCTTAAAAGTGACTGAAATTATACTTCAGAGAATTCGCTCTACTGTGGACGAAAGAGAACAAAAACAACTTTTAATGGACTTGGAAGTTGTGATGAAGTCAAACGAGTGTCCATGCATCGTGCAATTTTATGGAGCATTATTTAAAGAGGTACATAATTTGACTATATCGCGCACGTGAAAATGGCAAAAACAATTGTATTATCTTATCTTATCCGTTTACACACAGGGAGATTGTTGGATTTGCATGGAACTCATGGACACGTCGTTAGATAAATTTTACAAGTTCATTTACGAGAGATTAAACGAGAGGATACCAGAATGTATTCTAGGCAAAATTACAGTGGCTACTGTAAAAGCACTGAATTACCTCAAGGAGAAGCTAAGAATAATTCACAGGGATGTGAAACCTAGTAATATTTTATTGGATCGGCGAGGTAATATAAAATTGTGCGACTTTGGTATATCCGGTCAGCTTGTGGACTCTATCGCGAGGACCCGGGACGCTGGTTGTAGACCGTATATGGCTGTAAGTTTCAAGTTCAATTATCGAAATTAATAATCCTGAAATATAAGCAGTGAGCGTTGAATTATCCATGCCTCATAATTTCATTGATTATTTTTGTTATTATTATTATTATTATTTAGCCGGAAAGGATAGACCCGCAACGCGCGCGTGGTTACGACGTGCGGAGCGACGTATGGTCCTTAGGTATCACGCTGATGGAAGTTGCCACGGGATACTTTCCATATCCGAAGTGGAACTCTGTCTTTGAACAGTTGTATCAAGTGGTGCAAGGTGATCCACCGCGACTTTCTCCCAATGAAAACGGAAACCACTTCACTATGGATTTCGTAAATTTTGTGAATACATGGTAAAATAATTTTTCCTACACTATATCCATTCGAGAGAACCGAAAAAGTACTTAATTTAAATTAAAATGATTTGCTTTTCGTTAAAGCTTAATTAAGGAAGAGACGCAGCGACCCAAGTACAATAAATTGCTGGAACATCCGTTCATCAGACGAGCGGAGGAAGCAAAGATCGACGTTGCGGCGTACATCAGTGGAGTTTTGGACAATATGGCTAATAACGGAGTGACGCCGTTTACTACGAATCAGCCGTAAGAATTGACAATTTAAGCGGCAGAGCGACGACAACAGAGTGTCATCACATCATCGTAGTACCGCGGTTTTCGTCTTCAGACTATCATTCTTTGATTATGAACGATATTGACGCGCGTTCCGACGTTCCAACGTAGCGAAACCGATCTTAGTTTTCGTCGTCGTATGTCGTCGTCTCGCTCTTAGAATTGTATTCTTGTGAATGTGAAACAGCCATGCGATAGAAGTGTCTATTGAAGCAAACGAACTTCGTTAAATATTGAACGATGGCGCGTACATTGTCTTTTTCTCCTGTTCCGTCATCTTCATCTCCTTTTATCTTTCTCTCTTTCTCTCATTCAATACAACTTTAAATACATGTCACACGTTCCGAAAAAGATCTTTCTTGGGAAAGTCTTGTAATTCTCGGTATCGGTAACGACGCGACTTACCTGAATGATGAATTTTCAGCAGATCATACGTATGCGTATGTATGTGTACATACCTATATGTACGCATAATTATATCTTGCCTTGTATAATTATTGATTTCCACAATTTTTTTAAGTGTTACAGGAGCGAATGATGCTAGGCAACTTTGCCTAGCATATGTAATATGCGGGATACACCGAGCTTTTGGCTGTTTTTGATGATTTTTCTTAGGCAGATTTAAATACGAGTATCTCAAATGTTAGGAATGCTGTAATGTAATGGAAATAAATCATTGACACTCGCAGCGCGAAACTCTTTCACACATTTCTTCCTTCCTGTTTGTATACATATACCAATAATTAAACTTTCCGGTTCGCGTGCGCCGAATTTTCACGCTTTGATGATCTTCTAACCGACGAGTTCTCTTATCTATTGCGTATGGCAATTCATCCATCGACGGGTTCTAAAAGCTGCGGGTCCAGGTGCGTTTTGCGTGATATTGCGAATGTTGTAAAAGAACTTTTTGCCAACGTTTCCTTCTTACGCCTAATTAAACATATTTCCGCTAAATAATCTTTCTGAAATAGTTTAAGGAAAGAATCGCATGTGTGTGTACATATGTGTGTGAGATGTCTACTTGCAAATTACTTTTTTTCTCGACGACATTTTTACATGGAATAAGAATATTACATTTCTCTCACGATATTTATATATACATATATAATATTTGCAAATTGTTCTTATATTTAGTTAGTCGACCAAACTATCTTATCGCAATTTTTGCACGAGAGCAAACTTGGCAAGAACAAATTATAGCTATAATCGATAATCCTGGGGGCGGTCGCGCACCTGTCGTAGTGGTACCGTTTGAACAGGTAAGAAGATGGCGGTACAATGGTGGTTGACGGTGCCGATGGTGCTTTGTGGTGATAGTCGTTAGTTCTTGCAGAACCACCGACGCGTTAATCATTCATTTAATAGTGTAAAGCGCTCTCGAATTTCGCGAGAAATATAATCAACAAACACACTTATAAAATCCAGTTTACTCGTTAAAAAAAGTGTTTTAAAATTAATTGTCGCGTGTGCTATTGACAAATATTGTCTTTTCTAATTTGAAACGTACATGGAATGCTCGCGTAAATTATACAGTATATAAAATATTAATTTTTTGAAAAATTGATTAGTAATATACAATTAATATCTCCGTAATGATGCAAAGATCATCTGCTGCTCATCAATTATTTTCTATCTTTATCAATCATATAATCAGCAATTATATATAAGTGTACGTTCAATACGAATTTGAGTGATTTTGGGGTGAGTATAACTTATCTTTCTTTGAACTATTTTTAAGTACATGTATGTCGTAAAATGTAGCACGTTAAGTAAAATCTTTCAACAAACTGGTTTAACGTAAAATATAATATAAAATATAATATAAATTTACAAACTGAGAGAAAAGAGAGAGAATTTTGATTAAAAAATTAAGATAATACTAAAAATATTTTTCAATGATTCAACTTCTCTTTTTTTTTTATCATTGCAACGTGATATTGACTTTTACGTCGCCTACTTTTGTATCTTTGATACCAAAAGAAATGTTCGATCATAAAGGGATTTCACGGTTCTACATGAACGTCATTATCGCTGTCGATCGCGACGACGTAGATTATGTCTGCTACTGTGCTGCTGTTGTACTCGTCGGAATCAATTCTCTTGAATATTTGATGCACCTCCGAGCGCCTCCGCCCTCCCGGAACTCTCTTCTGACTCGCATCGGAGAGTCTATATCCGTAACTACCGCGTATATTATTCTTTTAAATTGTCCATTGAAATACGTCCACATCATTGCTACCACGACCTGTTACTATTTTCTAAGAGGACATGCTACCAGACTCGCGACCAACCTTTGCACTTCTCAAGGAGACATCCCCATCCATACTATTGTGCCTGTTATATCGCACGCCAACATTATTTAAATTTTTTATTTTAATATTGCGGTACCATAATTGAATTATCATAAGTACCTAAAGTAAAACAATCGTCGTTAATCGATTGCGTTAAACTTGGATTCGAGCGAATAATGTTATAGTTCATAAATACCAACAAATAGAATATATAGTACATATTCTATTTTATTCTATGTACATGCATAGATGTATATACATGGATTGTCTATTTAAAAAATTGATTGGTTTATGCGTTATATCCATTTATATAATTGCAGACATAATCGAACGCGAAAAGCGCTCGCCATAAAAATACATCGTCTTGTAATAATGTGGAAATCGATTGGCGAACACAGATAGTACGATATACTACTGGTCCCATTATGTCCTTTTACATGGCGCATAATGTTACGTTGTTGCACGTGATACGTCGCTTTAGCGAAGGTAAACGCGCAAACGAAAGCGTGGTAGTGACTCACAACCTGACACGCGGGGAAAGAAGGCGGCAGGTGCTGCTAGTTATTGCTGATACTGGCCGGGTGCTGCTGCTGCTACTGCTACTGCTGCTGCTGCTGCTGCTACCACCACCGCCGACGGGGGTAGCTAGCCAGCTGGATAACCCGGTGCCGGTGGGGCCGACAGGGGAACGGATGTTCCCAGGAGATTATTGATCGTCGACCGCGCAGATACTTTCACTCACGACGATGTAGGAAAATCCTTATTGGCGATGGCGTCCGTCCAAGTTCTTATTTTCGCATATTCTTTTCTTTTTCAGCACCAGTTTCTGTGTATGAAAAATTTTTCTTTAAAATTTAAGATATCTTAAGTCAGTCGCACTAATATATATTTATAAAAATAATTAAATCATGCTTATTTAAGAGAGGAAAATATCAACAAGCGCGTTACATGCACATATTAGATAAAATATTGATAAAGTTGAAACTGCATCTCTAGAAAATGACTGAACAAAAATTCATTTCATAAATTTAACTTAAAATTCATTTAATTTGAAGTTGCAGATATATATCATTTTATAATTAAATCGCTAATGTTTTTCAAAAAATAATTAATTATTATTTTTCCTTGTTTTGTTTGAAACATATTAATTGGTCATATAATAATATATTAGTATAAAAATGACACATTAACGATGCACTAATGTACATATACATATATCGAGCTTAAATAATTATTTTTAAACATATATATTATAAAAATTGCAGTAAAATCAATGTTTATACCTATGTATCGCAACGCATCGTCAGAATTTAGAGGTCTTATATAGGTATAGTTTTTCCAACAAAGCATCCCTTCTATACTTTCGCGTTCTCGTATATTATCTGAAACAAATTTCACGGCATCAGTTGTGTAATCGATTCGCTGAAAAATAATTCAGGACTCTGATAATCATTTCAAAATTATCTTGAGACATGAAATTAAATGAATTATGATTGAAACAAATCCAACAGTGAGCTCGTCGCGAAACACAATATGTTAGCTATTAATCTGATATTAGTAGTTAGCTTAGTTAAAAATTTATATCATAATCGAACGCTTTAGTTCTCCGAAAGTTTCTATTTTTATCAGAAAGATATATCTTTTCATGCAAGATATTTTTTCGCATTAAGAAGACATTCATCCCTTCTTTCCTGGAGGAGGGTCAATTTTCCATAGAACGCCCAAAAGTGTCTACGTGTACGTATCGCGTGCGATACTGTTTGTACGTCTGTGTTAATTCAGAGCGGACGAATCTTGTGCTCTAACGATCCCGCACGAACGTCGACCAATGATGACGGAGATCCGGGGGTGAATCTCGCGCGCCATTCTCTCGTCCCGGTCGAATGGCCGTGGCTCTTACCCCTCTCTCTCGCATGGCAGTTTATCGTAACTGGCGGTCGCTGCCTCCCCCCGATTCGATCAATGGAGGCACCTGTACCAAGACGGCTACATGTCCACCCCCGCCAACGGGTGACGCAGCCAGGACGAACGCGCGTATCACACACCTTCTTCCGTTTGCCCTCGGTGAAAAGAAATGTTCTCGTAGGATAATTCATACAGGTTTCGGGAAAACACCCCCTGAAATCGATATTTCTTCGTCAGAAAAAGCACAGAGATGAAGTGTGGAACTTTATTTTATCAGATATTCAAGCATTTTCCAATATTACTTAAATACACTAGCGGATCCTGAAGTCGATCATGGGGAGGGTTTCCACAAAAGTATCTAGTTTAATATTAATAATAAAAATAATTTCGCAAATTAGATTACTATTATTTCTTTTAATTTGGAAGGGGAGGTTTTAACTTTAAAATCACCCCCCAGGGTCCACTAGTGCTTAAATATGAGTATAATAGAGAAAAACTGCGGCAATTTTCTATTAAAATAAATAATGTATCGCTCCTATATACGCTAATCAAAAAAATTATCTAATATATCTAACATATATTCAAGTTAAAACACATTAGCTCGCGCATAGTTAATTCAAGGTCAAACGGTATATGTAATGTACCCTTTATATAAATGTGACGACGCATACATGTAAATTGGTCAAAAAAAATATTTATATCAAAAAAAGTTTCAACATTCTGAGGGAAGTTCAATTTGGAGAAACTGCTGCATAATCAATGTACTCTGTAATTGAATTAATACATCATTTCTTATCGTTACATCGTCGTTATATCGCGATTGGAAATATTTCGACGCCGACGCTACTCGCCATGATCAGAATCGCAAGGGTGAGCTCCCCTGTTGGTTTCAGTTAAGAGAGGGTCGACGAAAAGGAAAGAGGGTCGTCCGACCGGCGCGGCGCGTGTGCATGGTCCACCTGTGCAAAAGGGAACCCAGCACCTGTCACCGCACGCGCGTACCTCCGTCAGGTCGCTAGTAAGCAAGCAGGTAGACACAGGCGCGTTTCACCCCTTGCTACCACCAGTCCAGCTCGTCCGACCGTGCCGTGTGCATGCACGCGTCTCTCACCAGTCGTTCATTTTAATATACATATACGTACGTATCTTACCTAATCGGGGTATTGTGCAATCATTTTTCATTTCGTTTGATATTTTTTCCTGTAAATTTTAGACATTTTTGTCGAAATTTTTCTTCTCTATCTCTCTCTTCTCTCTCCTGCATACCGGGGGATCGATGTCCGCCTCCCTTTCCACGAACAAATGTCGACGGATGACGCATTATTGAAAAGTGTATTTTCCTCGTAAAGAGCGGCGTGTTCTTGTGAAGATTTCTGTGAAAATTTAAATAAATTGTAATACAAAACGTGTATCAGGTGTTGATATTTAATATTAACGCGTGAGACCAAAGAGAAAAAAAGAAAGGAACTTTTTTCGCGCCAAGTGATATACCATCTTTGTCATGACGTCAGGAGACATTTCAGTGAGCTAGTGAATCACACGAGTTTAAAGTATTACACGAATAATTCCAGGAACTGTACAATCGAGATTCAACATCAAAATCGAAATAAATATATACCGCGTATACTATATATATATATATATATATATATATATATATATATATATATATAATGAACTTCCCCTTGCAAAAAAAAGTGTGAAATACGTCCCGACAATTTCGCCCGAACAAAAAATTACTCGCGCGTACATCATCCTCCACGAGTATCTAATTAAAGAATAATTCAACCAGATAATTTTAATTATAAACGTGAATAATCGTGCGCGTTCTGAGAAAAATACATGCTACACAAAGGTAACAATTAGTCTGCGTAGGTGTTGCGTCGCGCTGAGCATACTCGGGTGATGAGAGACGGATCTGAAAATGAGGATAGACCTGGTGGAAGTTGAAGTATCGACGGAGGAGGAGTGCTCGCCCATCGCCACCGCCGTCGCCGCAGTGGATAGCAGCAGCATGGACAGCAGCCCGGACGATTACGACGGAGTCGAGGCTGAACTGACAAGCCTCTCCTGGTTGCAATCGTTGGACATTACCAGCGCGTCCGGTTTGCCGACGCCGCCTTGTTCGCCATCACCACCGCCGGTCGCCCGTCAACCCCCGAAGAAATTGTCGCCCTTGATCAAGGCCGAATTGGGTAATCATTAGGATGATCTAGAAAAGCGTAAAAGCAAATTAAAGAAAAGCGAGAAAGAATTTACTATTATTACATATCTCAAGTAGCAAACTGACGTCATTAAACGTCAAAATGAAATATTAGAAGTTTAAATATGAGTACAAAAATTATTATTAAATATTCTTTCAGAGGATATAATGTCAGTCGTACGTGTAATTTTCCTTCAATTTCTTTGTCTCCATTAGATCTCGCGGAAAATGCCGACAAGTATCGCACGGATCCCGATGCGAAGCCGCCGTTCTCTTACGCCACCATCATTTGTCTCGCTATGCGCGCCAACAATAATAAGGTCTCCCTTTCCAACATCTATGCATGGATTCGAGAGAATTTCCTGTTTTACAAATACGCCGATCCAGCCTGGCAGGTAAAAAATAAATGTCCTCTTTCACGCGAAAATTCGTCCCTCCGAATAATCTTGCAATTAAAAAGCCATATTATTTAAATATTACCCTACTTTACTTATTTATCTCAACAATATACAATTAATTAAACGGTCTCTATTTTTATCGGAGCAGAACTCGATTCGGCACAACCTTTCGCTGAACAAGTGTTTTGTCAAACTACCTCGTTCCAAAGATGAGCCAGGCAAGGGTGGTTTTTGGAAGTTGGATCTCGAAAGAATGGAAGAGGGCAAACGGTCCAGGCGTCGCTCCGCGATCTCGCAGCGAATTCGCAACTCCAAGAGGCAATCCTTATCCGCGACGACTTCGACGACGACGACGGCGACGACGATAACGACGGCAGCAACGACGCTCAATGCTCTTCAAAACAGCTGCTCGCCGCCCACCAGCTGTCTATCCAGCACCCTATACGAGACCCCGCCTAGTAGCGTGTCGCCCCCGATTCCGGACAGTCTGTCGGAAGTGCCGGAATCGACGCAAGTGAGCCTGAGCGAGGACGATATCACGAGCCTGCTAATCGCTGATTGGGACGAGAATAATCAACTGGAGCTCCTCGATCTCTTGGACACCCTCTAAACCGGGCCAAGGTGACTCTCTTTCTCTCTCTCGCAAATGCCTCTCAGGAATCATTGGCGAAACACACAAATGTTCTCGTCCCTCCTTTACGTCTCCTCCTCCGACTTCCTGTTCCATTCGATCGACGCAAATAATAGCGGGTTTTTTTTTTAAGATCGACCTGAAACAATATAAATTTTTAATTCTATCGGATCCTCGCGATAACTCTTTTATAAATCATAATTGCGCGAACAATTAATTATGTAATTAAACATTTACACTCAAGACGGTTTCATCTAATCGTGCGTTAAGAACAGACATATCATTCTCGTTAATTAAAGCGCGATTAATTTACAATCGAAACGTTGAGAGGAAAGGTAAGGAAGAAACACCAAATAATAATAATAAATAAAAGCAATTTTTTTTCTTCCTTGATAGTGAGCTGATTCACAGAAAGATGAAACCTCGCGCAATTTCAGTGTGCCTATAACGAGATTGTCTTAACACGCCGTCCAATCATGTTAAAAACATGTTATAATATATAACGTATATAAGAATATTCTGTTGTTGCCGAAAGTGTGGCCGATAGTGTGGCAAACATATATTATAATTGATTGAAGTATTATTAGATTACGCCGTGAAATATTCGCCGTGACCGGCGATATGATGAGGAATATCAGTGCGTTTTCGATATACAAATTTTATATATCTATAAGCAGCAATAATGAAAAAAATTCGTCGTTTAAATATATAATTATACAGCATGATACAAAATGATTTTCATTTATTTTGACACTTTTACTTTTGCCATGGCTCTATCTTTCTTTTCCATTTTCTTCAAATTATAATATATATTTATTGTCTCGTTTTTGCATTTTTAATCATATATATAAGTCCTTCACTGATATTTCTCCTCGTCTGAAGAATAATAATGTTAAACTTCTCGCGGCGAAACGATTCACGCATCGTGCCTTTGAATAATTAGCGAATGATCCTTTATTAATTCGTATTAGCAGCGCGTCAATTTACATATATATATACATACATATATGTATGTTGTATGTGTGTGCCAGATCGATCGCGCGATGCGTACGATATTTTCTATCGCCGCGTGTTTAAATATGACATTTATCAATATCGCAGTTTCAGCTCCTGCGATCTATATTTTTACCGCGTAATAGAAAAAAAACATGTATGTACATATATATATAAATATATATAATAATATACGCGCGGAAGAGATAAAGATCGCAAAAATCTCGATATAATGATGAATCTTGCGATGCATATATACACGGTGAGCGGAACATATTATACATTCTCTCTCTCTACCGCGGCTTCTATTTTACTATCCCCTTATGTGGCGATTTTTAGAAATTATTATTAATCATAATTATTAGTATATATATAATAATATATCGTGATTACGATATGTGTTATTTCGTTGTATGGAGTCGTAGTAAACGAAACGTAGTCGAGGTATGCGTTATTCTCCTATACACTGTATGTATGCGGAGTGTCCCCGGAAGTGTCCCTCATCTTTGCTCCGATCCAAGGTCAAGGTTTCGGCAGTCCATTGCTATAAACATAAAAAAAGGAATATTGCTATCTACTGTGAAAATACAAACGCCAACATTAATTAGCGATTCATCCATGCTAAAAAAACGTCTACGATACTTTAATCTAGATCTAGGTATAGCAAGCATACGTCATTTTGACAGATGTCAAAATTTGACAGATGTCAAAATGACGTCATTTGCTACTTCCTAGATAGCACGTCTAAAATCGGGACATAAGGTGTCTTAAAGACGTTATTAAGATGTTTTTTAGACATCATATTATAATGCATCTTGAAGATGTTGTCTAGGTTGGGAAGCGACACTCCGCGTACACGCTCTCACGTTTTATTAATCACGCGTACAATTAACACGATAATATTATTAGAGTACAACTGTGTCGGGAGCGATATATTATAATTAATTATATTGCCGGTGTGATATAAATACTAACCGTATAATAATGTCGAATCGGTGTGTCAATTTCTGCGCTCTAATTCACGCCCTTCTTCAGAAAGTCCGTCCGAGTTTATCCGTCCGAGGTTGAAGTTGACGAACGCATTTTGCGATGACATATATATGTGTTGATAGAAAACACGGGGTACGAAAATCGCCAAGATCGCAATTTAAATATATATAAAAGCGATACGAACGCGAGTAGAGTGGATATGTGCCTTGAAGTAAGACTAAAATATTATATATAATTGTTTTTCTTTTCTCCTCTATACCTTCTTTCTATCTTCATTTTATCCACGATATATAAGGGCTCAGTGCAACGTGTGATTGTCTTCATAATTTGTATCTATATAATTTAATATGTAACTCAATATGAGATATATATGATAAATAAATATTGAGGAGTCCCATCTCAATCTTGCGAAATATGCTCCATTTTCCTTATAACATTGAAAAACAATCCTATTATAATTATATTATCAAGACAAAAAATTCAAGAGTGCCATCTAACATCTATCTTTATCGATAGTTGGCATAATGATTATATTGCGTTCTCATTTCTGCCGAAAGATGACTTTATACAAATTTTGATCTAGGGAATTTTTCAATTTTCGCAGTGGGGAGAAATAATTTGGCCAATCAAAATGCTGATCTACCCAAGAGCAGATTTCAGAACACGACCCGATTTGTCTTCTGCTACAGTGACACGCGAATGAAAAACAGCTGTATAATATTTTAGGTTAAAAAACGTGAAAAAGAACATTTATTTTCTTAATGTAAAAAAATAAATAATAATTTTTCCCTTAACATAATGGATATAAAACAAAAAATCATAGAAAAATTCAACGCGCAATTGGGATCGAATTTGAAAAATCTTGAAGAGATTTACGATTTCCATGAACATCTCAAAACGGAGAAGGATGAGATTAAAAAATCAGTAAGTCGATATTTATTTGCAGATAAATATGCGGTATCAAAAATATTATACGTACTATTGTCCTTTATAGTTATCAATGGCATCGACTACTGCTCCCTCCAAAGTAAAAAGAGTGATTGAAAATGTGGAACGTATCAGTGAGGAAGTTTACCTTTTGCATAACTACTGCGCTGATTTGACTAAAAAAATTGAAGAAACATTTAGCGAAAACGATAAAAATATAATGTTGCAGGAAAGTATTGACAAAATAGGTCAGCTGGACAAATCGTTATCCTATTTATATTTCATAAAGTATATAGAAAACATCAGGTAATTAATTGTCAAGAGATGTAACATGTATATATTATTACTTGTGTGTGTCTGTTAATTATATTATTTTTATATTAATTATATTATTTTTTTTTATATTAATTATATTTGTAGTGATGAACTAGAGTCTTCATTGTCGTCCAACGACGACGAAGCTATGATAAATTTATATACCAATTTGACAAGCATCAGTTGCCAGCTGCAAACATCTGACTGTCGTCACCTGGTTAATTATGTTCATGAAACTCTACATTTTTGGCATAATCTAATCAAGGAGAAATTATCAAAGTGTGTTTTCTTTTTTGCAAAGGTTTAAAATATATATTTTATTCTATAATTTATTCCATTTTCCAGTTTTATATAATCCACTAATATTTTATAGGGAGTATAATGATTTATTGAAGACACTAAAATGGCCTTTTTGTGGAACCAATGTTACTTCACTAAATGCACCCCTGCCAGAGATAATGACGAGATTTAAAATACTGACTAAATACCTTTTTCATCTACAACTACCGTATAATATACAATTTAACTTTTAATTTATTAAAAATATATAGATTTACGAAATTTTGTTTCTATATTGTTCTTAATGTATATAGGGAAGAAATGGCAAAACCTGTAGTAACGTCTGCACTATTAACAGACTTTGCGCCAGTCAGCTTGCCCATCGCTCTTCTAGTACGTCCTCTTCGACAAAGGTTTATTTATCATTTCACAGGAGCCAAATTGACAAACCGTCAAGATAAGCCAGAATGGTTCTTTACACAAATATTAACTTGGATTAAAGATCATGTTCAATGGGTGCAAAAATACATTCAACCTACAGCAGATTCTATAGGTTTTGAGTACTTAGATATAAAGGTTTGATGTAATAATTGATTAAGTTCTGACATTGATTTTATATTTCCTGATTATTAATGAATTGTATTATTTATCAACAGGCTGAATTTATGCGAGCTCTAGTTCAATTAGCTGTTGAGAAACTTCATTCCGAATTACCTATAGCACAGTATGACGACAATTTATTTGCACACTTGGTGGACGAAGCTTTAGGATTTGAGAGAGAATTGCGAGAGGCTCTGTTATATCCTCAAACTCAACCGGCAACTGTTTTCGTTCTTACGCAAGCCCACATTTTTATAAAATGGATTAACATGGAGAAAAAGTGTGAGTGTAAAGACTATACATACAATATATGCTTCAAATATGTATATAAATATATATGTATGTGTATATTTAGATGCAACCGAAAAAATGGATGCAATATTAAGCTCGAGCACAGCGTGGGAAAAACTAGCGAATGCCGAAATCGATGATATGAAGGTCACCGAGTGCGCTGACGCTTTTCTTACACTTCTCACCACAATCTCTGACAGATATAAACATTTGCCTCAGCCTGGACATAGGTAAATTATTTAAAAAGAGTTATTCTAAAAGACTAATTACCAATATTATTATTGTTGTTATAAAGATTGCAGTTTCTCGAGTTGCAATTAGAATTGATTGATGATTGGAGAGTGCGATTATTGCAACTGTTGCACGAAAATTGTGAAGATCCATTAACATCGCTCATGCCACATATTCTTAACACATTACACTATGTCGCGACTGTTTTGGAAGAATGGGGCGTGACTGTTGTACGTATAGAGTTTCATTTATAATTATGGAAAAGAAATTAGATTGTGATTAATTACTTATCACAATTTTGTTTGCACAGCACTTTTTACAACTGCAATTTTTCAAAAAGCAATTTGAAGCTGTGGAAAATGCCACTGACAGGGGCAGCGATGTTAGTGAGAACATTGGAGAAGTGGAGGGCACTGTGTTCGACGAGGCTGTAGCTCTCTTACAACGATTGGAAAGAGAATTGATAATTGAGATCAGCGACTCGGTGGCTTTAGATGTAAAGGCAAAAAGTAGAGCTTACAGAACCGACAAGTATGATGATTTTCACCAAATCTCATTATTCTCAAATTATTATTATACTTACCAAAAACATTATTCTCAATTTATTATTATACTTACAGTAGTATTCTTTATTATTTTCAAGGTGGTTTGCAATGCAGTCTTCAAAAGAAATTGCTTCATTATCGGTAACACCGAGTGGTTGTCCCATGTTTCAGGAATTAACAACACGTCTTCACGTATTACACAATGCTCTTGCCTTGCCATTGTTTAATCAAGCTTGGAAGAATTTAGCTGTTCAATTCGATCAAGTATTTACTACAATGCAAAATGATTTGTCATCTTCATATTTTTCTTTAGAACAATTTCTAAATATTTCTCTTCTTCTCTACAGTTTCTTTTCGAGGAAGTTGTTTTGGTCAATCGTTTTAATAATGGCGGTGCTGAACAACTACAATACGATGTTATAAGAAATCTGTTTCCATTATTTGGTTTATATGTCAGCAAGCCAGAATCATATTTTCTTTTGTAAGTAATTAAAATTATTTGCTACTCAAATACAGATGCTCATGTAATAATCTCAGTCATTTTAATATTCCAGGATAAAAGAAGCATGTATACTTTTAAATATTTTAATCGGCTCAGCAATACTGCTTCAAGAAGCGTTAAATAATAACGATAAAGCTACATTGACAGAAGTTTTAGCAGATGTTGGTGTGCATAAGATGTCTCCTGAACTTGCTCTCAAAGTGATAGCGACCAGAACAGATATTATTTGTGTATAAAAAAAGAATCCTTTGATATATAATTGTAAAAATGGAATTTATCATATAGCAGTAAGTTTATCGTGCATTCCATCCAATTATTGCACGATTACATTTTACTGGTTGTTTACATTATATTTAATAATGTTCCAGTGACTTGCATGTTTTGTACATATCTCGTAAATTCAACACAAGAGTGTTATTCCACCATTGTCAGCGCCTAATAACAGTAATCGATTGAGAGGAAGGACAGCCATGGCAGTAAGAACACCTTTGAAGGCGTCGGATCTCAATTTGGATGAGGAAAACGAAGTGGTCATTTCTACAGCGGTATAAACGCCGATTCGATTCGCTGTCGTGCCTATTACTAATTCTTGTTCATGCATCGCCATGCAGTGAACAGGTTCTGTTGCCCCTCTGAAAAATTATGGAATAATTTATGTAAATATATTTTGTATGTCTAATGTTCTGTTTAAGAGTAATGATATTATACATTTTTTCTTACTTCATATGAAATTTAAGTTTTCCATCCACTGCGCTCCACACAGCAATTGTTTGATCTAATGAGGAACTAACTATAGTAGTTTCGTTTATCGCTTCCAACTGCAGTATCTGTAGCATCGAAAATCAACAATCGTGCAAATTATTCTATTTTATCAAATAATATCCAATATCGTTGACAATTGTTAAATCATCCTCACCTCGCACTCGTGTCCTTTCCAAGACGCGATAATCAAACCGGTGCGAGTATCGAGTATCGTCAGGAAGCCCGATGTCTGACCCAGCGCAACCCAGTTGCCGCTCGGTGCAACCGCGATACATCTTATTAAACCAGTTGGATTCATAGAAACCTATATTGAATTATTTTACGTTAATTTGTAGATAAATAACGATGATTATTATTTTTATTTTTCAGAATATCATTTTATATCTTTAATTATACTTACTTTCATTTCATTAACGTACTGGAATGTCCTACAATCGATGACTCTAAGGGTAATGTCTGTTGTTCCCACGAGAAGAGTCGTTGATGGAGAGGGACTCGAAGCTAAAGTATTTACAAAAACGGGACGACTACTTTCCGGACATCCCAGAAGCGAGCCCATAAAAGGATCCCAACAATGAATTCCACCATCGCACGTAACTGCATATCTCAAGGATTCCAGGAATGTAAGTGAAAGAATAGACTTTTTATGTCCAATATATGTGTATTGACATGACGAGACTGTACTTCCATCACCCTAATTACATAAAAAATTAGATAAATGATTCTGTAAATATGGCGATATACAACAGCTTATTGAAAAACTAAACAGTACATCTTACTTGGCTTCGCAAACTCCATAACTTTACAGTCTTGTCTCTGCCACCGCTCATAAAACTGTTCTCGTTGTCTAGCACGTATAGACATCTTATGGTATTTGTATGTCCGCTGAAAGTCTGAAGCTTTATCTGCTTTATATTAAATGCTGCATCTTTCTCCGGCCTTCCTATCTCATGTTCCCAATAAGCTAACCAGTTACCACGCAACTGTCTGCCAGCGGATGACGGACAAGTTGCCTCGCGACCGGCAGTGACACTCGCTTCCGTCGCCGTCGATTGAGATCTAGCGTCGTCTTTCTGTATCTCGAATCTATTTCCTATCACAGATATATTTCCGAAACTACAAACGTCTTTATCGACCAATTCCACATTTTCCGTCACATCCACGGAAGTCACGGATGTATTATATCTGTCTGCGTTATCTTTAACAATAATAGATAAGAGATTAGCATATTACAAGGGACAATCTTGTCCTTAAGAAGAGGAACATACCAGTATTTGGAAAGGTCGTTTTTATTCCCTGCTCATAATCGTGACACAATTCTTTTATACGGTCGTGATTTTTAAGTATCTGCTCCATTATCTCACTGTCGACGCATCTATAAAAGAGCATGTACGCTTTATGAGCAAATTCTGCAGTGAATACGGCTCGTAATTCTTCAAATGCCTGTATGCAAATGTAAAATTTAGTATATATTCTTGCATTTACATATAAAAAAGAAAATTAAAAATCTCGTTCGATTCTTACTCTATTCCTTTGCAAGTCTGGCACGTCGCTATTTTCCAATACCGGAGGAGAATAGGAATCCGCAACATCTGCATCAAGTTTGTTTCCATACATGGGTTCCAATCCACCTTCATTTGTAGTCTTCGTTCTGTGCGTATTAAAAATAATATAATTAATATTTATTAAAATATATTATAATATATATATATATATATATATATATATACACTATGTTAATATTATTATATACGCAAGATACAATTAAATCAACGACGTTCTTACATCTGTATTTTATTACCGTGTACAGAGTTCGTAAGTTGCGTTCTTTTGTCCAAGATTATTCGATGGACCCTCGGTGCTCGAATTCTCATTAAAGGCTTTGTCGAAAGCCAGAAAGAAACGCTGAATCGGCACTGCCAAATGATTCTTCGTAATTACACTGCCGAGACGTAAGCTAAGAGCGAGCATCGCTTCCAGGCATTTTTCGGCCAGGGCGAGGCGCGCAAGCACTCCGTTTGGAAATGTAAATCTCGCGGTCGACAGTATGCGAACTGTAGGATGCAGGATGGATTTGACAATCGGTTCCTAATTTCCAAAATATAAATAAATGAGAGCTTTCGTATTTTTTTCTATGATTAATCAATAGATAACATATAGTTAATATGTACTAGGTGTAATTAATTGCATCATAGATATTACATGAAGTACATCCATCACAGTAGAGTCACTGAGATACGTCGTAATGTGATTCAACAGAGCCAGGCAAGAAATTAAGCCACCTTCCAAATTTTGCGTCAATTTTCTCTTGCACAGCGCCAACAACTCAACCACGTGAGCGAAATATTGCAACAGTATAATTTGTTCTCCGTATAATCCTGGCGAAAAAGATCGGTAAATTGTTATTACTCGCTGAATCGAAATATATCCTTGGATACTTTTTTATGTACCTGCGATAGCTGTGAGACATTCTAGGACTTTAACGGCATTTCGGTCACCGGCCAACAGCGATTTCCTCCACGCAACGCCACCCTCTAGACACATAAAATTATTGTCGTCGACCGACGTTAGATTTTCCTTCCCAGCATAACATAACGTCAACATTCGCAGAAGATTTCGTGACAAATGCCGAGCCGTGAGTACCGGGCCGAGTCTGTGGGACAGCCAAATTACGGACTCCGCGCTCATCTCGGAAATTGTACACTCGCTCGGAGTGGATCTTCGATAAATGTCCAATTGATGATGCAGGGACTCTTCATCTGATTCGGTAACCTGTCGTTTGTTCTCGAGATCGGTGGAGACACAAATGTCTTCCTTGGCTTCTACCAAGCCGGACACATTCTCGGAAAGATTACTACCGGAATGGATATTTGCGCCGTAAGTGCTAACGTAAGTGAAATCTTCGCTCGAAGTTTTACTACCTACGTTGCAGCCGATACTATTAAATTCAGTTACTGATTTAGGTCCGCCTATGCTTGATTGTTTCGGTATTGGAATCGTTGGCGACTTTACGGAGCCGCTTGGCGAATTTTTGCTTTCCTTATCATCATTCAAGTCCTCGCTAGCATTCAAATTGAGATCTATGTGTAAGTCGATATCATATGGCATAGTATTATTTAATGATATCCACGCATTATCTTCTGGTTCCATAGTAAATACTTCTGTAATACATTAATTCAAGTTTTTAGTAGACCATTTTTTTAAATATATTTGTCGAATAATTAATTAATTCTTCGAATCACCTTCAACGTCATTATCCATCGTTACATTAGATACGTGATCGTTGCTCGTTGGTCCGAAAGATGAAGAAACATTATGTTCAGTATCCGCGAATGAATCCTCATCTAAGGGAGATAAAACTCCTTCCCCTTCACTGCAGGGTCCACTCAAGTCGCAGCTCCTTCATAGAAATTAATAAGAAAAATTATGTAGAAGACAATTATATAAGGTATAATATTAAAATACATTTCCCTTTTTTCTCACTTTAAATTTCCAGTTCTATGTGTGCATGTACCAGGGGATCCCTGTATGTAATCTTTGTATCCTCCTACCGCTTCCACCAGAGGATTCACAAAGTTGTCTAGAAATCTGCGTAGCCCTAATCTGACTATCAGCTTGAGCAGAAATGTTCTGTGATACAGCCGTGTAGTTCGAAATTTTGCGAGCGTTCCCGCGGATAGTATATCGTCGTATAATGCGATATCCATGATGGAACCATTCTCATATAATTTTGTGATGGGTGAAAGAAATGTATCAGCTGTATCCTTCGGTCCCAAAGTTCTGCAATAGAAAGATGAGAAAAATAAAATAAATTGAAAAATAATGTTTTTATTGTAAAGAAGACATTTCTTCTATAATACACGCTTACTTTGCAATAGGATCAAAAAGATACCACACTGACAATACTGCGCTGTAAGGTTCTTCCATAATTTGCACTATATGAGGAACTATCAATTGTAAGGTGGCTTCTCTCGCACTACCGGCGTGAGGTAACAATCGTTCGAGTTCTCTAGCGATCGCCTTTACTTTACACTCGCTAATTTTGCACAGATACTTTGTCTTTGTTTTAATCGCAAAATCTATATCATCCTCGGTCCTCACGATAGAATTTAATTCACGTATCAAACCGTTATATTCTTGCAACATTTCCACAATGTTGTACAAGTATTGACAGTATTTGGAGAATGGGAACAGACTCCCGGATAAGATTGGTTGAAGAAACTGATGCGCGGATGGTGGCGGAAGACCCATGTGTGTTATCGTTGGATAACGAAAAGGAATCTCGTCGTTCACCTAAATATAAAACAAAATGTCACATATAATATCAATTTTGTGATGTACGTCTATCTTTTAATCAAATATGTAAATACTTATATACGAAGATTTAAAATTACCATTGAAATGTCATTCGTCTCTACGTTACCTATATTATAACTCTTTGGCATAATGTCAATTTGAAGTAATAGAGACACGATATTTTTTATACACTTTGGTAAATTATCCGACGATGTCTTCAAAATGTTTAGACACGTCGCAAATCTTTGCGCGAACGACATCCTTTCAATGTTCCAGGTCGCGCGAAATTTACCGGCTAGAAATATCTCCACCATCAGACAACCGAGTATCTGTTGCTCTTTGATGCGACCGCTAGCCACAATCTGTTTATAATTTGTGGAAAGATCGTGCGATCCCACTACAGGCTTGTAGACTTGATGATTGATCTTATTCATGAAAGCATGCATAGTTTCTAGTTGTACGATCGCCGCGACGGGATTAAAATCCTTCGGCAGAATAATAGGCTGATTAACGGATTTATCCGATTTAACGTTATCCTCCGAAAGCAAAGAACCTCTAGAACGACTCAACAAGCGACTCAGTACTAGAGGCGATGATCTCGATGCATTTGTTGCTGTAGCAGGTGACTCTTCTTCCTCGATTCCAGAACTATGGCCCTCATCATCACTGATTCTATTTGCAGGTTGATCACATTCTGTAATCAATAGTTTGAGAAAATTGTAAGAATATGTTTGATTTGTAAGAATTCTCGAAAATGTTTCGTAAAAAAAAACTTACTAGCTTTATTGGTCAAGAATGTCGATCTAAGACGCGGTGGTACTTTACCCCAATAAGGAGATGGAATGATTTTTTGTGGATGTGGTTGTGTAAAAAGTTGTACAACTCCAGAATTAGTCAAACCGGTATGATTATCGACTAACTGCAGACAAACATTTTTCGATTTTACGGCAGCAAAACCAGACAATCTGTCACATAAAAAGGATGTATCAAAAATTTGTATAAATAATTAATAATTCATTATTAAACATGATTAAGTACTTATAACCAAAAGTCAAGTCTATCCAGTGATGTAATCTTTCTGAAACATAAAAGCTTTCCAATGCTTCTCTATGTTTTTCAATAAAATCCTCTGGAGAAGTTGCCCATGCTGGAATTTCTAAATCTGGCAAATCTTCGTGGATGGACTGTGAATGAAATATACACTTTTGAAATATCGAATCTGAGAAAGAAATTTCATTTTTTGTTTAATAATATTTTACCTTAAAAACACTGGGATCGGTAAAGAACTGTGGTATACATTCATCAGGACTCCAATCGTGTAATCTCTGAATTGAGGCTGGATATTCTCCAGGTACCCATAATGGTCGTACATGTTTACAAAGCACAGACTTATTATACCGACGTGAAAGATATATATAATATGTGATCTCTGACAAAACATCAGAAACATGATGTCCAACCTGTGTATAAAAATTAATTAATTATTTAATAATATATATGTAAGTATATGAAATAAAATTTTCGTATGCATTACTTATACATACCTCAGTTGATTGCGAATCAAATGTGAGATCTAATTGTCTGTCTCCTTTATTTAATCGAAATTTCGATTTGTTAAATCTCTCCAATTGCCGCCGTTTCTCAACGTGAAATCCGTTACCCAGGGCATAACATGATGACAGCTAGGATCGCCATATCTTCTACCAGCCAAATTATTGAGCGCAGTCAAATAATCAAAATTGCTAATACAATTATACACCCACATCTCACACAATTTCTCAATACTTTCATTTAAACCAAAGTCACTATTATTTGAATGAGATATGCTATCTTTTTTACTATAAGTATTGTTACTGGGATTTTTCTCTTTACTGTCTTGAGAGATAGTAGGACATTCATTTTCAGGTTTTAGATAAATATTATCACTTAACTTTGGCAGTACCTAGAAAGAATAAAATCAATATCAGAACATTTTCTTTTCTCTGATCTTATCTCACATTTTAATATTAATCTTCTTTGTTATATATAAATATAATAGAGGCACAAAATATACCTTAATAGTAAAATTATCTGTGACCAATATGTCACTGAGTGTAATTTCTCCCAATGCAAGACCACGATCGTGTAAGTCTCTAGATAATCTTAATAATTGATAAACTACGAACAATGATTTCCCATGACTTGTATTAAGAGCAGCAGGACTATACATTACACATCTGAAATTGATATTCATAAATATAATAAGATATAAGAATATCTTTGATTTTTACATGTCAAAATATAAACACAAGTGAAACAGTTACTCACTCGCGAAGAGAGAAATTGGCAGTTTGTTCATAAAAAATTATAAAAGCAGACGGTGTTTCTACGACAAAATGAATTGGTACGAGATTGCAGTGTGTTTCGGATAATGTACCATTTGATACTGATAGAACCACACCACGTTGTACTTGTACCAAAGTACAGCCGTACATCCTGTTTAATACTTCATGCATAATAGTAACATCATTTGCATTAGCTGTGATATTAGACTGCTCCTTTTGTTCGACAAAGTTCCAAGGGTCTACAAATATTGTACAAGAGTTTCAAGTACAGTAAAAAGAACATTTGAATTCTGGCAAACAAATTAATTATAGACATAAAATATTGCTTATTGAAATACATACTGTAATATTTCTTGTACGTTTCTTTCCATAGGTTTCGATAATTAGTCTCCGCTACATAATGCAACAATTGTGAAAACATTAATTCCGCTTGGTTCTTAGTACTAGTAGTAGGTCTTCCTCTTGGCAAAGGAATCGCATTCTTGTATTGTTTTACATAAACCTATAATAGTAATAAAATATATTTTGTCTCATTATATTTTGCATAAAATATTTAAAAAATAGATACTTTGGCATATATTCTCAGCCAGTCGCAACCCAATTCATCGAGAGAAGGTTGCGCGGCAATCTCATCATTGGATAGTCGATCGTGATAGATAAATGTAAATGGGCCGACTGTCAGAAATCGAGAAAGCCAGTTTCTGTGAACCGTCAGGCAAATTCTTCCATCTGTCAATATCATATACTTTGCTGGCACCAGTAGATATTCCTTTATTATATCCATTTTGTTTTATATAATTATTCCAATACTTTATTATCACATAAACAAACAATCAATCTTTTCTCTCATTTTGTTGATTTAAAATAGCAAAAGGTATGATACATATTCTCACATTGCATTTAAATTCTTGTTAACGTCATAAATGTCAAAGCCAGCTGATCTTTAAAAACAAAGTTAGAATAGTATATAGATGTTGTATACACACTTAAAAAAGCACTCATCAGTGATAAAGCTTTCAACCAATCAAAACACTATAAATTTTGCAAACTATAATGAGAAATCTTTTTTTCGATTATGTATTGATAAAATCACTGCTCAATCGCGGATAATTTTTCTTTAATTTATAAATATATGTATATATGTGTGTGTGTTATTATTATAAAATATTTTTACACATGTAAATGATACACATATGTATTCTTGATGAAAAAACGATTTTTCGAAAACATCTTCAGAGAGAGAAAGAGAGAGAGAGACAGAAAGAGAAATATGCTTCTTCTCTCTCGTTTCGCGTACTACGTAGTGGGGGACGATGAAGGGAAAACTGACGCGCAATACGCGTCGCGCACAGCTGTTCCCCCACTTCGCGCCCGTCACGTGACACGTGACGCGCCGCATACCAGCGCCGCATACCAGCGCCGCCTGAAGGTCAAAGTCGATTCAAGTCGCGCGCATCAAGATCAAGACGCACTCTCTCTCTCTCGTCACGATAAATAGGTATTGTACAAAAAATTTCTTAATTAAAACAGTATTGTGCGATAATATTAAACATAGTGAAGCATGTGAAATGTAGTTGTAAAGCACAATGCGTAGAATATTTCGATCAAAGCAATATTACGACTCGTAAGCAAGTGATACGGAATAGTGTTTCGCGTGCAACGACAACGACACGACAGGATCTTCATACACCTATTGCTAGATTACATTTTTTTCTGAAAAATACATCATCTATTTATAATATATCATCTATTTATTTATTAATATCGATGTGACAAACACATCTCTTTCCGCGAATTTCTGTTTCCAATTTGTCTTTATCGAAATTTAAATGCGCGCACGATTTAAATAAAATCCCTAGAAAATGTATTTTCTTATTGGATATCAAAGAGTTGCGTACTGGACGTCAGAAGGATGAAAACACTGTTTTTTTAGGTAATTTTCGGAACACACCGATATTATTAAAAATGCGAACCGTTTGTGAAAACAAATGTGAAAGTGCAAGTAATTAGCATAATTGGCTATTATGTTGTCATTTTACGAGAGGACATTTCGTTTGAATAATTTCTGTTCGTAGTTTATGCCCAACTTAATATTATGTAACGATTATATTATCGATTGGTTGTTTTAACCCTTGAAAAATTGTGATGCTTGTTTTACGCGGACTCCAGAACTCGAATTCTCTCGTCGTGTTGGGAGGCTTCGCTTTATGTCTTTTATTTATGATTCAAATGAAGCAAATCTACACTAATAATCAAAAATATAACAGATACTTGAGCTACAAACAATATGTGAGTTTTCTATGTATTTGTATCAATATTAATAATCACTGTATAGCTGAAATTGTTTCTTTACTTAAATTCATTTTAGATAATTTATGTACAGAAAATTTATTTATAATTTGATGTATCATATATCTTAATACTCTATATATTTTCTATATATGTGGGTATTATTTTATCTTTTTAAATATTTTCTATATATCACATGATACATGAAATTATAAATAAAATTCTGTCCTGAATTTTATCACAAATGTTTCATAAACATATTATTCATAAAGTTACATTACTTGATAATATAATTTTGAAAATGGAGGAACATGATTGATTGTATGTTTCTAGATGAATGAAATAGCGACAGAATTGAAGACAGTGGTTAAATCTATAAACAAATCATCGACTTATGTTCGTCAATTAAATGAGATGCTTTCCAAGTATCGAGACAGAGAGTCAAAGAATATCTCAATGTCAAGAATTTCATCTTAAATATTTTAAGGTAAAAAAATATTTATATATGAAATTATACAAATTATAAAAATTTATTTTTGTTTTCTTACATTAATTATTTCAATTTCTTATACCAAAATTAACTAAATATTTGCAGATTATTGCAAAAACTTATATTACATTGTATATTAAATTACAACATTGTTATTTATTTTAATTATTACATTCTTATTATTTCTTATTTAAATAATTATAAGATTATATTGAATATTCTATTTACTTTGACTATTTGTTACTATTTGTTCATAAAATGCATATTACAGTATAAAATTGTAAAAAAAGAAAAGTAATGTATGAGAATTATTGATAAATATTAGGAAAATTTCAATCATCGAAATTGTACAATGGCATGCATTGAGCATTATGTTTGTAAGGTCCAGCATCCTCCAAAACACCATTTGGTGCACATAACCATGGATCTTTTGTTATTCTCAGCCAATTATGCAATCTTTCTTGAAGTTCAATAAATATGCTCTAAAAGTGTAATAATGTATTAACTATCTATTATTAAGAAAAACTTTCTAATTAATTTAATTATAATTATATACTACCTTTGCAGTCGATTTTGAAGCTATATTGTTTAGTTCTTCTGGATCATATTTTAAATCGTATAATTCCCACTCTGGTCTTTCATAATATTTCTTTAACGTTTTATACCATGATAGAGGTTGATGAGTCTGTGTTCTATTTAGAATATCCTGTACAAATAATACACTGATACAAACAACTTGTAAATATTACTTATATTAAAACAACTTGTATGCTCCAGTTATAGAAATAATGGCATTTTCTCTTTTTCAGATTACCTGGAAGGTCGGTGATACATAAAAGTCCTGATCGATAAGAAATGGCATTCTGTAGTTGATGTTATGTATAAGTTTATAGCGTTTGGTCCTAATTGTACGCATGGGATAGTACATGGTAACTTCATGGTGAGTTTGACTCGCAAAAATCGCTGTATTATTTTCTATAGGTTCTGTACGATATATTCATTATTTTACAGTATAATTTTTTTAACAGAAGACACTATGTGTGTATTGCATTCAATATATGCATACATAAATCCATACCTTCAAGAAGTAGTGGCAGAAGCGACTTGCCGGTAAGGTGTGGAGAAGACACTTTATTGGAGTGTAACGAGTAATCCATGTAAGTTACATTGAACCAATCTAATATTGTCGGTACTATATCCAGCAAAGAAGTCATACTGTATGTTACACTGTTCTTTCTGTGCCATGAATCGGTGATGAAATCATCATAGGTTCAGCCATACCTTCAAAATTTTTATTCTTGCATGTATTATAGCTTTATAGTCAAATCATCTCTGAATATTTTAAATCTTTAAATATTATATTATTTCTATTTTTTTCATCTATTGTACGGTTTATGAAATTAAATGTTTAGAAGAAGACATAAATAACAAAAAACATTGCTGAATATAACTGAGGTTTACATTAAAACATTTATGATAATAGTATCAATACTTGAAAATTGTTTCAAAATATCACTTGACTATTTTGTTCTCACTCTTTCCATTGCCTCTCATAATATAATTAATTAAATTTACAAACCTGGATCGTATAAATTAGTGCGACCATTTGGAAAAGGTACGCCATTATCGGACGTGTAAATTACCAATGTGTTATCCTTGAATCCTGCGTTTTTCAATTCTTCAAGAACTAGGCCAACACCTAAAAAAAATTACATTCTTATAAAATTTAATTTAATAAATTTCCTTTTAATCTTCATCTTTAAATATAAATTTGAATTTTTGTATATTTAATATGCTAAGATTACCTTTGTCCAAACGAGATATTGTTGTATACTGGGCAGCAATATCTCTTCTAGCAGCTTCGGTATTTTGAACATAATAGGGTACTTTAACTTGCTCCCATTGATAATATATTGGATTCCAATCAGGAATTGTACCCATTCCGACATCACCATTACCAAATTTCTCACAAAAATTGCCATATTCGGGATGAGTATGACCACAACGATGTGGATCATGGAAAGCAACATATAAAAAGAACGGTCTGCAAAAATTTTAATATAGTTAAAAGAATATTGTGCAAAATATCTTGTAATGAAGATTTTTATACTCACACACACACACAAGATTTGGTTTATAGCATGCAATAGCATAAAATATTAAATTATATATAATAATATAATTATTATACATAATACATAATAATATAAAAAAGACATGCATTATATTTATATCATTTTATTTTATAACAGTTTGAAAACATGGGCTATATCTGGAATACTATCACTTACTGTGTTTTATTCTGAACTGAAAGAAATTCACGGACTAACAGCTTTATATAAGTAATATTACGACCTACTTGAAGAATAGAATGATTCTCTTCTGTATATGCAAAATCAAATGGGTAAACGTCACTCGGACCTACATGCTTTTTGCCAATGATTCCTGCACAAAGAAAATAAGCAACATGACAATAATATATTTAATATACACTTATTATTCATGATTATTGTTTTACCTGTTCGTATATTGCTTCTCTTTAATATTTTTGGTAAACTTTGAACATCATCAAAAGAATTAAAGTGATGAATTCCATGATGAAGACCATACATTCCATTCTGATGACTTGGTAATCCAGTTAATATTGCAGAGCGACTATAAATTGAAAATTCAAGAGATTCTATATGCTCATAATAATAATTTTTATATAATAATTAGATTAAATTTTTAACTGTAAAATATACCTTGGGGAACAGCTACTAACTGATGTGTATGCATTATTGAATAATAGACTCTCTTTTGCTAACTTATCCAAATTAGGACTTTGACAGATTTTATTTAAGTAGGATCGCATTTCAAATCCTGCGTCATCAGCTGTGAATTATATATATATATAAATTATTTTAAAAATAAGTGTGTGTGTGTGTCTGATCTTAATTATAGACAAATTATAAATTAACTAAATCTACTTTTGTAGCTCTAACTTCAAAATTAATTGTATAAATGTCTATATAATTTCTCATGCTATTAGAGAAAACTAAAAAGCTTTATAATTCCTATTGTTGTCAATATTCCTTTCTTATATTTTTAAATATATAATTCTAATATTTAAATTCTTATATATTTTAAAAATTTTAATTTTTTTTATATAAAACTGTAATTAAAAAAAAGTAAATGTCAAACATTACCCAGCAACAAGAGAACATTTTTTGGAGCTGAGTCAGCATCTCCACGAGTATTATGTAATGTCAATAAGATAATACACAAAAGACACAATGATTTATTTAAAGAGATGTTCTGTGACATTTCGCAGTACTTGTTGACATATGTTATGTATGATGTATACATATATATATATATATATATATGTTTGTGAATGGCATATATGAAATACACGTGTAATTGTTGCCAATGTGGCCGATCAAAAATATTCTGCTGTTCTAAAATAAAATAAATAAAAAATGTGAGGATGAATAATTATCTTCGCATTTAATTTTGCCGCGTCCGAGAACCCATTAAAAGCGAAGATAATAAAATATTGACATCTTTGATTGGTTCTTTAAATTTGATTTTTTCTTGTTATTCGATTGGTACACAAACATTTGCATTACAGCGACATTTGTGTGATACATCGAATCAGCCACGTAAACGTGCATGTTTGTCTTTTGTTTTTCTTTTATTTTGTTTAAAATTTCGTAGAACATCGTTAATTATACATAAACTAGGTATATTTAAAATCTTTAGCTGTCCAAAATTGATTAAAAAATGATTCCTTTGCACGAATAAAATGTCATTGTCATTGCATTTTCATTAAAATGATTAGATGCACACTCGTTATTTGTTTTGGCGATACGTTCTCGTATTTTTCAAATTTAATTAATTATGATTACAAACATGTATTCGTTTAATTACAATAAAAATGTAATCTTATCTATAGCTCGACAAAACATTGATATTTAAGGTTAGAGCGAGTAGCAAAGTTCACTATACTATAGTATAGATTCCCTTTAAAAAATTAGTGGGGAGAAATAGATGGAAGAGGGATTATCAATCTGTGTATGTGTGTTTCTGACTAATCAGCCTCGACACGTGACTTGATATTCTGTTTTTCGATAATCTTTTTATCTTCATATCAAAGTGGCATTGTTTTTCATAAAAGAAGAAACTTTTGTCTGAAAATAGTTATTATAATTTTAAAAATTTGTTCACACGGTTATTTCGTTCCGTATGCAATCTATGTAACTTATCCACGTGGAAACGAATGGTTCTCTTTGTAACTAAAGTGACAATATGTGTTTCAGAATCCTTGGGTGTTAAAACAAAATACTGCATCATGTCAAAAAAAATTATATGCCTGTTTGATGTTGATGGTACACTCACCGAACCACGACAGGTATATTATAAATATTGTACTTTCGTATATATTTAATTATTATTATTTTTTAACATAAAAGTATCTTTCTACTTTTAAATACTATAATTAACATATTTTGCATTTTTATCTCCTTTACTTTTCTAATAAAATTTGTTTGTTTTCCATAGCCAATCAGTTCGAGCGTTGAGAAATTTATCCTGGAGACTGTGAAAAAAGAATTTGATATTGCAGTGGTCGGAGGATCTGATTTAAACAAAATAAAAGAACAATTAGGTTGTGAAAATCTATTTGAAAAGTACAAATATGTCTTTGCAGAAAATGGACTTGTCGCATTCAAGGATGGTAAAACTCTACCATCGCAAGTAAGTAATCAAAGTAAGTGATTATATTGAGGAATAATTTTAAATTAATTATGTATATTTTTTATTCACATCCACGCACGCTCATGAATACATACATATGTATATTTTTTTTATTTTAGTCAATCCAGGATGTACTGGGAGAGGATGATCTGCAGGATTTTATAAATTTTGTCTTACGATACATATCTGAATTAAACTTGCCATTTAAACGTGGCACGTTTGTGGAATTTCGTACAGGCATGATAAATATTTCACCAACAGGACGAAATTCCAGCAAGAAAGAACGCGAGCAGTTTTATGAATATGATTGTGAACATCATATCCGTGAGAAATTTATACAAGCCCTTAAAAAGAGTTTCCTGATTTGGCTCTGACCTACAGTATCGGTAAGTAATTTATATAAAATCAATATATATAGTAAATTTAATTTAATTAGTAATTATTAACAGTTAATTTGATAATGTAACGACATTTATTAAATTATTTCAATTATTGTCGTTCATTATTTTTGTTAGGTACAAATATTTTTTACAAACTTCAGAAATATCATATAATAACGATTAAAATTAGTATTAGATATATAAATACTTTAGCAAACGAATACTTTTTTTTTAAGGAGGGCAAATCTCTTTTGATGTTTTTCCTATCGGTTGGGATAAAACATATTGCTTGCGTCATATTCAGGGATATGATGAAATACATTTCTTCGGTGATAAAACAGCTGAGGGTGGTAACGATCACGAAATTTACGAAAGTGATTTGACGATAGGACATCGCGTCACTTGTCCCAAAGATACAATAAATCAATTGAACGTCCTTATGACACTCGTAAAAGAGAATAGAGAAAAAGAGCAGCTTGGTGTTCCACTACAATGTGTCTGATAAGTCTAAGAATAACAATAGTTTTCTAGATCAAGATAAAAATTTATATTTTCAATACATAATATAATATATGCGTAAATTCGTTTCTCTTTTTTTCAATTTTTTTTGTAATATTCCTGATGATAAGAATGTAAAGTATTTAATTGTTATATATTTTTAGATGAAGGTTCGATGTTTTAAAAATTTGATGTTTTTTATGCACATTTAAAAATATATTTCTACATGTTCTCTACACATGTTCTTTTATGAGGTTTTCTTATCCTCTGAATACAAAAATCCCCCGAAATACAAAAATTAAAATAATTAAATTTTAAAAATGTTTTAATGTTCGATATTAATAGCAATTTTTTTGTATTTCCGGGAGATAAAATTTACACGCGCAAGTCTCGTACATACATACACCATCACACACATCCTAATGCATTACATAATATAATATATTCGCAATTCGTTTTTCGAAAACAATAACAATATTAACAAAAAAATATAAGAACGTTACGATATTGGAAAATCTACAACGGCGTAGAATATTTCCGTTATATACTATATAAAAGGCACCTTTATTTCATTAGCATATGCAAATGTACTAGGCATTATGCAAGGTTAATATTGCATCCGCATCTGTTACGCAGGTTGCATAAAAAACATAAACGTTACCTTTTTATCTCTCTAAATAGTTTTCGTTACGTAAGTTTCGATTTTTCACGTCAACACGGTTCGAAAATATGTTAAGTATATCACAAAATCGATTTAGGAAAACGTTTATACATATATATTGTAAAAAAAGCTCATATAAAATTCCTTTCGTTCATATGTAAAATTAAGCATTCGTTGTTTGTTCGATAATGCCGTGATTTTTTGCTTATTTTCCTTGATAAACAGGTTCACGTTTTGCCACGAAAGCGGCAAGTCCTTCGAGTCTGTCTTGAGTATCCACAATCTTACTGTAGCACTGTTTCTCCAGCTCCAGACCGTCTTTCAAAGGCACTTCTGAGCCCTTGGATATAGCCACTTTTGCCCATCTAAGCGATAATGCATGATGCTTAAAATCATTTCTAGATATAAATATTTTATCAGAGAATAATTATGAAAGTTGTAAGTATAGAGAACTCGAGTGTTGGATAAAAAAATTGTATTACTCGCATTCGGAAGATAAGCATGTGGTGTGATGTGTATTATGTAATACACATTAATTATCGGCATGATCGCATCAGTTCAATTCTGAGCAATCGCTGCATTTAAATGCTTGTTTTTTTTTTTTTTTTACGAAGAAACTATGTATTATTATTGCACAAGAAATAATTTCATTCTCTCTGTAATTTTTTCTATTTTTCTACTGTTTATACTATTGAATTATTTTATTTTTTCTGGTTTTTACTAATATTAAATATTTTCTCTTGTATAATTTTGAACAAAATTATATGTTTTAGATTATTTTGGAATTGAACAGCTTACCTAATGCTAATAGGACCTTTGGTTAAAATTTCTCTCGCGATAGAGAGTGCCATTTGGTAAGCGGCATCGCCAGTCTTATTTTGCGGAACCGTCTCGTTCACGAGACCGATCATGCTTGCTTGCTCGCCGTTCAGAACCCGGGCCGTGTAAATCAACTCCTTAGCCTTGGCCACTCCGATTATCCTTGGAAGTCTCTGCGTACCACCGGCACCGGGTATTATGGCCAAGTTGGTCTCCACGAGACCCATAGAGGCCTCCGCAGAAGCGATCCTGATGTCGGTTGCCAACGCGAGTTCCAGTCCTCCACCCAGCGCGGCACCATCGATAGCCGATATCACCGGAGTCGGTAGGTTCTCCACCTTGGTGGTGAGATCTCTGAGGGAGGATACGAAATTCGGCACCTCGGATGGGTCCATTCTCATTCTCTCTCGCAGATCGGCCCCAGCGCAGAATACTTTCGGGACTAGGCTGCGTATGATCAGCACTCGCAGTTTGTCGTTCTGCTTGATGCTGTCCAACGCCTTGGTCAACTGTTCAACCAAGACCTGTCCCAACGAATTACGAGCGGTCGGTCTGTTCAGTCCTAGTACAGCGATGCCATTGTCCTTCCCATCCAAATAATTAACGATCACTTCTCTCGCTTCGTCCTTGGGACTTGGCATCGCGCTTGTAGTCAACGTTCTTGCAGCACAAGCGCAAAAGTGATGAAGAGTGCTGGTGACTCTGACGCTCGCCATCAACGAAACCATTGTGGAGTAGTGTTTCTCTCTTTAAAATGGGAAATGAAAAAATTCTTGATAAGGTACTTGATAACATATATTTGAAATAGTTCGTTTTAGTAGTTAGTTCTCTCTTTCTCTCTACATAACTATTAAATTATATATATATATATATATATATATATATATATATATATAAAATATATTAATTTATATGTATATATATTAAATTTTAATATTTTACATATACGTATTTTGACTTTTCTGTTCTCCTTAAGAGAGTACAAATATGAGTTCTCCAAGAGGACTTACTTACAAACACAAGAGACCGGTTTTTCGACTCTCGCCGCAGCACGTAGTCGTGAAAAAAATCTACGACGTCGTTATCCTTGATCCTATTTCGGGATTACGATGCAGCAGGAGCATCCAAAGCGCTCGAATATATATATTGTGTATATATATGTTGCGCGCGCGCGCACGTGCGCATACATGCGAAGCACGAAAAATGTTCGTAAAAATATTCAATTCTCGTGAACGTGAATCGTATGAGAATATTATCGCGCTGCAGGCTTGGACTTTATGCACCCCCGTCACCGTGACGCGACGCGACGTTACAACATCGACGCGATGTGACAAGGCGGAGACGGAAGTGGTAGGGATGGCCGAAGAAAGTTCGCCGCGAAAGCGGAGCGAGAAATCTCTCTCTCCAAGTGGCGTCGCGTCAACGTCGCGGCGACGACTATTTGCTCTCGCCGCGAAAGCAAACAACGTGAACGTGCGCACGTGTCGGTGCGCGAAACGTGAAAAACAAAATGCGCGCGCAGCCCGCGCATGCGCGTCGAGCGGCTCTTTCGAATGAGAGAGGATCCTTCGACCGTGTGTGCGTGCGTGTTTTCTTCCTCCTTTAAATTATAATCTTTTTCGCAGAAATATCGCAATGTAAAAAGGAGCGTTCGAGAATGGAAGATTAGCAGAGATGTATTCTCGGTGACAAAGTGTGCGTGTGTGTGATTATGCAGAGATGATGATATACCTTGCGCCGATGACAAGGAGGAGTCGCATCACGAACTACAGATTTATTGCAGGTAAATCGTGCATAATGGTTAAACAAATATAGTATAGCCGTAATGTATTCCGGTGAAAACATTTGTATGTAAATCTGTGTTTATTCTTGGCAGCGATGACAAAGCGCTGATCGTATAACAAGAGAATAAGATATATAACCTTATTGTGCTTTTATATATATATATATATATATATATATATATATATATAATATAGTTTTGTGTTTATATATGATTAAAAGTTATATATAAATCTTTTTTAACTAATTCTTGGCTAGTATAGACACATGATGCAATATAAAAAATTAAAAAATGTTAAATAATACTTTAAGAGTTCTCTCTCATGTATATATTTAATTTATAAAAATTATATACTTTATTATAATTGCTAAAAAATATGGTCTATTTTAAACATATATATATATATATATATATATATATACATGTAAATACAATATTTTCATAAAGAATATTGCACATCAATAATATATATCATATTGTACTTTCAATAATGTACAGTATAATTTTTGTTATATAATAAGATTCAACAAAGTACAATTTTTCTCGTAATGAAAGTAAAGAAACCTTCTATTAATGTTATCTTGCATCATGTGTGTATATATATTGTCAATAGAAAGCACGATAAATGTGACAATATTCGATAAACATGTTGAATATAGGACTTATCTAATTTTTACTGAGATATTTGCAAAGTGCACATCTTATCTGAAGTGCATACATGTTACATTTCAATAGTACATACATGTTACATTTCAATAGTACAGAATTTATATATATATATATATGTATGTATGTCTGTATGTACAGTATGTACACACACATAGGTACACATTTTTTCACATTCCAAATTATACAGTTTAAAGTGCAAGTTTATATTTATATATGATAGATATTTAAAAAATATTAATCGCAATTTATTTTATTTTCATATATATGAACAAAATTTGACAAATATATACATTTAAAAGAGAAAAATAACTTTATTTGATCAAATAAATTTTAAAGATTCATATACTTTCCAAGAAATCATTTCTCTTTCCTGTTTTTCTCTTTCTTAGTTTATATTTAGATTTCAAAATATTTGTTTGAATTGTTTAACTGCACACAAGAAATGCGTCTTCATGTAAAATAATAATTTGCACATTATAATAACACATTATAATTTATTTATGCATATAACGAGCCACTTTAAAAATTGCTATTCATAATTTTTAACATAATAAATTATCAATTCATGAATTGTACTTTAGAAATGTAGGTGCACTTTAGACATGTACGGTTTTTTATTGAATTTGGGATACATTTGTCTTGTTTAAATATGGAAAAATTTAAAAATACATCTCGATAATGTAACTTTACTGCGCGATATTTTTAAACAAGTCAAATTATTGGCTAATTAAAACGCGAGGCAGATCGTACAAGCTGTTATGTTTTTCGAAACATAATTCGACGTTGCGCAATAAAGCGATTGTAAACAGTAGCACGCTGTAAGTAGACGTTAAATTTTGCATACTGTTTATGCACACAGTGACCTTGTTACCTATTGGCGTGGCGAGACTCAAAGAAACAATAGATTTTAACTTTATTATCTCTCTAAATATGACAAGTATTAAACAATGCCAGACGCAATCATTTTTCTACGAATAATTAAACAATTATCGAATAATTAAACAATTATTGATCCTGCCAATTAATCAATTTTCGCGTCGATTATAAGAGTACCGAGATGATGACTATTTATCGAAAGTATCTCGCAAGATGGTTTTTATTTCGAATAAGAAACAAAGCAATTATGGATAATAGTTAAAATATAAATAATTGTTAAAATATAATGATTTTTTGCAATATTTAGGTTGATAAAAAATTATTTCTTTTATGCTTACAATTAGATTCGAATATATTTTTCTCGTATTTTGAGTAATTTGTTAATTTTTGTTTAATGGATTGAAAAAGCACAGAAAATGAAAATGGAAATACAAGAAATTAATGTACTTTGGATAGATTTTGCTACGTGCAAAACATGATTCCTTAATCGATTATGTGCTAACTAAATGTTTCAAATCTATCAATTTTGAAGCTCATTTTGTGTAGACATAATTAAACAATTAGATACAGATGTCAGAGCTTGTTAATATATAATATGTATAAATAATTATAATGTGTTCAAATTTTACATGAAGTTATTTCTAAAAATCTGGTGCAAATCGAAAAATTCGCAAAAGATTTCAAAAATTAACTTTTGTAAGAGAAAAATATAAATATACAAAAGAAAAGAGAATAATTATTCTGAGAGTATAAATTTTTAGAATCATGATTTTATTAATTAAAGTTATCAAATATTTAAATGCACATTATTTAAAAATTTGCTAATAATGTAGATTATACTATATTATTAATATTTTTATATCGCATTATTTTTTAAAGTGACAATAATTTAAATTTTTTCCATTTATTAAATAGAAAATGTGGGTGTTAAAGAATAAATGTACATTATTCGTATATATAATATATATATATATATATTCTGTATTCTAAGATTCTGGCAACAGATGGTTTCTGTTTGCAACTTAATCAAACAGAACGACCTAACTCATATAATGGCTTGCGCCTACATATTTTAATATTTAACCACATTCCTAGAGACATATGTCAGACTTTCTGAAGGCAAATTACAAGCTATGCGACAAATAAATAAATAATAAATAATAAATAAAAAAATACAATCGCCTGAAATTGGTCCAACATGAAATCCGTAAAATATAGGATGTCCCTCTTCCATTGTATAAGTGTATACTTAACAATATCCTTCTACATAGCCTTAAATTAAGACTTTATTGAAATAAAGCTCACTTAAAATGAATTAGAAAATATTTCACTTGTGGGAATTTAAGTCTAAAGTGAGAAGCTTTATTTTATTTACTCGAAACAATTATAAGTGCTATTTTTTACGAAGAAAATTCACTCTTGGATCGACCAAATAAATTAATTACTAATTATTAATAAATTATTAATATTATTATTATTCATTATTAATCAATTATTCGAAAATAATAGTGTGGAAGTGGGACACCTCTTACGTATACCTCTTCGTTACTTTCTCTCGCGTTGCTTCTCGTTTCGCGTTATTTCGCGAGCGAAGGAAGAGGCGCGCCGTTTAATGCGAATTAGTTGTACATTCAAAGTTAAACGGCATAGTAATTTTCACAATTCGATAATCAATGGTATACATGTATCATTAAAAATGATCGCACACAGCAATCGTGCGTTGCGCTCGATCTTCACGATACTTTGATGGCGAATATCGGCGGTTTCAGTTGGACCAAAGAGTAGATGTAGCTTTCAAGCTGCAGGCGCAACAGGCGGCGGTCGAAGCATCGACCTGGTGGCCGAAGAGAGTTTCTGCGACACCAAATGCGCGATATGCGACGATCTCTTCCATACGAATTCTCGCGTTCTATCGTGATCGTCCTGGCTTTCCACCCGAACCTGAAGAAATATTTTATTTAATATAAATACAGCGTTTTCTTTTTTCGTGAAATATACGAAAAAGATAGCTACTATTTAGATGCTACTATACTTTCGACACTTTACAATAATATACATATTATGTTCACAAAGAGAATTTTCTTTTAGAATTTACCCTGAAAATCATGGTAATTGTGGGACAACATATTTTATTGGAAGAATTTTATGAGACTTCTCTGAATAATATTTATCACAATAAAAAAATTAATATCTACCACAATAAGATATAAAATATGATATGAAGATATAAAATATGTTCGATCAATTCTACTCTGTACATATTAATATTTTTTATTGTGGTAAATATTAATCAGAGAATCTCTTATAAAATTATTCCAATATTGTCTCACGATTACATGGATTTTCAAGATAAATTCCAAGAGAAAATTCTCTCCGTGTTGATTTATATTTCAAGTTGATTTACGTGAATGAAAAGTGGCGTTTTTTATTAAATTAAATATGATAAATATTTTCAATTTTATTTATATATTTGACTATATGTGCATAATACTAATATGCATTAATTACATAACACCCCCGGCTTGATAAAGCCAAATTTCTAAGAAACAAAAGGTCACATACGTGTGTGTATATGTGTATAAAATTGAACAATTCTTTTGTAGCGATAAACTAAAAATATGAAGAAAAATAGTATTTACTTTCATTAGGATAATTTTATCAAGATGTTGACAGTTCAATATACAAAATATTTCAAGTTTCTCATTAATATTATTTACAAGTAAAATTTATTCAAATTAGAACGACTATAGAATTTATCAAGAATTGAATGTAATCTCGTACAAAAAGTAGCAATTCTGCATAAAAAATAACATCATTAACAGTCGTAGAAAGGAATATTCGGAACATTTGTTCAGCTATTTGCTTATCCATCGGAATTCCGCGAAGACTCTCGCGTTGCTATAACTGTTTCGTGCCTTTTTTCTATCCCGATCGACACGTACCTGTTTAGGTTGCAAAACCCGAATAGAGTGCAACGTGGCCGCACCGCCATGCAACACGCGCAGACTCAGCTTGCCGGACATCTCGGCCGTGGTGGCGGTCGCGCTCCTCAACTCCTTCTTCGCGGCTCGACCGAACTCCTTCTCGACTTTCAGCACGAGCGGTCCCAGACTGAACCTGGTCTTGATGGTCGTGTGGTCGCTCATCATGTTCACCGACACGTCGCCCGTTCTTTGCAGGGACGCCAATCCGTATAGAGTGGCTCTCGCTTTCGGTCTGGTGCTCTTGGTCTTGGTCTGAAAACGATCACATTAGGTTCATGAAACCCCGTTTGCAGTGTGTTTGCTGTTATCTAAATAAAATTATATAGATGATCATCTAGATGGAACTTTAGCGTCATCTTATCTTTATATATATAGATAATAGAAATATGTATTATCTATATCTGCATCTTAGATGTGAAAAAAGTATTATCTTCATTAAATTATCTAGAATGATTTTCAGCTAATTTTGGTTTAGAATCATAGCACATAAAAATACTTAAATAGTCGAACTTAAGCAGTAAGCGATAAAAATTTATGAATAAAAATATGAATACATATATTTTTATATCCTTTTTATAATTGTGTTTATATAAAACAGTCTTCAAAATTATTATCTAGAAAATTATTTGGATGGGTCGCCATATAATTTTATCTTTTATCTAGATATTTTTAAAACAAAATCATCTTCATCTTATCTAAGATGAATTTACATATTTTTATCGTATCTTTATAGCTAATTTTAAAATCATCTAAGCACAACACTGCCCGTTTGATACGTCTCAAACTTTACTTTTGAATTCAGATTCCGATAATGAAAATTTCTTTTCAAACATCCATGAGTATCTGTGGATTTTTTTTAATTACCTTGTTCTTGTTATTACTGCTTGCAGTAGTAGTTGCTATGGTTCCTTTCTTAGTCTTTGTCTTGTTCTTTATTCGTTTGCGATTCTTGTTGGAATTATTGTTGCTAGCTGACGTACGTCTGGATCTTATGTTGGCTTCGGTAGAAGATTCCAACGCGAGAGACGCGATCGTTTCCTTTTCCGTCATGGCTGCTGTTTCCGTTATGCCGGGTTCAGTAGTCAGCGTTATTTTCTGCAAACGCAAACATACATATTTATTGAAGAAGTGTGTAAATAAAATATTCTCGAATTCCCATTTAAAACGCATTACCGATGTATCATATATACCTTCTTGAATTAACTTCTGTTTTAGAACTGTTCCAAAAAATCGACATTCTGCTTTAATTTTTTAATTCAACATTAAATATTTCTTTTGACAATTGAGATTTTTCATTGTACTTAATGGTTTAACAAAACTTTATTATTATTTAATTTGCAAAAATTTTCCTATTTAAAAAATCTCTTATTGTCTCGACATTTTAATTATTGACAGGGACAAAATTGGCTTTCAATTTTTGTTAAAAAAATACTTAAAATTAAGAGATTGGTCTCTTGTTTTAGCAATTAAAATTATTCAAATTATCGGAAGGAGAGTGATCAATACCTCGACATTGTTTTCATTAACGCTTTTCTCAGTGATAGCGTCGATCGGCCTTGAAGCGCTCTTCTTGGTGCCATGCTTCTTGGTGCCTTTTCTTTTGCCTTTATTCTTATTCTTGTTCGACTTGGAGCCCGAACTTGAACTCGATAGCTTCACAGTCACCGGCTCGTAATTAGCGCGCAAAATGTTGTTGATCTTGCCGAGAATTTGATCGACGAAACGATTGTATTTGGCCACGTAAATCGCCGGCACGTGAGCGCTTGGTTCCGATTCCACGCCACCTAAATTGATAATAAGAGAGTTGCATCAGTATCTTGTAATTTTTATTTTTCGCGAAAAAAGCTATCTTAATACGATTCTGAAATATTAGTCTTTTCGTAAAAAATATAATTCGCAGAGACAAAGTTTCTTTCAGCAAAAATGTGTTGATGAGTTGACCGAGTATTTTAATCTTAAACCAAAGAAAAATAACTATTAGTCTGTTGAACCATTAAAAGTTTACACTGTCTACATCAACTGTCACTGATATGACATGATAAGTTAAGATAATTAATGCAAATATTAAAAATTTTTGCACCAATTTTACTTGGTAGCAATAACAGACCTGTAAATTCTATGTATTTTATTATTTTATAAATATTATTTCAATTAATTTTATACACATATACATCACACTAAAAATTGTATAATTTTATCATCCTATATTTTCGCTTGACAATTTTTATTTTTCCCCGAAAGCCAGCCATCAGCTCACAAGTGGAAGAATTTCCAAAGTAATCATCAAAGAAGTCACATAATCTATCGAAAATATTCGATTGGAGACGACATTAAGATAAAGAGAGAAAGAGATGGCAGCTATTTGGGAATACGACCTTGAAACCACTTTTCGTGAAGTTATTTCGTTTCGTCCGGGTCATCGACCAGGGTGGGACATGCCGCCTTCCGTGACTGTCTCTCTCTTTCTCTCTAAACTTTAATGAAGGGAAACGCATTCCTCTCCTCCCTCTCTCCCTCGCACTGAGGCATCGGCTATACCATGGAAGGAAGTTGACGGTTGCCGATCGAGGAGGAGCCTACTTAAAGCCAGCGACAATGATAACGGTATATCGGAATCCTTCGGCGCGGCCAAACTGGTCCCCGATCTGGGCCACGACCTCCTTACTCGCTATTCACCTACCTACAGACCCATCTAGCCGCATTCACAATCTCTCGTGTGAGATGTTCACCTAAAAACTCTCCCCCTGCCGGTCGTTGCACCTGCAGCACGTAAGCACACTTTCTTTCGAACGCAGCGCATGAAAATTTTATGCCACGGACAAGGCCGTCTACTTCTGGCATCGCACGGAGGCGTTGAATGCCCATCGGGGCCTGATCGGTCCCTGGATAACGCGCGTGTACGATACCAGACTCTTTCACGGAGTCTTGCGTTTTACAAAGAAACCTTCGTCCAACGCGACTGACCGAAACGTTCCGCGAGAAGCGAATTTGTTAAGGCTTCTGGCTCCTCAACCACAAGATGGAATTGTGACGTCAGAAGCGAGAAAATGCACGCTAAAAATTCTTAAAGGCCATCTCGAAATAAAAAGATATTTCGATGAAACAGCACTTCGGATGGCTTTAGCATACTCTTAAAATACCTCGAAAACTATCCTTTTTTCTTTATAATTAATCAACAACTGTAAAATGATTGTGATATAAGGCTCAGTCTGCTTTTTGCACATTTGAGTTGTTGACTGTCAAAGGAAAAGAGTAGTTTTCAAAGTATTTTAAAAGTGTGCTAAAGCCATCTGAAATAGGGTTTCATTGAAATATCTTTTCATTTAAAAATGGCATTTAAGAATTTTCAGGATATGCTTTCTCGTCTCTGACGTTATAATCCAACATGGCAACATGGCGATGAAATGTCTCGCATATATGCATTTCCAGTCTGCGCTTTATCTTTCCAAATTTTTTAAATATATTCATTAAAGCTTTAATTAAATATCTGAAAAAAATATATGAATTGTATGGAACTATAGAAAAAAAATTCTGAAAATTATATTCATCGCTTTATAAGTTAATGTTTCTTGCGCGTCTCATTAATTGGAGTCTTATTTAAATTTTCATTTTCAGAAAGAATCTCGATTCAATATAATTAATGGTACATTCGAATAACAATTTTACTATTTTTAATAGAAATTATTAACTGAAATTTCAAATATCTCCAGCAACTATCCAATGAAACAAAGTACTTTAAGAATAGATTACTCAACGTGTTATTAATTTTACTTGGGAGATGAACAGACATTCCGTTCTCGATAGATACCTCACTTTTGAAGACTGAACCGGGTCAGTCGGAGATGCAAAAGTGTATACACGCAACAGAAACATTAATAGCGACGAGATATTAAATCACGGTTTAGGCGTGACGGAAACTGAAGGACATCAACTTCATAACTTATGAGCTGTGGGTCAGGGTCGAGGAGGAGGTTCTTCAGTATAATATCGCTTAACGCGCTCTCTGGGTCGGTGGCCTCGTTTCTTTTTCGATCAGCTACTACCGGTGAAAGCCGGGAAAAAATTTCAACGCGGTCGCACCTTTGTTGGGTTTAAACCCGGCGCTCTCATGTAGAAAGTTAATTGGACGCGTTAAAAATTCCCGTTTTTGTAAGCTGATGGCAGCGACTCGTTTGGTCGGTTTATCCAAGTCTTTAATAAAGTGCCCCTTGGGCACCTCGCCACTTTTTCATCTCAACTTTTATTCGTGAATCAACGATTGAAATCAATATTATCGTTTCAAACTATATCGTGTGAAAATAGATATCTAAAATCTTCATTAACTGACGATATAATCGGACGATAAAAAAATATAATGAAAGATCGTCTAAAAATGTTTCAGATATTTGAATGACATCTAACTTTAGATATTTCTAAAACGTTTGAAATATAAATGAATGACAATAGAATTATATAGACTTGTATCTTTAGTAATTCTTACTACAGTTATTATATATATGAAAATAATAAGATCAAATAAAACCAAGGCATTTAAAAAAATAGCATTTTAATAAAAAAAAGAAAGATATTTATGATTAATATGAACACTATCAAATTTTTCCTTGTTTGTGTAGTATCTACTTATCAAATATTAATTTTATAATTTTCTCACTAAGAATTCCACGTCTTTTTTAGGATTTAGAAATATGGAAAGGGCAAACGGAAGGGTAACTGTCCAGGTACACGTGTTACTGTCCAGGTACACGTTGTTGCAGTCGATCGTCCTTTGAAACCGTCCACCAAAATACGCGATTATTTACTAAATAAATAATAGGCGGATATATAGCTGAAGCGAAAAAAGCAAGGGTCGAAGTTGGGACAAAAAGAAGCACTATTATATAAAAAATAATCAAGCGGGTCACGTCACGTCACGAAGAAGAAATTTCGATGCCGCAAAAATAATCTCTACATTTGATTCGCTTAATCGTCGAAATATTTCCGCGGCATCGATAATCAATCGAATGATTTTTCATTTCAATTTCTAGCTTTGAAAGAAAAATTCGCGCGATTTCGCTTCAAAATTGAAGTACATATTTAAAGGAAAGAAAAACAGAGAGAACTTATCCTCCTGGATTACGCGTATCACACAAGTGTATCTGGACATATAAACACGCTGACACTTTCGATTCGATGCGACTGGACAATGGTGAATGAAATAAATAGACGGTACACAGAATATGTTTTGTAAAAATAATAAATTATTTATATTTTGCACAATCCAGAACGGACAATGTCTCTGTACAAGTCTAGAAATGTCGTAAGAAAACTCTCTCGATTCGGCCGCGCGCGCTCGCAGAAAACAATCGACACCGTCATCGATTACGTTTAATTTGGCAAGTGATGGACAACTTTGTAATATCAATTTTATGATACAGAGAAATTAAGAGTTTGGCGAATTCATTTTTTTTAATTACATCATACATGTATTTCACATATTTTACTACTTGTATATTTATAAAAAAAAAGAAAAAGAATCAATTATTAAAAAATTTTAAATGTCATCACTGCCAGGTGAACCGTCCTATTGCTAATTCAAGAAGACAGAAACAAAATTAGTCTCTTGTTCGATGATTTCCGACGTAGGCGATTTCGGTGTCGCTTGACCCTATAAATGAAACTAAATAATACCTTTTGATTTCGAGTTCTTTTTCTCTCTCTCATGCACACGCACCCTTTTCTTTTTCTTTATTTCTGAGCGATCATTCGTTCGACATTAACAGAAAATAAAATCGCGAAAAGAGGGAGGAATACGTGACGTGAAGTCACCAAGCCAAAGCATTTCCATGTTATACCAAGCAACGCAAGACGTCCAAAAAATTGGAGCTTTAGAATAATTTCTAAAGATGTCTAAAAGCCATCTAAAAACATTTGACAAATTAGGATGCGTTTTAAACATCTAAAAAATAACTGAAGCATATTTTTAAAAAGTTAGAGTTTCTAAAAAATTCCTGAAAAACACCTTAAAAATTGGAAAATTTTGTATAGATGTTTGATGCTTTGAAATGTATTTAGGAAGCATAATCAGACATATTTAAGTTTTTGGAACGTTTGCACTACTCGGCACGTATTTACCACTTTTGATGAGAAAAATCGATGACTAAAATATGAAAGTATATTAGGGGAAATCTAGCTACTTGTATACTCTCAGTGCACTACACGTTTATAGAGTTTCGTGATGAGAATAGCGCAAACCCCGCCAAGAGAACTCTATAAGACAAGACAGACAAGATAGATATAAGCTAGAAAAAAAAGGAATAAAAACCTACAAAAAGAGAGCGGATGCGTCAGTCTATGGTGCGATGCGACTTTAAATAGAGGTATTGCCGTTAATAAATACAAATATATAAATAATTAACACTAAATAAATTAAAGGTAAAATAATTGATCGCGCAAAATTGCAAAGTAGCAAAAAATCAGCTTCTCTGCTTGCGGGACTTTATTAGCGCGGTTTATTTTCCGTCATCGAGTAATTTCTCGAAAAGATGGCCCGATTCTATCGCCCGATCGAGAAATTATCGTATATCAATATAGTGGAAAAAATTTATAGCGAGATTTTATTCCCCAGTTGTCTGGTACAACTCTCGAAGAATTATATGCATAAATTATATGAATAAATTAATAAATATAAATATTAATAAAATTAACTTAATAGAAAATTACTTCAATTTTATAAACGTCGAGTAAATGATAACTTTCTCTCTCTCAACGTTCGACTTAAACTAATTTAGAAGTTGAAATAATCTCTAAAAATTGATATGTGTTGATAATTATTATTTATCACTACACGAGATATATATAAATATATATATATAAGAAAATAATAGAATATGTTCTCAAAGTCTAATTATATACATATGTACGTAAGAAATAATTTGAAATGGCAAGCTTAATCTCTTCATAGCATACTTTTATAAATTATGAGAATATTTGACTTTTATTTTACTTATACAATTTTTTTCGAAAAATCTCGCTATATTTATAGAGTTTGAATTTTTATAAATAAAAAAAAACATGGAGGTAAAATAAAGATTTCGCTCCACGAATGAACGTCGCGATCGGGCGTAGTCGCGGCTGTCTAATTAAGATTTCGCGAAACCGACAATTCCGAAATCTCAGGCGCTCGACGGAATCAATAAATAATCATTGGTGTGCAACGACTCTTCTCGCGAGAAGAAACCTTCATGCGAGAGAGAAGAAACGACGACGTTTCTCTTCGTCGTCGTCATCGTCGACGAGGAGAACGCGCAAGGTCGGGGAATCACGTTGCACTATTGTAAGTCGACTCATTGTCAAATTTAAAGTCGATTAAACGCGGAAGAGGAAGTGGAAGAAGAAGAAGAAGAAGAAGAAATAGAAGAAGAGGAAGAGCGGGACGATCGCGCGGGCGATTTGCGCGACTTGCGGGCGTGCTTGACGTTATATTTCTTGGCCTTCTTGCCCTTAAACTCACGTGCGTGCCTAGCGCTGGCGATATCGGCGATCTCGTCCACTTCGTCGTCGTCGTCATCATCGTCGTCGTCGTCCTCGTCGCTATCGTCGTCGTCGTCGTCGTCGTCCTCCGTGATGTCCAGATCCACGTCGTCGTCGTCATCGTCGTCATCGTCGTCGTCCTCCTCGCTCGAGGTCGGAGCAGCTGGTGCAACCGGGGGCGCGATGGCGTTCACCGACACCGGATTCGAGATGGACTCGGCAGCTTCGAGGGTGGAGTCGTGCACGCCGGACGCGGCTTCGGCTTCCTCGTCCTCGTAGCTCCCGGAATCTTCGCCAGCCGCCTCACCCGCAGCCGCATCCTCGGCGGCCTCTTGGCTCAAATCGGCCGCCACGGATAGCGGTACCTGAGGTGAATTCACGGGGCTGGTGGTGGAGCTGGGCCAGCTGGGGCGACTCCGGCCACCGACGCGGGTTCGTCGTCGTCGTCGTCGTCGTCATCTTCTCCTGTAATTTCATGACGGATGCTTTTTTAGCAATGTTATTGTTAATGCGATTAATACGACATGATATAATTATTATTATGTTACCGAAGTGACATTTTTTCCTCTACGTAGAGAGAATTTTCTCTTAGAATTTACCCTCAAATTCTATATTTACTATATATGTTTACATAGTAAAATTTACTATATTAATATTAATATTTTTTGTTGTGCTATAAATATTAATCAGAGAAACTCTTCCAATGCATGATTTTCAAGATAAATTCTAAGAGAAAATTCTCTCCGGTTAATTTTAAGTAAATTAATCCAAACATTTTTTAACAATTAAAAATCAACCTCAATTTTACACTTGAGATTCTTTTTCCCGCATATTGATTTTTCATGGAAATTATGGAAATTCAACAATAATAAAGATATGCGAAAATATCAGGAAGAAACGAGCACGAATAGAATACAAGAGGGAATATCATGAAGAAACGAACTGAAGCGACTCGAAGCTACTTCTGCTTCAAATATGTATATCTCTATTTGAACTGGTTTATCTGTTAGAACTGGTTCCAATCGTAAGCACAACTGCATCGACATTGCTGAGTTGGTTCTAAATTCAAAAACAAGCGAAACAAATGCAGTACAATGTTGCTGGAATATTATAATATATTGCAAGACACACCGGTTACAACACCATGTACATACAACACATCCTCCTACAAGTTTATGGATTTATAAATTTAACACGCGTTTCCTCGCAAGAGACAGCCTCGGATTATCCTTCGGTATTCAGGTCAATGTGAAGAAGTAGCGCGTAGAAATTTTTTTCCGAACCAAGATCGCTGTCGATTTATGTTAATTTGGACGAGTCAAAGTATACCCTATACCGTTATGAGAGAGGGGTATGTGAGAGAGGGGAAGGGATGGAAAGAGAGATTCTCAGGTAACACCAAGTGTTCCTGTTTGCATAACGGTGTGTGTCAGTTTGCGAGATTCTCTATTGTTGGATTCGACAGAAAAGAACTCGATGCAACTCGGCGAAACGAGTTACAATTTACAAATAATTCATTCAATGGAAGAGACTTAAATTAATAAACATATATTCTTTCTTTTTTTCAGATTCAACGCATCATTCTCTTCGTTTCTCGTGAAAGTTCTCGACAGAAGAAAAATCAGTCCACGCAAGAAGTCAAAAGTTAAACTCCCGCTCTCACCTCCAAGTATATCTTCGATGAAACGCTCCAAGTAATCGCCATCGTCGTCGTCATCGTCATCATCGTCGTCATCGTCGTCATCGTCATCGTCATCGTCGTCGCCCGTGATGTCTAGATCGACGTCGTCGTCGTCATCATCGTCGTCGTCGTCGTCATCGTCGGCAGCGGGAACAGCTGGGGCGGCCGGGGCGGCTTGCCTTCCGGTTGCAACCAGATTTTGAGTCGACACCTTGCTGTCGGTGATCTCGGGTACCGGCGAGGCGAGTGACCCTATCGCCAGACAGCACAGCAACGTCAGCACTGCCGCTAGTCTCATGGCTCTGTGCAATAACAGAATAGGCAAACAATTATTATTAATTATCATCGATGTCATATTTCGCGAATTATACGATATATATATATATATATATATATATATATATATATATATATATATATATAAGTATCCCAAGTAGTATACTGATGTCATTCGATGTCAAAATGACGTACGTTTGCTACTTGGAATTAAAGTATAAATAGTTTTATATAATACATTTAAATTTAAAAATAACGAGAATTATGATATAATTGTATCATATCATATCATATCATGAAGTATTTGCATCGCGATCTTAAGAAAAAAAATCCTGCCTTTCAAATACGAGCGTTTGTAGAATTTTTTCCAGAAGAGAGGGCATGATTAAATCTTTTTTGTCCTTTTAATTTTTTTAATTTTTATTTTTTTATATTAAATATAATAAATTCCAGTGTTTCTTCAAAAGGAGAGCAAAAGCTCAATTATTATTTTACTGATTCCAAGGAGGAGCAAATGCCCTCTCTTACCTCCTTCTGCGGACGCCATGCTTTCAAGAAACAATAATTTAGAATACAAATTGAATTGCTTTTATAAAGTCCGAGATTTGGAACATTGCACAAATAATGAAATATATTTTCAAAAATAAATGTTAATTACTATTAATAAATGGTAATTGCATTAGCACAAATTCAATTTATATATATATATATATATCTACATATTAATTAGCAAACTTTTTTAAAATTTACAGATGGAATATCGAGAAATCTATACAAATTAAGGGAAACGCGGTTGATTTGGGACGTTTCGCGTAATCCAGGATTATTGATAAAATGACCGAGGATAAAAGGAGGGCGTTAATGAGACTCTGTAAGTGTATATAATTTACATATTCACACAGTTAGGACCTTATTCGCGCGAGGACACGACAAACACGCGATAAATAGCAGTAAATAGTAGACTGCGAATTAACCGTAAGGAATCGCGCCTTTTTCCAGGGGGACACTTTTTGTTCCGTTCCATGCCGTGACCGGTGATCGACCGACGATCTAGAGCTACTTGTATAGGGTCGCATTCCCATGCGTACGCTTTCGGCTTTCGGAGCACGATCGCGAAATGAATTTTACGAGTCGCGCAGCGAAATAAACTAGGCGTTTTATTTCAAGGAGAATCGCGTCGCAAATACGACGATGTACTCCACTTTTGATGAATATCCTTGAATATTGTCCCCCTGACCGTTTAACGATCGAATTTCTACGAGGAGAAAACTGAAACAAGATGAGCATTTTGCTCAAATATATAGAATTTACACGAGAAATCGGTATAATGACGTTAGAAAAAAATGATGAGGATCGAAAATTAATGGAAATCCTTTTACGAAACGAGACTGAAATTCGTTACAGAAAGTCGGTAATGAGAGATCCACTTTGTGACAATTCTACCCATGATATCAATTCTCCAATTTTCCTATACAGGCAACATGATAGTAACAAAATGCGTATGTAAATGGAATTTTTTTCTCTCTCATGTACAAACTAAATTGTGGAATAATTTGTTTTACGTGAGATTTTATTCTTGATATTAAAATTTAATTATAATTTAAATTTTTGTATCTTTCTATAATCTAGTATTCTTACTCAAACTGGAATTTCTAAACACTAGCAAAAAACAATTGACACCAACATAATTAATTTTCTCTAGCATTTTTACATCACTGTACTTTATAAAAAATATTTAGGAAAAAAATGTAGAAATTTTCGTAATTTACAGAATCTATATAATTTGCAAGATTTGCTTTCTGATAATTATCTTTGTATTTTATATAGGAAGAAAAGAAATTAGAAATTACGAACTTATTCAATTTTTTTGTTCATTTTTTATTTATTAAAAGATGCGAGAGAGATAATTTTATCATATTAACACATTAAATGCAATAATGTTTGCGAGTTCCCGTTATCGCGATCGACAAATTATTCACGAATGCTTCTCACGTAAGATGATCTCAGGCAACTTCATTGTACCGTAAGAATCCTTGATTATGTACACAAATGATTCTCATTGACCTTACATTCAAAATTCCAACACACTTTTTTCTCAAAATTGCTTCATTAATCGAGAATACATTTTCTTTTTTTAAATTTACGAAAAATGTTCACGAATGTAAATGAAAAGTCAAATCTGAGTCGAATTGGAATTTTAGAAAACACTTGTCATATCAATGCAATACAACCATAAAATTTTTAAATATTCGAATATTTATCCGAATAATTTGAGTTTGCTGAATTTTTTAATTTTAATATAATAAAATAAAATAGAAGAATTGAGATTAAAATAATTTTTTGAGATTAAAATAAATGTTTCTAGTTTTATATTCTATATGTTATATTTATACGTATATAATATTTTTATAAAATAAACATGATTGATTAATCTTGAGAAACATAAAACTATCTTGAAAACAAATTAATACATTATAATTCATATGAAATGAATACGAGAGAAAAGACAAATAAAATGGCAACTTATTTTTCTCAGGAAAAGTAACACTATCAGATAATCAAATGACAAGAAATAATAAAAAAAATAAATATAATATTAAAACACCTTTTCTCTTTACGATCTTTTATAGAAAGGATATTTTTCCCTGTAAAAATGTTACCTTCACGCGTTCAAAAGGTAAAAATCTGGAACTATATACTTATGTTGTGCCTTCACAGTAACTTGGTACGATCTCGCGATCCAAAAAGCAACGGCATCGGAACCCGGAAGTAACGAGTCGCGACGAATCGGAATGAAGAAGGACGTCGCAACGACACGACAGGGAACAAAATTCACACAGCGAGTCCGTCACACGAAGCTACCCCACTGTACTCAGGCGTCGCACATTGGTATCACTCAACCCTCATCAGGAAGAGATCGTTCCTCGATTCGACCGGACGGAACGGAAGGAAAGGAGTCGAGGGAAGAGGGGAGATAACTTGGAGTCGGTCAAGGTCGTTCGCAAGTCCGGTTACCGGAAGAACGAAGACTTCCGATACGACGGGGATGGTTGGGCACTTATTTGTTCTCCACTTCGCTGCGTATCCGGATATCCTTCAGGGACTCACCTCTCTGTCTTTATCTTTCTCTCTCTCTTTCTCTGAACTCTCCTTTTCTATGTCCTCTCGAAGTAGACGATCGACGATCGACGATGACACGCGTGTATATGTATATATATACAACGTCCCGGTTTCTTCCACCCGGATCGATCCACCGAGCGGCTCGGTGAGAGTGTTAAAACAGACGAGGCGGTCTCGACGCGACCCTTTTATACCGACCCGCACCTCCACCTCCTTTCGTATACTCTTTCGTCGTCCTCCTTCTCGCACGTCGTCTTCGTGCTCTTCCTGCGTTCATTCGCGTCATACTCTACCTACCTACCTACCTACCTACCTACCTCCTATTCTCCACGTGGCTCGACCAAGCGTTTTCTCCCTTTCTTGAGACATGCGTGCGTTCATTGTATATATATACATATTCCACACCCGCTAATAAGACTATTAGCGGACAATTTCTCGTATGGTATCCTACTTCCGCTTTGTTTCATTGTACTAGTACAACGTTTGTATATTCTTTCTTCAATCAGTAGAAATGTGTCACTTTTTCCAATGTCCACCCTTTTTTTCATTCGATTCCGTCGACATTTTTATTCTTCTTTATACACACGTACATGTACCTAAGAATTTCATTATTCCGTACACGGAGAGAATTTTCTTTTAAAATTTACCCTGAAAATCATAATAATTAATATGGTATTGGAAGAATTTTATAAGTCTCTGATTAATATTTATTATGTCATAATAAAAAATATTAATCGAACATATTTTATATCTTATTGTGGTAGATATTAATATTTTTATTACGGTAAAACTATTAATCAGAGAATATAAAATTGTATAAAATTCTTTCAGTACCATATTGTCCCATAATTACCATGATTTCAGGGTAAATTCTGAGAGAAAATTCTCTCCGTGTATATTTTTAAATCCCTAAATATTCTCGCATACAAAATAAAATTTGACATCACCATAATGTTTTGAACATTTTTAAATTTTATTTCGAAATTTTGCGATAATTTTTTAAGAATTTTACAATCTTGAAAAACCGTCCATTATCGTCTATAGTTCTTGACATTAAACATTATTCACAAAGTGAGATTGTACGATAGATAAATTGCTTGAAAGCGCATTACGAGAAGAAGTTATAGCCCATCTGCAGATCTAAAATTAATCAAACGCGCATTAGCTGAGATCATTGTCACTCTCGCTCCTTCTGGCGAAACGTTCAATATCTCGTTTGATGACGCTGTTCGTTTCATGTACTACTTTCGCGATAAATAATGTATTACCCGGATCGGGGCTCTCTGCCGTGATAGAGCTCGTATGATCTCGAGGCAGCTAATTAGCACCAATTACCTCGCAGATGGATGATTGGTGCAGCTCATAATGCGTATGATTAATAAATATACATATACTACACATACACACGCATACATATGTAAAATGATTATGTCACATAATTCAACTCTATTGTATTGTATGTCGCGCGAATTGAGAATGCTTTCTTGCGATCAGGTCCTCGATGTTTTCTCGATAATCCGGAAGTACGAGACTAGTAGTGCTAGTTCTAGTAGTACTCTAAAGAAAAACCGGCAAGAAACCGGCGTATGCTCATTTTCTGCCCGTCTCTTTCTATAAAGTAGTATAACTGTAAGTCCTATAAGCTAAGAGCATATTTTAAGAGCATTTTCAATTTTTAATTTTCAAAAAAATGCAATAAGTGAATCAAGTTTCTGAACCCAACAAAAATCGAAATTTCTTCTTAATACTATTTCGTAATTTGGTTTCGATTATTTAATTTTTATGACTAATTTTATCGTCGATATTACTAGTCATATTATTAAACTATTACGCGATCGTTTATCTCGATTATTATTATTACTACTGTTATTACTAGTACTGTTACTCGTATAGAAACTTCGCAATTGATGAATTTATTATGTCGAGCATATGGACCGACGATATGGAGCAGAGAGCGAGAGTGGGCTTGTCATGTTCTCTTGCTTCATTCTTAAAGCAGCTGCGAATTTTTAAATGCGCAAGTTTATTTAATTCAAATAATTTTAATTTCATTAAATGATATTTTTAAATTCATTCAAAACATAAAAAAAAGAAATTTTTTTACTCTGACAAATATAAATTATAAATATTTAGAGGTGTCTCGGAGATCTTGATTACAAATATTTAATTATCATAATTTATAGAAATTAAAATTGTATTATAATAAAAAATATATAATTAAATTTTTGAAAAGTAGCGCATGTAAATTTTAAATATTAAATATTTAATATTTTTAAATTAAATAATTAAGTCCAAATTTGACATAAAACATCCAATTGTCTGTAGCTTTCCTTGGACTATTTCTTAAAATTTCACATAAACATTCTTTTCAAATCTAGAGAATAAATTATTGAACAAATCAGTCCCTATACAACATCGAATTAAAATGTTTTTTTTTGTAATTACAGGATAATAATGAACAACTATGGAGATTTGATAATTGATACTCCGACGTTAAGGGTAAAATAAGAATCATGGAAATGAAGCATTTGCCTTTGAAGAACGAGGAGCGAAAGCAACGTGTCCGATCGTCATCAGCCGATCGTCTAACTGTAAATACCGGGCGACTTCCTTCTCCTACGGATGGCATAGTAGCAACTATAACTATCGAGATGGATCGATCATATACCTCGCTCAGCATCCGTGCTGTCTAATGCCCGAAGCGGCGGCGTTTCAATTTTTGTACGATACATTCCCGTTTTCTCGAACGATTTCACGCTTCGAAACTACTCTTGATGATCTTTGTATATAGATAGACTCGATACATGGCTCATTTTTCCAACATATATGGTATGTTGTTACATTATCGTTATATGTTATTTGCGTTATATATTTAGCCTGACGATCAGGAAAGTTGCAATAATACAGTCGAGCGACGATACCAAGAGCTAATTTTTTGAAAGTTTCTGCGAGAAGTGAGACAGAAAGTTGAGAGGAAAGAGATAAACAGGTGGGAGAAAAAGTGGCACTGTGTGTCCTAGAAGGTGTCGACAGCCATAGACGACGAATTTCACCGATTGGGATAAATTTGTCGCGTTGCGATATTTCTTTTTATTATCAAGATTTGTTTTATTACTTCAAAAAATTTTTTTATTAATCATAAGAAAGCTGTTTTATATTTATATATACACATATAAAACAGCATGATAAATGATCTATAAATTAGACGATGATAAGGTGCTTTTATACTTCAGTGACATGCATCTATAGAACGCACAATAATACAGCCCGATTAACTCAGATTAATTGCGACAGCACATCGATTAGTTGCAATTGCATCGCGGATCAATTTCAGGATTCTCCCTCGTTGCAACTACAGTACAAATTACCTTAGCTATTTATACATTATTTATTCCTGATAGTTTGAGACTATCGCAAGAAAACAATCGACAATGTATATATTCTCTCTCCGCATTATTTTTCTTACGTCTACTATAATGAAGTACTATTCAGAACTTCGGAGAATTTGCCTATAAAAAAAGAAACTCACCTTAACTCCTAGTTTATATTGAAGTAATTTCCTCGAGCATGGATATAGCTATCCCAGCGTTTTCATCCACGATTCTCATGCATCTATGGAAATCTTCAATAAGTGTTTTAAGCACCTCCTGCGATATACCTGGATCTCCTCAGTTGTGTAAAAACGGTGATCTTTCATTCAGGAAAAAATCACAGGAGACAAGGTCAAGTGAATAAAATAGAGGAGGCATCATTATCGTATTTTTAAAAGATGAAAATTATATATACCTACCGAATAACGAGCGATTTGCGGGCAGGTGCATTGTTATGGTGAAGAAGTAGTTATTGTTCTCTCAACGTCTTTATCGGATGTCTTGATGCTCTTCCAGCTTCGAAACATCTCAATAAACTTTTCCATCTACAGTTTGACCAGACAATCGATAAATTCCTGAAGGGCAGAAAGAAATGCTTAAAACATTTATATTTGAAGATGAATACATTTCGAGAGATCCGTTGAATTATAAAAAATCATGTTGAGGTAGCTGTATCCATATTTATCAAGGAAACTACTTCGAAGGAAATTAGAAATTAAAATAAGCAATTCTTTCTTTAATCAATATAAGCAATTCTTTCTTTAATCAATATAAGCAATTCTTTCTACAATACATGACATAAAAATATATTTTTGTAATGTAATATATTTTTACGCACATATGCGAAATAATAAGAATATTCTTATTATATATTATATTTTAAATCGGAAAATTAAAATTAATCTCTAATATTTATTTGAAAACATTTTTATATATTTTTAATAAGTTTTAATAGGAAATATTTGAGAACGACGAGTTCAATATATGCATGTGTATTATAGGTATATAAAGCATCTATCGTTAAAAACCAATATCGGAAACAAAAACTCTCTAATAAATAATTGGCCTAAAAATATAACGGTGCACTTTCGAAATTTAAGAGGAGATAAAGATTGTGCTGAAAAAGATCCGGCTTTCTCGTTCTTTGCATTAAATTAATTTGCATCGCCTAAATACTATTCAAAATTCATAATAAATATGCGATTTATAGCATTATAAAACAAGCCTTATATCCGGCAAAGTATCTTCAATGTTAAAAAGTATCCGGAAATATTAAAATTAAAATCTTTGTATTTTTTTAGCATATAACATGTCTTTCAATGTAACTAATACGGATTTTTGAGGGTTCCAAAGTCTTCCTTTGAAATATTTTGAAGAAGATATAAAAGAAACCGTAAAAGAAAATTGAAAGAAATGAAGATTTTCATGTATAAATTAAAATTTCAATATTAATGATTAAAAAGAATGTTTTATTATAAAGAAAAAAATAGCAAAGTAGAGCCGACAAACTCTAGCATTGAAACATGTTTACTATAAAAAAGAAAAGTTCAATTTTTTGTAAAATTTTCGTCAAGTAAAAACGTTAATAATAAGACATGCGATATCAAAAAAGAAAAATTGTTGCCAAGACGAAAGCACAGTATATCCGTGTATTCCCAGATTAAATTTGTCATTGAGAAATGTTTCCCACATGTAGAGAGCAGTAGCTCGACAACCCGGCAAGATCCGGTGCGAATCTCGCTCGCTTAATCGTTCACTCATGGATCATCGAGCTCTCGGACTCACCGACTCTCCATTCTGGCTGGAATATGGGATTTGGTGTCACAACGAGGCGAAGAGAAGTAGTCCGCGGCTACATGAATTAGTAATCAGGATGTGTGTGTCTCGCGCGAGTGTGCGCGTGCATATGCGTGTGTATGGCGAACGCATTTTCGTATACGCACGCCTATGAGAAGGAAAAGGAGAGGCCGGAGAAGCGAAACGCACCGTGGAAGAGGAAACGACGAGAGAAGGACGTTCGAAAATTCAATAAGGACAAAGCGATGCTACAATGCGTTGAGATTCACACGCGCATTCTTCGCGGTATCGTCGGCTTATTCTCATTCATTATTCATCGAATTACGCCTAAGGATGAGGAGAATCGCGCGCTCTTTGATGAATGTCCGTTGTGTCCCCAAATTTCTTCAATTGGAAAAATCAAATAAACATGCATCGATCTATTTTCGCGATTTAGATTGTTACGCAATATATATATCATGTGTCGATTATTATACAATATATTATGTATAAATTATTCCCTGTAAAATATGAATCGTGCCATCTTTGCAAAAGATTATACCTGAAGGAAATTGTCTTTTTTCCTCGAAAAAAGTCACATTTTGTATTTTAGAATATATTTTGAAAAAAAATATAAGTTCTAATCTATCTTTTCTTTCACATAAACTACAAGTAATTCGCAATTTTAATTATTTATTTGATTAAGCGTTTAAATAGATCTTTTGGAAGTCTCATTTAAAGCTATAATTCAATTATTTATATATTTTTATTTAAATATATATTTTTTCATTTCTTCAAAATACGTCGGTCATATTTTTATAATATTTTATATATAATATAAATTAAATATATTTTTTTTCCTTTATAATTTAACATAAGTTTGTTTTGTTTTTGCGAATTTATTGGAACAATATTTGCAAGTTCATAAGTTTGAAATGTATGTAATCTATGTAAACGCACATTCATCCTAAGATTTATAATTTGTTGATAGTAGTAATTTTCTCTCGCGTTTTATATATATATCATATAACAATCATATGATGATATCGATATATTTGTTTATCGATTTTACAAGTTTCATCAAAATTTATTTTTTCATTATTTGCACGACATCCTCATCGTGCATCACATGCTGCAATCCTACTCGCTGAGGCGAGTATTTGGTACTTGTACCCTAAAAGGAATATAATTCATATGTGCCATAAGTGTCTATGAAAATTAGATCACTTACATTCTCAAACGTATCGAGTAAAAGTGATCTTCAATAAATACATATCAATATATGCACAATTTTGAATATCTAGTAACTTAACTTACCCATACAAGGGCGTATTTAAATTGTTGAGCAAGTGTACGATGAATTGCATGACATACATGCTCCACTGTTACGCCTTTCCTCAATATTAGACCATCGTCAAAGTCGGGTGGTTGGCCAGGCTTTTTTGTGTACACCCTTATCAAGGATAGATATTCCCATAATACTTCCAGTAGGAAGTCTAAATTCAACTTCATATTACAGCTGTAGAAAAAGGAATTACAATTAATTTATGTAAAAAACTTGCAAGTAAGATTTGTAAAAAGATCCAAATATAATTTTTATTACCTAACTACAACACTATTAGGTTGCCGGGCAATCCGATCGACTTCCTCTATCGAAATTTGATCAATTTTATTATATACATAAAGGCAGGGCAAGTACACTCGGTTCGCGTTGATGACATCGATCAACTCGTCCGCACTGCAATCTTCACGGAATAAAACTTCAGCATTAAAGATTTTATATTCGTGAAGAATCATTTGGACTAGTTTCTCGTCTACTTTCGTCAGAGGACATGTTGAATTGAAGGCTAATCCGCCACCTTTTTTCACCTTGAAATAAATATTCGGTTTCTTCTTATTGAGTCTTATTCCAACTGATTCCAATTCTTTTTCCAAAAGTTGTCGTTGAACGTCCTGTTTGGTTGCATCTAACATCATAAGAACCAAGTCGGCTGTTCTGGCAACAGCTATGACCTGCCTGCCTCGTCCTTTTCCCTAGAATATTACAGAGTCGTTCAACAGGGTAAAAGTGATGATATTGCAGAAAACAATTTTCATCTGTGCAAATTGTTCACCTGCGCTGCTCCTTCTATTATACCAGGCAGATCCAACAATTGTATATTAGCACCTTTGTAGTCGATAACACCAGGAATACATGTCAGGGTAGTGAATTCATAGGATGCAGCCTCCGAGGGGTGGCAGTAAGGTACTGAGTAGAGTGGATTTGCCGACTGATGGGAAACCAATTAGCGCGACTCTGGCATCTCCCGACTTTAGCACATCGAAACCTTCGCCCTTTTCCGACTTTTTCGATGGTTCCAAGAGCTGGGATCTATACTTGGCAAGTTTCGCCTTCAGCAAGCCCAAATGGTATTCGGTAGCTGTAATTGAATTTTATAAACATATTAGAATACACATTTAAAAAAGATATTTTCTTTTTTTCTTTCAAGTGACATATTAGAGCTCCAATATCAGAGAAGCAACACAGAATTTTTTATATACCGTTTTCTGTGTCATCCACATGTATTTTATAAAATTTTTTATATATTGTTTTCTGTGTCATCAACATGTATTTATATAAAAGGTTTATTTGACACTCCTTTCTCTATTCTTTTAAAAAATACTAAATTATCTTGTTAATTTCCTTAAGGAAGGCCTAGGTAGCTCTTAATGGCTCAATGTTCACTTTTACGTATGTATAGATTAAGACATAAAAAATATACACATCGACATTTACCTTTGTTCTTTTGCGTTCGTGCAATTTCCTTCTCGATTTCCGAGATCTTTTCCAGTATTCCCATCGTTGATGCGCGACTGTGTTACATTTAAGTAGGAATCAAAATGTCAAACAACTTTGTCCAGCGCGTGCGACACAGCTGCGATCTTCGATTACGAAAACCTCTCGCGGAATAACTGCGAACCACTGAACCCCGAGGACCATAAAAAATAAATACTAGATAGAAGCATCACTTTTTTACTTTTGTATTATTTTTTTTTAATTGAAATACAACATGGCGGCTTCGACTAATAGGAAGCATTAACTTCCTGCCTATGTAAACGAGCCTTAATAGCCTTGATTGTGTAACTTTTTCTAAAGTGAAAATGTGAAAAGTGAAAAATTTCTTCCAATCACACATCGATTTTCTTTTAAAATCAATGCGTGATTGGCGAAAATTTTTCACATTTCCACATTTTAGAAAAAATTACACAATTGACCCCCTGGTTCAACCAATCAAGAGATGTTATGCAGCTATTTGATTGGCTCTAAACGAGATCGTGAATACCGGCTCATCTCTTATTTTCATTTCCGGACTGTTCGTAAAATCGACTCGTGTCTCGTGTTTGCGCCGCATCTCTCGGAGAAAGAGAGAGGTTAATTCTTACGAAGATGTACGACGATTACAACGAGGTATCATAATTTGCTATTGCCTAATATAATTGTCGTAGAAGGCTTAGCGTGTGATTTTAAACTATCTTATATATTTATTAAATTTTTTATTAAAAAAAAAAATTGGTTTCTACACCACGATGTCTTCGCAGTACGACGCCTACGACGATTATGGACCACCGGACGTGCACGATCAGTACGATCGGCCGAGTTACGGCAAGTGCCCGAGGTGGTGCGCCAATTTCCTCGTCTTCTTACGCAATTGCATTAACGAGGGCATGATCTTCGAGATACAGAATTTGTACGAGAAACTCGTTCCCCAAGATCTCGGAACAGCTGTTTGATAAGTCGCCGTGGCCGGACGCGACAACGATCGCTCATATCGTTGACAATGATCCAGTCTTCCTTACTCTGTACAAGGAGCTTTATTATCGTCACATTTATGCGCGCATGCAAGGCCCCACGTTGGAGCAGCGTCTCAACTCCTTTTACAATTACTGCGATCTCTTCAATTATATCCTGCATCCGGACACTCCGGTGCAACTGGAACTGCCTGATCAGTGGCTCTGGGAGCTCATCGACGAGTTTGTCTACCAGTTTCAATCGTTCGCCCAATATCGCGCCAATTTGTCCAATAAGACGCCGGACGAGATCGAGAATTTGAATGCGCACAACAAGATCTGGGATGTCTTGTGCGTATTAAACGTCCTGCATTACCTGGTCGACAAGTCTAAGATCAAGAGCCAACTGGAGGTGTATGCGAGTGGAGGTGATCCAGATTCGGTGGCTGGTGCTTTTGGCAGACATTCTCTGTATAAGATGCTGGGCTACTTCTCGCTCGTTGGTCTCCTAAGATTGCATTCTCTATTGGGAGATTACTACCAGGCCATCAAAGTCTTGGAGAATGTGGAGCTTTATAAGAAGAGCGCGTACTCCCATGTACCCGGCTGTCAGATCTCGACGGCGTATTACGTAGGCTTTGCGTACATGATGATGCGTCGATATGCAGATGCGATTAGAACGTTCTCCGGTATCCTGTTATACATCCAACGTACGAAGCAGCTGTTTGCCACTCGAAGCTATCAGAATGATCAGATCAACAAGCAGACCGAGCAAATGTATCATCTACTCGCCATCTGTCTAGTTTTACATCCGCAGTGCATAGACGAGGGCTTGCAGCAGGCTCTGCGGGACAAGAACTATCATGAGAAGATGTATAAGATGCAGTACGGCGATCTCACCGAGTTTGAGAATTGTTTCGTTTTCGCATGTCCGAAATTCCTGTCATTGACACCGCCGAATCCGGACAATCCCAATGAAGATTACGTCCGTGAGGCCATCAAGCATCAGACCCAAGTCTTTATGGACGAAGTGGTGCAGCAGAAAATGTTGCCAACCATCCGTTCATACTTGAAACTCTACACGACATTACCATTGAGCAAATTGGCCACGTTCATGGGCAACAACACTAGGTCTGATATAGAAGGTTGGGATCTGGACAAGGAAGTTAATTCTTTGACGATTCATTTGTTGTGTTTCAAGCATAAAATGAAGAATATTGTTTGGACAAAAGGCACATCGGGATTAGACGGAAAATTTCAATCAGGATCTGAGGTTATTATTCTTGTATTATGCTATTTATATATTGTTGAACATATATATAATAGATCTTACTGACCTTCTTTAATGAAAGATGATAAATCATCTTTCTGTATGATTTTAAAAATAAGTTATAATTTCTTTCATATATTTGGTATCAATATTTTTTCTCACAAAAAGGCATCAGTATTTTTGTTCATAACATACACATTAATAGATACTAAGAATATGTTACTATGAATATTTTATATTAAGAAAAATTTTCTTTTTCAGTTGGATTTCTACATCGATCACGATATGATTCATATCGCAGATACAAAGGTAGCGCACCGTTATGGAGACTTCTTCATTCGCAAAATATTAAAATTTGAAGAATTAAATCGTAAACTACATCATATAAAAATTTAATTGTGTAATATACAATTATTATAATTATATACTATAATTATTATATTATATATATTATAAATTATATTACTATTATAATTTTATAATATTATACAATTATTATATAATTATTAAACATTTTCATAATATACGTTTTCAAGAAAAAAAAGAGGAAAAATACATATTTAAAAAATAAATAATTATTTTATTCTTACATTCACCATGGAAATTTCCCAACGATTATGAAAAGCGTGTATATATATATATATATATATATATATATATATATATATATAAATCCGAATTTTTGATTATATATTACAGTACAATATATTATTTTTTATATTAGGGAAAAAATTAAATAGTCGTATGTTTATAATTATAAATATATTCTGTAGTAAAGATAGAGAAAAATACATTCGTGAAAAATCAACTATTGTGAACATGCAATACACGTTCTTCACACTTTCCATATAAATTATTATAGAAAAAATTTGATTTTTTTCCAATTTTTTACATATACTGATATATTTGTTTAGAATTGAAATATAGTAAATTTAATTAGAAAAGAGAGATAAGGCACTAAAACAATGTTTACAATATTACATATATATTATTTGATTAACAACAATATGCATTAAAATTTCTATATTATATCGTAACTATAGATATAAATAATACATTATAAAATTATTTTAATTTATTGATATTATAAATCAAAGATATATACATCACATATAGATAAATAGAATGCATATTTTTTAAGGCATCAATCACTAGTAACAACTCGTGCAGATATAGTTTTATCCTCTTTTTCTTGCAACATTCTACACGCGGCGGCTAAAATATTCGGTTTCATCGACGATGTCGGCACGTTTAGGCTGTGCAGATAATGGAAAAAACGATTACTTCGCTTGTAATTAACAGCAGAACGAGATTCTTCCGCGCGACATATCGCTCGTGCGATCGGAAGATAATCTAACGCCATAATTCGTCTATCTAAACATGCAAATGTGACGTGCGACAGCGCTAGATCCACTCCTTGATTCAGTCGTTTCCTCAGAATAATATTATTTTGATCCTGCGCGCGCTCATTTGCGTTCGAGTCGTTGCAGAGTATTCGATCGCTAATAAAAGTTGCTATATCCATGCTGAGATCGCGCGAAGCGGAATAGAACGATATTTTTTCGGCTAAAGATAAATTGGGTTGCGTCTTCTCCTCCGATAAATTTAACACTGTGTCCTCGATGTCGATTAAAGATGATACTAAAGATAAACCGTCTAGATCCTCCGCTAAATTACTCAGTATACCCACGCTGAGCTTTTTTGTATTTGTATCTTTCTTTGTCCTATGTCTATTTGTTAGTTTAATCGCAGGCTTGTACAAATAGCGTTGCATGCTCTGCCAAAGCGACGGCTTAATGGTCGTAGATTGTACGGATAATATTGTTGGACAAATTGCAGTAGATATTGCAACTGGAGCAGTGCCTGTCGTAAATCGCCCGCTTGTAGTAATTTCTAAAAAATAAAATATTTATATACATATATATGTATATAAATTTTTAATGTAATATGTGGAAGAGTACAATTGAACAACACTTAAGAATTTTTAAATACATTTCAATAGATTCGAATTTCTCATAATAGAATTTAAAGAAAGATAGCTTACCATTATACAAGCGTGTGGAAGCCTACGATTGGTTTCCGATAGAGAAATTAAATCTAGCAAAGTGGATACCCTGCTACCGTTTACTTTCTGAAAGTAAATTTTGTTCTGCTGCGGTGCCATTTTGCTCAAGTGAGGACACGTGTCTCTACACGTCATGACGATCGGTCGTTTGGTGTTTGACGCCAATTGATTTGCGGCAGAAATGAATCCTTCGTCTTCTTCAAAAACGAGATCAATATCTTCTAGAAGAATTAAAGAATTTTGCGATATCTTCGGGGCCTCGTTTTTATTCGCGACTCGTTCAAACGGGGATTTATGTTCGTTCTTTTTGATTCTGTGCGACTTGGTGGCTTCCTCCAGTTCCTTCAAAATTTTCTTTCCCGTTCGTCTAGAGGACGCGTTTACTTCAAGCACACTGCAAAAACAGAATTATTTAATTCGTCTTACTTATTTTATGTAAAAAAATATCTTCTATATTAATGTCTATATATATTTATTATTTTTAATTCAAATTATTTTAATATTTGCAAAAAATGCAATAAGGAATATAGAAGAGATTGTGGGATAGGATGGTAGAACACTTGTTGAGAAGAATTAGTTCCTGATTAGAAGCGAAGATAGGAATAAAAAGGTAGGGGAAAACCCAGACTGGATTACTGCTTGCAAATAGAGACATGGGATGCTCCACTTTAGAAAGATGCATGCGTTGACTCAGGATAGGAAGAGATGGAGATACGCGTCCAATCAGTCTTCTGAGAACTGAGAATTCTCTGATGATTTACAAAGGATTATTACTTAAAATCTGTCCGTTTCAACTCTACAAGTACCAACCTGTAACCCAGTTCTTCCGCTACCGCGTAAACGCTCGCAGTCTTCCCACTGCCATGTGGGCCTAACAATACAGCTATTTGATTATTTTCACGGTTGTTGCACGAAGAACTGCAGTCCGACGAATAGAACTCGTCGCCGCTGCTGCCGTCATCCTCTCTCGTTAAAGATGCTCTCCAGCTGCTTAGCCAGTCTTTCAGTTTTCCCACAGCTTCCTCGTTTCCTACTATCTCTTCCGCGCTCTTCGGTTTATACTTACATATCCATGTGCAGTCATGCGATGGATCTAGTACGTTTTTAACGTTCTCCGTCAATATCTTCTTTCGCTCGAGCGATCTCGTCTTCCTGCTTTTCGTTCGCAGCGGTGATCTCTTCTCCGAATCGCCCTTGATAGTTGATATAGTCTTCCATATTTTCCTCGCATCTGGACAAAGCTTCTCTATCTCGGACAACGCTTCATCAAAATCTTCTTTTACTGGTTCGTTAATTTTCAATTTAATCGCATTCGATGCTATACTATAATTACTAATACATTTATAGTTATTAATATCAATCAAAGGCAAATATTTTTTCTCGACTTTTGCCGAATATTTAAATTTTATCTCCATTTCCATCGAATGCGACGTATCTTCCAATTGTCTCACGTGACTGATTGCGGGAAACGGTAATGAAGACACGTTATTGTTGCTGCATATCTTACGATCTGTGTTTTTATTCTCCATGTCGATGTCAGATTGCAAGAACGAACGTCTAGCCGCTGCGACAATCGGATTTATTTTACGTCGTTTAGTGAACAATGGCGCCAATTTTTCGTTCGGCTTTCTTTTCAGGCCATTTTCATTGATAATTTCACATTCGGTATCATCGATCACTGTTATAATCGTGTCAAACTTTTCTATCACTTCAACAATCCCGTTCGATTTTTTTAACTGTGTATCAACATCTCTATTGTTATCGACAACGATAGCGTCTTTCGCAGTGTTGTGTTGCACATTGTCCTCTTTTTGCTTACTGATTGATTCTTTCTTCTCCTTATTTTGCGTTTTTGTTTTAGTATGCCCATTATAATCTTTCGAATAAGCTCTACTATCTTCCATATTTACAGAATTTCGAGATTTACTCGATAAATTAAACTTCGATTTACTTCTCGGTAAAAAGATGTCTTCATCAGTATCTGTAATGCAAAATTATAAATATTAATTTTATAGTGTTGTTAAAAACTCATTAAAAACTCAAAGTATCAAAATCAGCGATCAAAGTGTGAAACAATAATCATCGCCATCGACCAATAAGTATTGGGAGACTCCACCTTTATTTTACATCATATGTAAAACATATAAGTCTATAAATTTTTTTTGCTATGTACACATTTTTACATTACCATTTAAAAAATTGTTATCTTCAGAAGAATTAAGTTTTATACGTAAAGACCAACGGGGTTTCTCCCGCTTTTGCTTATCCTCCTTGGTTGTTTGCGGCAAATACAAATTTTCAGTTTCTATAATGTGAATATCATCCACTGTAGAAAGATTCAATTCTGACTTTGAACATTTTTTGCTAGAATATCTCTTGTTCGATATCGATTTCATTATAGGTTCAATGTCCGTGGAATTATCGGTTCGATGTACGTCTGCTTTTACAATAAAAGTTGACGCACATTTTTCATCTTTATTTGTCGATCCTAAGGGTGATTTACTGCACAATAAAAATGTATATAATTATTCTGATTGAACAATCTCAACATTTTTATGCAATTTTAACATTTTTACATAATCCTACGAGATCTTTAAATCTACTTGTACAATTTTCATAATAATTTTACTATATTTAATAATAATTTAATAAGTATATAGAAAACCTTAGTATTAATTTTATACAAATATAAATTACCTGAAATAATCTAGCAAATTCCCAGATTGTTGTTTGTTATTTTTAATAGATAATCCAATACTATCATCTTTTTTATGTGTGGTATCGTCTGTGGTATCACTTTTGAAATATCTCATACGATTTTCTATATTCTTATCTATTTTTTCACCTTCTTCCATTTCAGCAATCTTTCTTTTCGAATAACCTTTTTTATCAGCTAAGGCTATCAGTTTTTCTTTATGTCTAGCTTTCAACTCTTTTGCATCCAATTTTTCTTTACACTCAACATCTTCCATAGATTGCTGTGGTGGGGTTTTATACTGTATTGGCTTACTGCGATTCATCAGAACTTGAAACGCATTTGATTCTTCTCGCTGAGAACCGATTTCGTTACAGAGTTCTGCATTTGATGTATTTACAGGATTCCCATTAATGTTCTTCATACTATCATTGAAAGAAGAGTTGTCTGAATCCACAATAATTTCTTCACTAAACTCCTTTTTATTTTGCACAAACTTTGCTTCTTCAGCTTGATTTCTATTTATTTCTGCGATGAGTTCAGAATTCTTAAAAATAAACATAATTCAATTAGCTGTCGAAGAAATCATCAAACCACTTATAGCTCTTTTATTAAATTTTAAATTTCTTTACCTTGTTGAGTCTCCGCTTCGGTTTGGTTAGACAGGACTTTGGTGTCTCCTTATGCACAGTTCTCTCGTTGTTCTTTACCTTGCCATTAAATGGACTAGGCGTTTTGTCAATCAGATCGTGTTTGCTCTCTACTATGTTGCATGTTCTCTCCTTGGAGGAGGTCCGCGATATTCGAATCTTCACGCGTTCGCGTTTACCTGTCGCGATTGTCTCCAACAATTTCTCCTTTTTTCTAGGTTCTACAACTTTGTCAACACTTGCAGCGACCTTCTCGTCATCAAGCTTCGTGCCGTTGACAAAATACTGTTTGATATCCTTCATATTCCGAGATATGATTTTTTAATAACTTTTTAACCACTTTTTTTTCTTTCTGTCACCCTATAAAAAGTCAAAAAATAACAGAAATAACGATAAAATCTCTAATGAATGTGCTATAACGTATGTATATATACGCATATATATATGTACATCACTTAATTGAATTTACCAAGGACTAAATTGATCGCAAACCTACTTGCGTTCTGTCACGAAATGTATTTCAACGCCGCTCGTTTCTCACAAGACAACACCACAATAGAGAACAGGTTCGCGACTTCACGACGTCCTCGTCGCTTCCCGCCTTTTTGCTGGAGCACAGAACAGCGTACTTACATATGAGCATATGTGGCCAGCGTATTTGCGATTTCCAACCGTGTGGAAATTGCGATTTCTTTGCTCCGATTGGTCAATCGGAGTCTCTGTTCCATTCGTGACGTCTAACATTCCCCATAAAAAATTTATAAATTTTATTTATAAAATTTTTAATTTATTTTTATATATTTTTTTATTATAATATTTATTAAAAAATATTTTATGAAAAATTTATCATTCTGAATGAAATATTTATTCCAAGAAGGACGAAGGTTAGGTCCTATTAGCGCCACGTAGAGTTGACGTAGTAGCCGGTGTTATTTTGTAATCAGCTGTCAGCTATAAATTCTAGACTTTTAAAGATTCCAGATTTTTGAAAAATATCTACAATCCAGTGTTTTATTCCAGCTTTTTATTCGAAATGTTCGTAAACGTCTTAGGAGTCTTATTAATATTAGTTGTACCTTTGTTGTTGGTTCTCACGAGAAGATTCAGCAAAAACCGCGAAACTGTTTGCGTACTTGTGTTGGGTGACATCGGCAGAAGCCCGCGAATGCAGTATCATGCGCTCTCTTTCGCCGCGGAAGGCTTCACCGTGGATCTCGTAGGCTACCCCGGTTCGTCGCCGATGAACGAGATCACCGAGAATTCGCGAATACAGATTCATTATTTGCGACCGCCCCCTGAAATTCTAGATGGTACACACTCGGCGCATCTCTTTATTTTTTTTTGTTTTTTAATAGATTTCAATATTTAATATAATTTCATTTTATTTTTGTGAGAAAACTTGTTAATATAAAATTTATTGACTTCAGAACAACAGTTATATCAGAAAAAAATCATATTTTTCATCCTTTTCAGCATTACCACGTCTTTTGTATTATATAGTAAAAGTGATATGGCAGACTGTCGATATTTTACGTTTATTACTTCTAAAACCCATAAAAGGATCCTTAATAATGCAGAATCCACCTGCGATACCAACAATGTTTGTATGTTGGTTGTACTGTGCCTTATTGAGAATGCAATTTATAATTGACTGGCACAATTATGCACACTCTCTTATGGCATTAAGCCTAGGAAATGATCATATTCTGGTTAAATTGACAAAAAATATTGAGAAAATATTTGGTCGCAAAGCAAAAAATTGTTGCGTTACCAAGGCCATGAAGGAAAATTTAGAAAAAACATGGGTATCCAGTTAGTAATATTTATCAAATCTCTTTCACTATAAAATAGTTATTTTAAACCTCTAATCTTATAAATCTATTTTGAAAGTTTTATACATCTATAAATATATCTTTGCCAATGGATCATATTTAATGATAAGATTTTTTTTTATTCTAGAGCTAAGGTCTTATACGATAAGCCAGCAAATATATTTCGCCCCATAACTTTAATAGAAAAGAAAGAATTTTTGCAAAAGTTAGATGAAAAGTATAATGTATCTATACCCAGAGGATCTGGCTTTATTGTATCTAGTACCAGTTGGACTGAGGATGAAGATTTCTCAATCTTTTTAAATGCATTACAAGGTGGTATACCTATATGCATTTATTTCAGTTATATCATGATGTTTCAAGTTTAGACAATGAAAATTACATTCATCCTATTACTTTTTATAGAATACGAAAATGCATGTAAAAACAATGAGTTGAATTTACCAGATTTAATTTGTGTAATAACGGGAAATGGACCATTAAAAGATTTTTATATGGCTATTGTTAATTTGAAAAAATGGAAACATGTTACAATACGAACACTATGGCTTGAACATGAGGATTATCCGAAAATATTAGGTATTATACATTATTCTCATGTAATTAATTTATAATTTTTTCATATAAAACAATATATTCTTTTATAAAAGACATTTTTTATGATATATTTTAAATAACCGTCTATTTTTGAAACAGCAAGCGCAGACTTAGGAGTAAGCCTTCATACTTCGTCAAGTGGACTGGATTTACCAATGAAAATTGTTGATATGTTTGGCTGCCACTTGCCAGTTTGCGCATACAATTTTAATTGGTACATTGAGAATTAATATGATTTAATTTAATATTGTTACCAAACAGACTTCCTTACTAAAAATTCATCTTACTGTTCTTCTTAGCTTGTCGGAGTTGGTAAGACACAACGAGAACAGTTTGGTGTTTGCAAACGAGAATGAGCTGGCTGAACAATTAAAAATGTGGTTTCAAGATTTTCCTAATAATGAGGCTCAGCGACAGTTGTGTGAAAAGTTTCAAAAGAATATTACATCTCAGTTCCAGCATCCTAATAATTGGCACGGTAACTGGAAATTGAATATTCAATCTTATTTTCCCTGGTTGTAACTCGACTTTTGTTCTAACATAATTTTTTGTATTTATGTTTGTATTATACAAAATTTTTTGTAATATTTTGTATTATGTGTTTGTATGTAACCCAAGGTTATTTTATTAATATTTTATTACTTTTTTATATAGAGATATAAAACTCCATAAATAAAAAAAGTAATAACATTACAAAGTTATACAATACTTTGTAATGTTAAAAGTACTTATTTGTATTATGTGTTTAATATGTTTAGTTTTTTTTTCAAGAAAGTACTAAATTACATTAGTATCTAAGATTTACATAATTTTTTATTTTATTAATACTATATTAATATTTAATATTTATATTATATAAGATTAAGCTAGATCAGATTAGATATATATAAGATAATATATAATAAATGTTAAATTATCACAACTTTTTATAACATAGTACAAAATGATATATTAGAAAAAATGTAAGACGGAAGTCATCCTAAGCTGCAAAGTATAAATTAATAAATACAATACAATCTATATTATATATAAATTTTTTCTACATATATATATATTATCTCATATAAAAATATTATACAATAGTTTTGATTTGAAAGATTACAAACATATTATGCCGATTTTTTTGAAGCTACACTCATTATTGTGCATTTGAGTTTTTAATTTCTTCTGAGAAATAAGAAGGTCCAATCTTTATTGAAATAGCACTAATGTCAGTAGATACACGACATATTTGACCAAGCTGTTTTTTCTTGCATATATAAATGTGTGGAATGCTTTTCGCTTCTGCTAAATTTATTAAGCGCGTAAGAAAATCTAACGGAGCCAATAAATGTGTTGCATCTTTGGCGAGTATTATAAATTCCGCTAGGTTCTGTTCTATCGAACTTATCACGTCGATCAATCCGATGAATAGCATATTTCTTTCCATATAATACATTTGTCGAATCAGGATTAGTAACTCATCAGCTAATTGCTCCATTGCAGTGTGGCTAGCAACACGATTACATTCCTTAGATTGAAGCCATGTAAAGAATCACAAAATATCAACATTTAAACATATATAGTAAATTTATAGTAATTCTAAAAGTGGTATATTAATATTCAAGCTAAACGAGTTATATTTGTAAAATAAATTAATGCAATAGTTTTTTAAAGCAAATTAGTTTCAGAATAAATTACTAATTATTTTTGAAACTTTGCATAATTCAGTCTGCCAATTATTATAAAAAAACAAACTTGTTTTTTTATTTTTTATTAATATCTTAAGCTCGTGTACAAGTCTTCACAAATGAAGGATTATCTTTTATTGGTCTTTTTTAAAGAGCACAGTGAAATTTATTTATACAAAACAGCACAATAGTAAAAATTCACATTTTATGCTATAATTTTATTAGTACATATTTTACATATTACATAAAGCAATTATTAATTTATAAAAATAATAGATTTAAACGTGGCTTTAAATCAGAAGTCGTTCTATCTCCCTTTGTATCATCTCGATTTGTTCTTTTAATTGAGAACCTTCATTACTCATTATAGAGCAAGCTACTACTGGCCTAGAAACTCCACAAGCTCGTCCTAAAGCTTGTTTGCTTCTAACAAATACGTAAGGTACATTTTTGTCTTCGCACAGTAGTGGCAGATGTAATAGAATCTCCAACGGTTGGGCATCCGCAGCCATTACTATAAATGCTGATAATCCACGATTTAAAGATTTGGTCGCTTCGTTGGCTCCTTTCTTCAATTGTTTATAGTTCATAGCTTGCTGAATCAAGCTTAATAACTTTGTTGTTAACGCAGAATCAGCCAGTGGATATGCTTTTGGTGATATTTCATCCATCTTGAAGTTCTTTTCAAGTTGTTCGAAGCTGTTTCGAATTTTAATATGACAGCAACTTAAAAAACCACTTGATTAGTTCGATGAACCTGCAAAAATAACAGAAAATTCGTTGTTACATTTTGAAATAAAACTATCTGCGCGGTATATCCACGTGAGAAAACCAACCTCAAAAATTCCGGTGTGCATGAATCTTCCGTTCTTCCGATTTCGTAGAATCGTTTTGACGATATATATTATATCGAGGAATAGGCTGAGCTTTTTAATTTCGTGGAAGAGAAATAAAAAATAATAGGAAAACGTTTGACAAATTTCGTTGCTCAATTCCGTTAGACGCTTACATTCGATCGTGTGCTAGGTTGGTAGCGTCATAATATATGTATAAAATTGTATCGTAGATCGATTGACTGTTGGATAGAGATTTCTTGGTGTTTCTCGCAATATCAGCCAATCGATACGTTGGGAAAGCTTGTAGGACAAAATTCCTCTGTCAGCTTTCGCGTGTACGAAAGTACGTCTACAAGTTTCGTAAATCTATGACCCAAAATAACGATGACACATGCGCATTATGACACGTGGGATGGCGGTATACAGGTATAATGTTTGTATTTTGCGAAAATATATATTATATATTCATAATTAAATACACACACACACACACACACATATATATATATATATATATATATATATATATGACATAATACAACATTTATAATGTCGATTAAAAAAATATGATTAATGGAACACTTCAATTAATATGCAGTTTCTCTCTTTCTCTTTAAAACGGTTTCTTTAATTATTTATTAGTATATAAACTTTTTTATCTAATATAAATAATATATATATATATATATGTATATATATTTTTTGTTGCTCGCATATATACATATATTTTATATCATATGTATATATAAAAGATGCATATATATAATTTAATTATTGCTAATTTTATATTGCTGTACTTTAATTATTTTTATTAAATATTATTTTAATTTTATATTAGTATTTTCACACACACAAACACAACCTATGCACCTGAACAAATAGTCTATAATTGCAAAAGCTATAATCGAGATAAAAATAATTATTTTTTTTAAAATAAAATTAATATTTTAAATAGAAAATTGTGAGTTTAGTACAAGTTAAAATTTCAAGATTCAAACTGACAAGCAAATTTTTGCTATTTTTTATAGATATAGTTACAGTTACCTGTGTTTGTTTCTTCGCTGTTGTATGACAAAAGGAACACACGCTTGTTCGTTGGTTCATGTTTTCATCAGGAAATGAAAAAACAAATTGTTCTTTATTTTGTTTCCTATATTACAATATGATCCTGATAAGATAGAACCTTCTTATAAGATATATTTGTACAAGAAAGATATATTCTCTTAATTTTTAGAATTTGTTATATAAGAGAGACAAGAGAAAAGAATAACTTATTTTACCTTAAAATATGAATAGCATATTTCTCTGGCATTTTATTGTTATTCGCATCATGTAACAGAGAATTCATCCAACAAGTGTCTGTAACACTCGTTGAAATTATTATGTATTCTGATTTCTCATTACACTCTTCAGATCTTCGATTTCTCTTGGTGACTTTCTTGTACTGTTTATTATCTTTAAGGATTTGAGAATAAAATTTCAATATAAGTATATTTGAACTTTTAATATAAATAGAATAATTAGGAAGAAGTATCTAATATGCCTTTAATATAGCTTTATATATATATATATATATATATATATATATATATATATATATTAAGAGTTTAACAATCAAGTAATTTTCTTTCATGATTTATAAAATGATAAGATGGAGTTATCAAAGTTATCAAATACTGATTGTAAAATCTGTAATTATATATTTAATTAAAGATAGAGCGAAATAAAGTATATGGAACTGCAACATATATATATATATATATATATATATATATATATATATATATATATATGTTGCAGTTCCATATACTTTATGCTCTATCTTTAATTAAATATATAATTACAGATTTTACAATCAGTATTTGATAACTTTGATAACTCCATTTTATCATTTAATAAATCATGAAAATTACTTGATATCTGTTCGATATACTGATTGTTTAAAAAATCAACATAATTCAAACAAATATATATATATATATATATATATATATATATATATATATATATTTATATATATATACATATAATTATATACTTTATTTAATATTTTTATTCCAGAATCATTTAGCACTACTTCGAAAATGATGCGAATAAAATTTACTTGTAGTACAATTACATCGAGGAAGGATTAACGTGAATTTATGATTTAGTGAAATTGGATCATTGCTCAATGATGAGACTTTCTCTCGTGTTTCAGTAATGTCATTTACGATGTTTTGCTCTTCAGATGATTTAACATCTCTTTCATCCTCAATTAGATGCTGATGGGTATCATCGGAAAGAAGTGTATCGCAAATTGCAAAGTATCTTTGAAGAATTTTAGATAAGTTCTCTTTTTCTGCCAATTGCATCAAAGATGATGCTGATGAATTCTTTTCATCGTATCTTGGCAGAGACCATTTGTTAAGCTCATTATTCTTACAAATATCTTGCGAAAGTACTTCTTCTTCGTCAGTTTTCATTTTGCTTTTCAGGGTATTGCTTACAAGTTTTTGGTCGATTTTTTCAAATTCGTGTAGTTCTGTCAAATCCTTTGACGATGCATCGCAAAATGTAAAACGCAGATTGGCAGGCACGATTTGTCCATTATGCGAAATATTATTTTTGCGAAAAAAAATATTGTTTTCTATGCTTTCGCAAGGTGGATTATACGAGATTGTTCGTTTTACACAGTTCCTCACTATATAATATAATAAATTAAAAAGTGAGTGAAAAAATGCGATATATCTGTATAAATTATTAAATATTTAAAAAATCACATTAATGGATTATATTAAAAAATTACTTATTGTTGTAGGTACAGAGAAGTTTACATCATGTTTATCGGACCACATTAATAATTACTATTGAGAATAATCGTAGATGATTTTTCTAAAAATATCCAAATTTTCTTTCGAAATTTTTATTCATTTTACTGTAGAATTTCAAGTTTCTAGAATATTAATTATTGTATGTAAATGATAAACTCTTATACACACGACATATCGGTTATAAAATTAATATCGATGACAGATTGTTCGGATAATCACTGATAATTGCAAAACTTCGTTATACATATATCGTTGTTTTATTTCACAACGTTTTACATTGTTATATTATATATAATCAACAGAACGAAATAAATTTTGTGTTTTAAAGTCACTAAAGAGATAATAAAAAGAGATATAAATATAAAAATTATAGGAAATAGACACAAACTTGTCTTCTGTATTTTAATGAAGAGCAGAATTAAAATTAGCAGTATAGCAATATTTTTTTATTACACTAAATTATTATTCTGTTTAATAAATATATAATTGTTTCAGAGTAATTATTCTTTTGGGTATAACTTCGAATGTAATATTTATTGGCTCTGTGAAATATTATTTTTTAGATGTAAATTTGTGTTTTCATAGATCGTTGCATATATTTTATGTTTTTTTTTACCGTTAACGCATTAGATATGCACCATGCACCTCATTGAATTTAATGAGATCATTGTCTTTAAAAAATGAATGCACAACGCATGCGCTGCAGTCTTTAAAAGGATATGACACGCTTCTTGCTAACAGCATTCAAGGAAAAACCAATAATGCAGAAGTGTCTATTAACTACTGTGTGATTTAGAAGTGTGAAAAATAGACTACTCGTCTTAAATATTCTATATATATATATATATATATATATATATATATATATATATATATATATATAAAACGATACGAGATGATATGTGAGAAACAAGGTGAGAAAAATAAAATATTGTCAAAATTTTTTTCAATACTCCTTTTTGGTTTTCAAATATTCTTAGGATAGACACTTAATTGTGTATCTAATATAAAAATATTTGGACACTGATTAGTTTACTTTTACATTACTGTTAATTGCTTTCCATTATCATATCTGGTGATCATAATTAGCAGAACCATTATTGATTAACGCTCAGTGATATACGATCGCGATAATAAATATCATATTTCTGTATCGATCGTCACATATCCAAGTAAAATCGAGTCATTTACGTACTTTATAATTATTTCTATTTTTTTACCGATCATAAATATGCTAAAACACAATCTAATATTTTTTAAAAGATTATATATATATATATATATATAGAATATTATCACACGCAAAATAATTATTCACACATTAAGTTATTATGATGCGTGAGAAAGCATTTCAATGATTAAAAATAGTTTTACTTCTGTGATGGATATAACAATAATACAGTAAGCATATATAATTTTTTTCAACAGTCATTTAATTATTTATTTAAATTAACCATTCAATCAAAGAGCTTTAAATGAGCTTAATGTCAAACTTTTATTATATTTTTGTATTATATTATTATATTTTTTATTCCATAAACATATTCTTTTTTCAATAATTATAATCTGTATATATAACATTTTATCTCTTCAATCAAGATCAAAAAAAGATATTAAATTACAGATAGATAGCAAAACGTTTATTTTTGTATTATAAATATTTCGCTGCATACTATATTATTGTCACTTTATATTACATCTTTCTACACAAGATGTATATTTAATGAAGCATATGCAGTTTATTAATTTTATACTTTATTTATAGGAAAGAAAATTGTCAAAAATGTCTCAACATCTAATGGTTTTAAAACGTTCTATAGAAATACATCTTGAAAGGAATTTTGTTTATAAAAAATCTTATAAATGTACATTCCTTTTAATGATTACTATATACTATATACTAAGTGTTGAAAGAATCACTCTTTAAAATGACATATTTTTTCTAATAAAAGTTTCATTTAAAAATGAAAATCAATATTAAAATATCAATAAGGCTATAACATTTTTTAAATGAAAAACGCGTTTGAGAAGAGTCGGCCAATCACGTTATTAATCAAAGTTCGCGCTTTATTCATACAGACATATTTGAAAATGGAGCGATATTCGATAGCACTGACTATATGAAATGTATTACCAAGCCTGAAAACGCGAACCTTGAGCATTTATATCTTTCACAAACCAAAAGAGATAATAATTGCTTCGTCCGTGTTCGTTTGCATGTATTACCCGAGCTAAAAGTATTAGTCTACAAGAATATATCTAGAAATAATCAAATATATCCCAGATAGTATATATACATTTTTATTTTTTATTTTTATTTTTTTATGAAATTTTTTATTTTTTAATAAACTGTAACACACATTAGAAAAATCGCGTTTGTTTAAATTGAGATGTTTTTTAGTTAAGAATGAATCGACTATATTTTCAATCCAATAATTTTGTCCAGATGATCTCTTATCTCCGATTACTATTTAAATTCGCGCTTATTATTTATAATAAATATATACTCTGCCAAATATGTATAATTAAATAATAAAAATTACGGATAATATTCTCTATTCTAATTAAAGTCGTATAGATAATTATACTCAGTTTAAAAGTTTATGACAAAGACGTCTTAAAATGTTTTGTAGATAATATATTCTTTTTAAAGCGTTCTATAATTAACAAAGTTATGAAATATCTTCTGTACACGCATATATAGATATGTGTGCATATCATAAAATACGTATTTCTAAAATTATCTCATTGAATCTTATCTTAATCATCATTTTTCATATTATTTACAGCACACACAATTGCGTTAATAAAAATCCTTGCATTTTTCTTTCACATTCAGACAAGAAAGAGACTCCATTATGACTTGGCGCGATGATTTACAATACATAAGGTACAATAAACGCTGATGATTACACAATAGTGATTAGTATATAATGCTTTTTTTAATGCAAGCAATAAACCCTCCTTCCAAGATGCGTTTCAAGTTCTTTCTCAGAACAGATCGAGTGTTTCAAAATTACTAGATGCTGACAGATTCATTGATAATTCTTCCCCACACTACCATTGTATATACGCAGTGGACAGATTTTTTTAGCGAGATTTAATCGATAAAACGATAACGCGAATACGATTGATATAAAAATTTGTTGTTTAATCGAAGCAGTGAGAGAACGTACATGCGTATTTACTTGTCCACCGTATTAACAACAACATTTTTATTACTTTTCATAATGAACATTTTGTGGGTGATTTTATTGTTTACCTTTGCAGTCGGGAAGACTGAAGAGGAGTTGAATGATCGGCCAGTTATCGGTGAGTTTCCTCGAAGAAATCGTGATAAATATCGTTTAATTGATAGATATTGCTGTATATATATCTTAATTAGAAAGTACACGAAATGAAAGGTTAGAATTCATATATAGATAGAAAAAATATGTATATCGAATTCTTTCCTTCTTTTTTCGTAAAATTTTACGAAACTTGAGCGAAAGAGAAATATTTTTCTTGTTAAATATAGTTTTAAAAAATTGTAATTATGTGTGTAATGTATAATTATTCTAAATGTGACAACAATTCTTTTAATTTTGATATTTGAATTTAAAATATTATGCAATCGACGTTAAACATGCGCATGGCATTTATTTTAACACGTACCATCGATAATTATTTTATATACTGAGATAATATACAGGGTGTCCAAGAATTACCGTATCACACGTTAATCGGAGATTCCTCAGGCTATTTGGAGACGATTTTTCCTCAACGAAAATGTCCAGGCACCAATATATAATTTTCGAGTTATAAATGATTGAAAATAAAAGCTATTTTGTAAATAACTAAACCTTGTAAAAATAAATTATTAACAAAACTACATTTTTTTAGTTAATTTCAGGTAAAGTTTACTTTAATAGAATTTTAATTTAAGGCTTAGTTACAAAGATACATGATTTCAAAAATTGGGAACTTAAAAAAAATGATGACCTTTCTCGACATTTTCGCTGAGGAAAAATCGTCTCAGGAATCTCCCATTAACGTGTGATACGGTAATTCTGGGACACCCTGTATATTTGTGCATCTACAAAATCTTGATTAAATAATTGAATATAAAAATTATATATTTTAATTTAAAAAAAAATATATATATACACACATTTATGTTATCTCATATATAGAAAACTTTAATTTTTCTGCAATAACACATTGACATATAATTTTGCGCGCGTGAATAAACTTAATTTAATTAAAAAAATTATTTATTGAAATCTAAGAATGCTAAAATTTTTTTCTTTTCAAGGTATTCTGACACAGGAAATAGATTATAATTTGAACAAGAAATATCCTAATCAGTATCACAGTTACATCGCTGCATCTTATGTAAAGTTCGTTGAAGGTGCTGGTGCTCGACCTGTTCCAATTTGGTAATCGTGAGAATTTGTATCTGTATACATTTGATCTTCAATTCGAGTTGAAATTAATATTTCTATAGTTAGAATTCAATTTATTAGAATAGGATATTTAATCGCGAAAATTGTAATAAAAATCAACTTCCTATCGAGGTCTTCTTATGACGATATTTTCTTACAGATCATTAAACAAATCTTTTATATTGTTAGATAATTACAGAAGAAACATAAAGGAAGAATTGCAAAATATTGTAAATTCTTTTATGTACAATTAGTTCTATTTAATATAAATTCTTTTTAATGAAAAATTGAGGAATAATTGTGACATTGTAAGCGATTGAATGTAACCGCATTTTTATAAGTTAAATTTTAGAGAATTGCAAATATAATAAAACTAGGTATTTTCTTCTTTTAATTTTAAATGGATTTTACTCGTGCTTTTTCTCGATATTTTCGCTAAAAATATGTTTGAAAAATGACTCGCCAAATTTACTTTGGACCATTACGTGCTTTTAGCACTTATATAAATGCTTTTTGAATAATTTCCTTTAGTTTTTGAAAGAGTGCTTTCGTATCAAAAGAACTAAAATTATAATTATTTGTAAGAAATTGAACATGTATAAAAATAACAGATAAGGTTCAAATGTTTATCTTACATATTATACATACTATTACATAGGTACAAATAGATATTATCGGATTTATTAATCTACGGATTATAATGCGCAATTTTATGTAGGATTGGCGGAAACGATTCGTATTACGAGGATATCTTGAATAAAGTCAACGGGTACGTGTAAGACGATTACATATTATTTCAAACATTTCATTAGATGTACTCATAATGCTCGTTACTTTTGTAGAGTTCTGTGGCCAGGAGGTGCAACATATTTCTTTCAAAAGGAAGGATATGCCGATGCAGGCGCCGCGATTTACAGGTCACTATAAAACAATACAGAATAATATCAACGCAATGTATTTAAAACATTGAATTTTATATATATATATATTTTTTTTTGTTATAGGATCGCGAAGAAAATTAACGAGAGAGGCGAGTATTTTCCCATACTTGGCATCTGCCTAGGTTTCGAATTATTGACGTATGTCGCCGCGAATTGCGTCGAACATAGGACAAACTGTTCTAGTAAAAATCAGCCTCTTCCATTAGAATTCACACATGGTAACTATATTTCTTTTCTAAATCAAATTTACTATTATTCAGCATTCGTTTTATATATTCTCTTTTTTATTTTTATCTTTCCAATTATTTTTTGTCGTTCCAATTTACATCATAAATTATTTCTAGATTACATTTAACAGTGCGTATTTTAATATAATATTATATGAAAGCTACTAGGCCGATTTCGATATAATCTTAATTTATTACATAACTTGAATACAATTTTTTAAAATATATTTATAAGAAAATACAAGTTACATACTTCGTTATACTTTAGAGCAATTGTTAATTCTTGTGAAAATCATTTTAGGACACAAATATTTCCTAAAAATATTGTGAAAAAATATTTCATTTCTGGGATGTTATAAACTTTAAGATCATATTCTGGTTCCTTCGTTAGAATTTATTTTTTAAAAAATACTTCAGATTTTAGGGAAGCCAATTTATTTAGGCAGGCTCCGCAGGATATCGTGAGGATTTTGGATGAGGAAAATGTCACGGCTAATTATCATCAATTTTGTGTTACGATGGAGGTACTTTTTTCAAGAAATTATTAGTTAAGCAATTGCAAATTCAATTTATAACGAGGAATAATATTGCAATATTAAATATACACGCTATTCTCTATTTCAGGATTTACGTCGTGTTAATTTAACTGACGAATTTCACGTGTTATCATTGAATCGCGATAAAAAAGGTTTAGAATTTATTTCAACGCTGGAACACAAGCACTTTCCATTTTATGGAGTACAATTCCATCCAGAAAAGAATCTCTACGAATGGGTGACTGGAAAAAATATTCCTCACGGACGTAATGCCACTTTAGTGGGTCAATATTTTGCTAATTTCTTCATCAATGAAGGTAAATAATATCGAACAAATAAAAAGTAAACCGTTCAAGTGTCTCTTATTACTGCAAAATTTTCAAAGTTTCTATTCATTTTTCAAGAACGTAGAAATGTTATATACATAAAAGTTTCATTGTAAGATATATTTAAGTTCATGTTAAATTTATCTCGATACATTACGCATCTTTTTTCTTAATATTACGAGTATATTTTTCCCAGTAACTATCCGAATTGCAGCCGAATGTTTTGTTTGAAATAAAATTGATTTTTTTGTACAGCTCGTAAGAATTCGCATGAATTTCCGACGGAGCAAGAGGCGAAACAAAGTCTGATTTACAACTATCCTGTTACTTACACAGCTCTGGAAAACTCTACGTATCAGCAGTGTTATATGTTTAAGAAAAGTGACCGTTTTATAGACGATTTTTTTATAGACAACGAAGTATAAAACTTTAGCAAGTTTTATTTTTGAGATAGAAGAAACATACGTCGCTCTTTTTCATCATATATAAATGTAATTTTGTAAATACATTCATCAAATTCTCATCTGCGCATAATAGAAACAGAAATGAAGATTGTTAATTATTTTTAACTAATTTTTAAATATTCGAACTCGTTAGTAGCATGACGGCACTGGGGAGCACACAAACAAAATAAGATTGATACGCGTAATTTCCACATTTAACATAACACCAGTGTATATTGTGTCACAACTGGGATACATAATATTACAATGGTGCATAATAAAATTCTATACATATTTTCGTTCTATCTAAAGTAAATAATCATATTTTGAAACTTTTTTTTTTCCCTCACCACGTTTTTTTTCGCTCTGAGCCGAAGCGCGCAGATGTTTCGTACTTCAGATAACGCTCTGTACGAGTCTAGATTCAACGTAACGTGTATTACACGTCGGTTACGATAAACGACAACGATGAAAATGGTGTCTAAACAGCGTCGTTTTACAATTTGCTTCGACTCACAACGCTCGGAACGCATACGGATCTGACTTGCCATTAATCTTCATCTTTATTTTTAAACAAGCACGAAACTAAATCTCTTAAAAGCATGAATCAACTCTTAGTTTTTTTACCCTTGTAACGTATGATAGTATCATTATTAATAATCATAATAATTCATATAAACATTATTTCTATTTATTCCTTGTTACATATTCTTAGCAATGTGTTGCGCAAAGATGAAAAGGTCATTTGCAGAGGAATCGCCTTTTTTTCTTTTATCCTCTCTTTACATCTGTGTTTCTTTGTCGGAAGAAGTCCCTTTAAGGAAAAGGACGAATCTGGTCGTTTTTTCTCCGGCGATTACCTCACTTACATATGTTACACAGTATATATACATAATGTATATAAGCATCATAAGCAATATATATATTATACATATATATTTGTCCATATCCCCCGTATAAGTTCACGATGGCTTGCGTGTTCATTAGCTTTCTCTATATCTATCGCCCTCGTTTATTTTCCTCTTTTTTTAATTTTCTCCCGAGAATATAACAAAGATCTACGCATAATGTAGGTAAATTCCCCACGATATTTCACGGTATAAGATGACCCTGCAATACATTCAAGTTTTCACTGCTTCGTTACTTTAAATAGTACTGAGATAACTAACTGTTTCAATATACTTAATATATATATTCATTATATATAATATATATATATATATTATATATATTTATATCTAGATTTCTACCAAGTTGCGAACAACTTTCGTCGCACGCGACGTGACGCATGTGACGTACAAACGCGCATTAATAAATTTGTCGTCCTCTTTATATAATGCCTATTTGATATAGTTTTACTATGTACTAATATTATACATAATTATATATTTAATGCAAACGCGACGGCGCGACGACCAAAATTGGTTGCAATTTTCTTTTTTTTTTAAATCGCTTTCATGTTCGAACCGAAGTTCTACACAACGCTCGATATTTTATACGTGCGCGATCACAGATACGCCACGCAGTCACGCTCTTATTTATCTCTTTTTTTTACTTTTATCTTAACGGTAAATACGAAATACATGGCCTTACAGGATGATCGCTATAGTGATAGTGTCTCTCCTTTCATGCGATAGACGATATAAAAAGAATGATTAATTAACAATTAATTAGATTTAGTAATGAAACTTAAACAAAACAAAAAAAACCATTAATATTTTAATACACCAATTTAATTTATATGTATTCATCGATTTGTCTTCGGTCTGTTTATGTATTCAAGATTGGGTATCAGTGGTGTCCGTTTGTCCGCAGTTAAATTTTTGTTTCCCGAAACAAAATGTGCCATTGAATCATATTGCACTTGATCGTGATAATTAAAGCTAAAAATTATAGCGTGTCAGTTAAACGATTAAACGTACACACGAATATCTTCGCATCATTCATCGATATATAAAAGTTTATTTATTGGAGCTCAAACCTTTGGTTTTCTATTTTACTCCAAAATATTACAAATTCACGCTTTTTGACAGAGATCCACTATATTCAAGATATTAAATATTAGCTGAGAATTTTAGAAATACACGAATATGAAATAATTGTATAATTTATCAAGAGTTGACACAAAATTATTTCATTAGTATTAGAAAATTAGAAAACAAAATTACTATATACATTTGTGATTAATTACTACTACTACTACTACTACTATTACAAATAATTTGTCAAATTCAATTAGTTTTTTTTTATATCAACGATCTTTTTTATATAAAAGTATATCTGTTTGCAAATCGGACCCACTTTAATTAATTTGAAATACCACTCCGAATTCAATAAAATTTGAAACTATCAGCCTTAATAATAAACTGATAGAAAAAAACAATATAAAGTTAGTAATTAATGTGCAAAGCAATCATAGTCAATGCGATTACAATTATCAAAATTAATCTTTACTGTCCTTTTTTGATTCACGTTTGAAAAATTATGTTTTCAATGTTGGGTAAAACGTATTGGCAAATAACGATTTACCAACATACATATTTTTACAAGAAAATATTAGTAATATATATTAGTATATGTGTGTGTGTAGTATTAGTATATATATTATATATCCTGATATTTATAGAAAAGTATATTATATATGCTAATACTAATATATATTAGCATATATAACATAGTGTATATTATATATGCTAATACCTATATACATATATATTTATATACAATACATATTCTCTCAAAGTCGTTATTCGTTATTCGCGAATGTATTTTTCCCGACAGTACTACGTGCCATCAATATTCTTCATTACTGGCGAATTCATACGGATATACATTCTTCTCATATGAAAATAATATGTGAACATAATAATCCGAGACAATCGCCATCGACATTACATATTTAGTGCCTTTTCATTAAAATTACGGAAGATTAATAAAGTACAATGTTAACGAAGTAAGAACTATTACATGTTTAATTATTAGACATCACATAGTCGCAAAGTTCCGACACTTTGATGTTTCTTTTGCACAAATTTGAAACGAACACACATCGCCTATACGTTCGTTACCACAATCGACATATACTTATCAAGTATATAAGCATACAAATGAAGCAAAACCAAAAACTTTGGATAATACGCCGCCTGCATTGTCGCAAGTCGAGCAAGTCATTAAATGTTCCAATATATAATGTTTCATGCGCATATCACGAACGATCGCTTTGTATTATCCTGAATAAACTTCACTGCGAATTTTACCAAAATGAAGATGGTTATGAAGCTGCTACAGAATTGCAGATGGATCGCGCAGCACGCGAGACACATAATGTGATTCAAATATTATGGCGTACATTAATAATAATCCCACCACTGCAATCCAAGTTTCCTCGAGGAAACGACGAACGGCGGCGCACTTCTTCGACACAATCGTAATATATTAAGTATACACACAGCATATATCAGACGTCTTCTTTATTTTTTCCCATTATTTCTCCTTATTCTTCCTGTTTCTCTTGTCATATTTCAACCTCAAAGAATTTTTCCGAGCTTCTTTAATCGTGTTTAGGATTTCTCATCTCTTCCTTCATCCGGATTCCGGATCTAATACGACGCTAGTACGCCGGGTGGTGTCGGCACGACTACCGTGTGTTGTGGGACAACGGGAGGCGCAGGTGGAGCCAAGGGATGTCCGACCAGAACTGCCGCTGCCGCGGGTATCGGCAGAACTCCGGCTTGCGGTATCGCCGACGGCGTGCTGACCTGGGTCGGCGGTCCTTCGGCCGCGTGCTTGCGCAAGTGTCGCAGCATATTTCCCTTCTCGACGAAGGTCTTGCCGCAGTCCGGGCAACTGTGCGGCCGCTCGTCCGAGTGCGAACGCCGGTGCGAGACCAAGTGTCCTTTGCACATAAAATCTTTGGGACACAGATCGCAGCGGAACGGCCTCTCGGCGTTGCTGCCCTTGTTGTGGGAGCGCATATGGAAGAGAAGATTGCCCTTCAACGGGAAACTCTTGCCACATTCTGTGCACACGAATGGACGTTCACCGGTATGGCAACGCATATGATTCACGAGATGCTCCTGCAAAAATTTAAAGATATACATAAGAATATCGCCCATACTGCTATGTAAACAGAGATTCGAGTAAAGCTTTAGCTATGTTAGAATTAAAAGCAGTATAAAAATAGGTAGAAGAGTTTTTTATTAATGAAGGATATATTTTTGGGTAATATATCAATTGTAATATATTATTTCTTGTCAATTGATAAAGAATTGATTAATGAAAGAGGTAAAAAATATTTACCACATTTCGTAGCTAAAGGATTAATCGCATATCGAGAAATTTGAGTCTATATTTTACATTTTCAAGTATATTATAAAAAATAGAATTTATGAATCGCTTGCGAAATTAAAATTGCCAATATTTTAAATTTTGAGTAAAACATTTGGACACAAATTGCGAGGTCAACGTACCTTTCTTGTGAATGGTTTGGAGCACACGTTGCAACAGTGCGAGGAATCTCCGGTATGTTGACGGAGATGATTATTTAGATGTTCTTTCCTAGTGAACGTCCTCTGGCAGAACTCACACCTATGTGGAGATTCGCCAGTGTGGATGCGCACATGATTCGTCAAATGCTCCTTACGAGTAAATGACTTGGAGCAGAAGTGGCATCGGTGTGGCGATTCGCCTGTATGTTGACGCACGTGATTGGTCAAATGTTCCTTCCGCGTGAAGGATTTGGTGCAATACTGGCACTTGTGCGGTGACTCACCCGTGTGCTGCCTGACGTGGTTCACCAGGTGATCCTTCCGCGTAAATGCTTTTGGACAGTATGAACAGCGGAAAGGCGTCTCCCCTGTACATATTTTACAAGCGAATTCGCAACGTTTGAGATAAAAAAATAGGAAACGTCTTCGTCATTCAGAACTCAGTGGAGTTATCCTGCACAAGGCGAGTTTTGCCTGACGCAACGCATAGAGAAGGCATAATATCGAATGCGACAAATCCCGATGTACTTTTTCTCTTTCTATCCAAAAATTAACTTTGCATATTCTAAATATGTACTTTGTATTGAAGCTGACGTACGTCGACGTCATTATATAAAACATGTAGGAGCTCTAATCTCTTTTTACAGGGTATAATACATAAATAACAGTCTTTAATAGTCTAGTATCAGCAGATACTAAATTAATTCAATTTTTTAGGATTTTTGTCTAAAATTGCAAAAAATCATTGTTGATTATTTAGTGTTCATTCGGAGAAAATATCATATGCATGCGTGAAAAATCCTGCGCTACAAATATTATTCGATATTGCCGTATCCGTACGTTACATCAAAGGAAAGTCAGCTTGTACAGCAATAAACTATAGTATTTTGAGATTATACATATATTATTTATATATATACAGAGTGTTTCTGAAACTGTCAGAGATTTTAAGGGTCTATTCTAGGGATGAAAATAATAGAAAAAGTTCCTATAAACATGGTCCAAAATTCCTTTCCCTTAGAATTATAGTTTCCTAAAGTTGGGAGCATAATTGAAAAATGTAGCTCTTGGACACTTTTTCACAGATTGTGAAAGTTTCCGACAGCTACAATACATTTTTTTCATGCATCTTTAAGGAGACTATAACTCGGAAGAAAAACATTTCTGGACCCCCATGGTTATAGGAACTTTTTTTGTCTTGATTCCTAGAAGGTATTCTTAAAATCTCTGACAGTTTTAAAAATATCCTGTGTGTATACATATATATATATATACACACATATATGTATATACATATTTTAACTTTGTATATAGCAGATACTGAAATATATTATGCTAATACTACTATTACTTTAAGCGTGAAACTTTCTATCTCGCGTATATGAAGCAAGTAAATATGAATTTCTTTCTCGAGAATCTCGTATCTAATCTATCACAATACTCTGTATCAGTGTTGAAACTAAAACTGAGACTTGTCCAATTGTTAATGCCAATGAGATGAAGTTATAGGAGCAATATAGAATTATTTTACAAGTCTCTCTGATTACGTGAAGTACAAAATTTGACTGACAATTTTATTAGAGGATGCAAACGACAACACTTATAAATGCGAGGAACTGTTGTGTGGAGCGCTGTTAATAAAAGGTATGGTATGATATGAGAGCGGTGTATTAGGCAGAACAGCAGCAAATGTTCTTGGGAATTCAATGATGATGGGAGATTTTTTATTTTGATTTTTGCAATGATCAGATCGAGTTAGATGCGCGATGGTGTAAACATTAAGAGATACATACGATGAGAGCGACTGAGTGAGAGTGAATTTGTGATGAAACTTTAAGATGATCCCGTCTAAATCAAATCTCATGCAAATGTTTGATCCTCAGCTAAATGCATCACACACACATGTACAGGGTGTTTCAACTCTAGCAGATCAATCATGAATTCTAGAGTCCCTTAAAAATAAAGGCAGACTCTAATATTTAAATATTGAAATATATAAATAATTTGAATTACGACCGAAGTTTATCGCGATAGGTATAAATTTTGAATGATTAAACGAATAAAATATTTCTTTATTCAATTTGCAATAGAATTGCAACGTAACGTTTCAGTTTCCAAAATTCTCATGTTACAATGTACAGCGATCATTAACATACGGATATTTTCGTGAAAGACAAATGGATTCCATATCTGTCAATGATCTGTAAAAAGCATCTATATGCAAATAAGCCAGTAGAAGTGAAATAGCCCCGTATGTAAGCCAGATGTGTGAAACCGGAAGCGTATGGAGAGACGAGCGCCCCGACTCGTGTTTGATCGCGTCACTTAAACGTGACGCAACGCACGAGGTGACTCTCGCAGTCCCTAATCGATCTCTTAACTCTAAAAAAAAAAAAGGAGAAAAAGGAAAAAAATGCTGATCTCTCTCTTCTTGTTCAATATATATGTACATAAAATAGATCACGATAATACAACTACTCTTAATAGAGATAACGATTATATCGGTTGCCCGTGAAGTGAACATCTGCCAACCGCTCTCACCTGTGTGTTGGCGGATGTGGTTAACAAGGTGTTCCTTTCTGGTGAACGATTTGGAGCAGAAGCCGCATCGGTGTGGAGACTCACCCGTGTGCTGGCGAACGTGGTTCAGGAGATGCTCCTTTCGCGTGAATGTCTTCGAGCAGAAGTCGCAGCGGTGCGGCGTCTCGCCCGTGTGCCACATTATGTGGTTCGTGAAGTGCTCCTTCCTCGTAAACGACTTACCTGTAAAGCGGCAGCGAAGAAACAGAAAGAAAACACCCGAAAACAGGCGCGTTTCATTAGATTGCAATTGTCATACAAGATAGATAAATGCGTATATGTATAATAAACGTGCGTAGGTAACAGGGTGTTTCTAAAACTACGTCAGAGATTTAAAGGACGTATTCTAATAAGGGTTCGAAACAAGAAAAACAATTTCCAAAAATGTTACAGCCCTCTAAAATTGGAAGAAAAAATTGTAAAGTGTATTTTATTTGAGTACTTTATTTTTATGTAGTTTTGACAATTTGATCCGATTTTGAGAGGGAGATATGGTGCTCATTTTCATTTTTGGATCCATCATTACAGAAACTTTTTTTCTCATTTTGAGCCCTAGAATAAAATTTTTTTGAAATTTCTGACATAATTTTAGAAACACTCTGTATAAATCGATGTGGGACGATTCCAAATACACATATTAGACATTTATAGAATCATGATCGTGTCATTATCGAATCGTTAGTAGTCATTATGCGAAAATGAACTTTTGATCATTTAAATAAATATTAAAAAGTTATTTCATTTTTTTTTTTTTCAAATTAATCACACGTATAAAATTACAAGTGACGTATGGAAAAAAATTGACTGCTTATTAAGCAGCTAATCTAATTCCAATTTGTCAATGGTAATTAACTCGTCAAAGATTTTCCAAATTTTTAAAATATATATATATTACAGAAATTTTTTTCATTTTGATTTTCAAAAATTACATCAGATGACGCGCGCTTGTGTATATACACGTGTCACGTGACATTTATAGATCGACGCGCATGCTTGCAGCCCTATCGAGTAAAAATACAAAATTTCGAATTTTCCACTTTGTGTGGCAGACGCGACTTTGACATTTACTCGCGTATTTTTCGCGATCGCGTAACGAAAATATGACCGAACATATAATTACCGCGTCGTCCAATTTTGCTTACTAACACGTAGCTAACGAAATCCCAATGTTGGGAGTGCATTTTGTAGCCAAATATCGCATCCATTTTATAATCTCTCGTGCGAACGAAATCGATGAATTTCGCGGCAGCGCCGATTTAACGGGCATTTGCAGTAGCTACGATTAAATTGCTGATGACTAAACCACCCTGCGCGTATTAAAACAACAAGATGACGATTGTTAATAACGCGACGAAATGAAGATTATTCTACTCGAAGAGTCCGAGATCCTTTACGGCAAAGATCAGTATCCTTGGATATAAAGTAAGCGGTCCACGACGCGGAATAAATTTCGACGTATCGACGATAAAATGGCAAAGCGCGAATATCTCAAGGACCTAGAAGACAACGTATATAATAAGCAAGCGTGGCGAGCAGAGGGATAATGCGAAAGAACGTTATACGAACCGCTTAAATTTACGAAATAGCAAGTCATGCCATCACAGTTCACGGCCAAATGTTGGGTGAGAAATAAAGGGCCCCCTTATAGAGAGAAGCCGGCCGGCAGCAGGCTCGCGCGATTTCCGAGGACTGAAGAAGGAGGAAAGAGGTTCGTCGTCGTCGTCGAATACGGGGGAGGGCAAGCGCACCGACCCGATCGCACAATTCTCTAAGGTTACAGGGGAGTCCCCTTCCTTCGCGAAGGAATGCGCGCGACCCGCGAACCGGTAGGGGCGAGGGTGGATGCATGGAACGGCCGGAGGAAACAGCGAGGGAGAGAGAGGCGGCTACTCGCGATGCGCGATCAATTCTCGCGAATTTTATTTCACCGCGCCATGTATATAAACCGGCCGCGCGACTCGACTTGCGTACAGCGCGTTCGACGTAACTCCGCGCCGCGTCAATTTCGCGCAACCGAGACCTCCCGAGAGACAGATACCCTCGTGTCAAATCCCATCGATCCCGCGCGCCTACGCGACTCTTGTTTCTTGTTTTTTTTTTTTTTTTTTTAGTCTTGCACTCTCGGTTTATAATCCCCGAAATTCGTTCACGTTTCAGAGATGCAGAACCCTCCCGACAATTTGACAGTCGTCCTCGAAAGCATTCAAGCTTATTTTTATTTATATAATTTCGATTGAAATTGTCGTTTTCGTATAAAAAAGATTTTTGTATCTCTACTCGAATTTTGTGTAAAAAAAATTCTCGGAGAATCTCTTGATTTTTCAGATATTCTTGATTCAAAATTTTAAGTTTGAGATTTCAAAAAATGTTACTTAAATTTTGAATATTAATTTGACAAACATATTGAAAAGAACCGAAAAGCTTTCACAAGTGTATGTTTTTACTTGCATATTTTTTTATTATCAAGACTGATAAACAAAGATAATGTCTTGAAAATTCGCGAGTTTACAGATATTCGCTAATTGTTTATAATATATATACATGCAGTATATAAATACATTATATTAAAAAAATTAATAAAATTTTACAATTTCCAATAAAATTGCATGACGTTTCTAATTTTTCAAGATAAAAAGTTTTCCAAATTTTTCCTAAACGGGAATAGATAACTTTTGTGTTTAAATAAATATTGAATATTCTACATTATTAGACGTTTTCACAATATTAGATTTACAACATAATTTCAGTTATTTTTTTTTGTCTTATATCTTTACATCAATAGACTTTTAATAACTTTTAATAAAGATTAATTTATTTCTTTTGCAAGTTTGTAAAATGAAAATTAAACAACTGAATTATAGATATATATAAATAATACAAAAATTTAATTATTTGTTAGGCTTTCTTTTAGACTATAAATACATTTGTCTATATTCTGCATCTCTGTGTAAACGAAATTATCTTTTCCTTTTTTAATATTAAAAAAAAAAGTTTAAAGCATTGAATAAATCCGCAAAAATATATGGCAATGAAAGATAGCATGAGATATATTAATACTTTAAAGCTTACAATGCGTTCTCTGAAAAATGTACACACTGTATTGAGTCTCATATTAATGAAAATAAAATATTACTAACAAAATGTATTAAAAAGTGCACAAAGCAAAACTTAAAACAGCATAAAAAACTATATTAAGAAATGATTTAAAAAAATAAAATTAGATTCTGAATTAAATTAATTTTTTATCTTAATGGGATACTTAATCATATAGTATTATTTTTTATATTTAATGTTCCATGAATTAAAACAACAAATAACATCAAAATTTATAATTACTTTTAAAATTTTAATAAAATCAAAACTAATTTCTATATTTCATTTAATATACATACTTCTTTTGGTACTAATTTCTAAGGTTAATTTAAATTAATTAGTTTTAAATACATATATACTTTCAAAGACGAAATCCGGTATTTATAAAATAAAGATAAATAAATATTACTTTAAACAAATTATGAATAAAAAACTTTGTACTCATTTAAACCTTTAATTATTATAGATTATAGATCCCATTAATAAATATAAAAAATTATATGTAAATCATGTATAATTAAATATAATATCTTACTTACCTTACTAACGCTTCAAATTTCCTTAAATTTGCATTTTTTAAATCTTTCCCTTATGATAAAATTATTTAATAACATATTTAATATTTTATACGAGTACCGATAATGACCGATTATCACTCTTTCTCTATAATACTCTATATATGTAATTTGTCAAAGAATAATTTAACTAATTTTGTTATGAATCGCTGTCATGTCGAACGTTTTACTCTTACGAAAAATGAGAATTAAAGTATTGATAAATTTAAACAACTAAAAGTAAAAACAAACCAATACGAGTAAACATAGAGAATTATACAATGATACACTTGCCAATAGTATTTAAAAAGGCGGAACAATTTATACTTCGCTTCTCTTCAACCAAAAATACAAATATGATGACTATAAATGACATTTATATTTCGATTGTATAAGACTTAGGAGAATAAAGGAAAGAGATGAGATTTGAATGTATCATCGTACAGATATCTCTATGTAGGCTCATATATTAGCCTGTATACCTTTAGATATTTACTTTTCTCTTCTATTTGCAAAAATTGAGCACGCGAAAAATTGATAAAAAAAGGTAATTGTGTATAAATTTAAAAAGTTTCTGGAATCGTCCCATTAAATACCATGATCGTTTAGCTTCGATATAGATTTTAAAACTATAGTTTCTTCTCATCCTGAGAATTATTTTTAAAAATCTGTGACTTGCGTTTTTTTTTCACACAGACAGGTATAAAAAATAGAATTTCATCACTCACCGCATATTTCACAACGGAATGGTGTGTCATTCGTGTGCGAACGCATATGGTTAGCGAGATGCTCTTTACGTGTATACTTCTTGCCGCAGGCTTGGCAATGATGAGGAGTTTCTCCTGTATGCCACATAACATGGTTCATAAAGTGTTCTTTGCGAGTAAAGCTCTTCTTGCAAATATCACATCGATGTGGAGTCTCACCAGTGTGTTTGCGAACGTGATTTACCATGTGTTCTTTTCGGGTAAATGTCTTCGAACAATATTGGCATCTGAAACACAATCATACCAATCGTTGTTTTCCTTCTATTATTCTTCTAACTAAATTAATTAAAAAATTCTCAAAAATAAAAAAACAATAAAAAATTTGTAATCGTTTAATAATATATATAATTATCAAAAAATGTATTAAACACATTTTTGCCATTTTATATTTATCCTTTAATTTTTTAGAGATTATGCGAGACGTACCTGTATGGTGTCTCGCCGGTGTGACATCTTGTATGGTTGTCCAAATGTTCTTTGCGTGCAAAACTCTTACCACAGACTGTACAATTGTAAGGTTTGTCAGTGGCGTGTCTCTTCATATGACGTTCCAGCGAAGGTGCATTCGCAAAAACGTGAAAGCAAACTGTGCAAGTGAACATGGATCCACCCAGATGACACTTGCCGTGACGTGTCAAATCATTTGCGTTCGAGAACGCTTTACCGCATACCTGAAATTATTAATCGAGTTTAATATCAATTTATAAATTATTTTGAATAAATCGCTACTGCATGCGTAAAAGATTCACTGCACTGTATACCTGACACGTAAACGGTTTCCTCTCGGTGTGATATCTGCGATGCACGATGAGCTGATAACGAAATTGAAAGATCTTGCCGCATATCTCGCAAGCGTGACTGCCAACCGACACGGGTGAAGCGCTTGGACCAGGAGTCGCCTCGCCGTCACTCGATTTTATGTCAAATTTGTTTAGTGGTACCTGTTGCACAATCGGAGTACCATTCTGTATCGTGGTAACTGTCTGCGTAGGAACAGTGCTACCCACTAGAGTCGTTCCAGCCGCGATTTCGCTTTGTAGCTTTCCAAAGACTTCGTGATAAGCTAGGAGTTGGTTAATATCTTCAACGTTCACCTATCGAGTAAAAGAAAATAATTAATTAATTCGCAAACTCTCGATGTACAAACTTTAGTAATTGTTAATACGTTGCTTTTCGCACCTTGTACATATTTTGTACCATTTCGACGCCGAGAGTTTTCGCCAAATCCTGCTCGTTTCCCGCGCTGATTTTCACAACCGATCCATCTGCCGTTCTCACATCCATCATGTGGCCTCCTGGTTTCAAATCAGGGACTTGGAATCTGCAAACGGCAAAACTGTTATCTATCTCAACATTAACGATTAAAAATAAAATGTCTTTGTGTACATACTGGGTCATATTCAGCTGCCGCAATTCCTTTTCTTTCTCCGGCTTCTCAGAATTGTTCTGACTTCCCCCTTCGGTAGTGGAATTCCCGCTGATGTTGACCCCGATTTGCGACTGCTGCTGCTGCTGCTGCTGTTGCTGCTGCTGCTGTTGCATCAAGCTCTGTTGAAGATCTTGTGGAGGTTGTAATTGCAGATCACATTGAACTTGACAGTGAACCTGATTGTCGCTGCAGCGCTCGGTGGTGCAGCTCCCGCCCTCGTCCTTGACTTTGTTGTCGTCTCGCTGAGTGTTTTGGCTGTGCCCTGTCGGTCCGTTGTTCTGAGCGTTCTGATGATTTGGCATCTGATGATGAGACTGTTGTTGTTGCTGCGGCGCCTGTGCTTGCTGCTGTTGCTGCTGCTGGTGCAGCTGTTGCTGTGCCTGTGCCTGCATTTGTTGTTGCATTTGTGCATGCGCAGCCTGCAGGTGACTAACGCTCGCCGGTAAATGCGCGCCGTCTAAATTAAGGCCGGGAAGAGATACAGGAATCTAAAAACAAAATACACGCGAAATGTATTATTATGATTATTATTAAATATATTTTTGCTTAATTAATAAAGAAACAAAAGCTTCAAACAAATAGCTTATTTACATAGGATTATAATCGTACGAGCTTTTGTTGCTATTCGAGCATTCTTGGATGATTTGTAACAATGTATCAAATAGTTGACGAATATAATCTGTGGGTACACAAGATTGCGCAGCATAACAAGAGTGATAACTGATATTTAGAGAATAGTTTTTATACAACAGCGACAAGATAAAGTTTTTTTGCAAAAATTACAGCTGTGTGGTTGAAATGTTACAAGTTCCAATATTGAAGCATTTATGAAATATAATTTGAAAAATATATCGGCTGTCATCGCTAAATCTGCCGCCTACTCACACGCATTTCCGTAAAAGATTGCGCGTAACTGCTGCAAAAGCATAATTGTAATCGCTGCTCGAGAATCCGAATAAGCCGCACCCCAATTTTGAAGTTGTGTTACACAAAACACGTGCTACTACACAATAACAAACCTGCGGATTCGACTGCAGGGAACTGTGATGGCTGCTGCTGCTAACCGATGGCTGATGATGATGATGCGCGGCTGTAGACTGTTGCTGATGATGCGAGCTGGAAGTCAACGCCATTTCCTGGTTGAGTGAAGAAGCTGATTCTTTGGAGGATGACGCCTCCCCACCGCCACCACTCCTATGCGAGGAGTTGTGGTGGGAATGATAGACCGAGACCTGAGGTAGCGTTCCAGGAAGCAATCCGTGAAGATTGAGGACCCAATACTTAGCTACCGAGGAGGCTAACGCTACGGCAGTACCTACACGCAGGTCCGCGGATGAATGGGGAGTACTCCCTACATTGCCAAGACTCGCGGTCGCAGTAGCCAAACCACCTGGGTATGATGGACGACCACTTTGACCCGCATTTACATCCTACCGATATACATTCAGACATTTGTACAACATTGATAGGGCATGCAGCGGCATGCACCAGGCTGAAGACCAATCGACAAATGCGCCACTTTTCATACGTTTACTTTTGGTGCATCAAATGATTCCACGGATATATATCGCAGATTTATCCAAGGGAGTATTTATACTATCCAAGACACAGTAGTTGGTGTTTCTGTGTTGTTCTGTACGTTGTATATGTACCATGTGTGTACATTGAGAAGAAAACGCTCTATCATACACCTGTCAAGCACCATACAAACCGATCATAAATGGATACTCTGTTTTCAAGCTTGCGTAAGTATATATTGATATATATGCAACCTGTTAAAACCTCGATACATATATATATATATATATATATATATATATATATATATATATATATACTATGGAGATAAGCAAAGTGTTAGAGTTACAAGAGTAGAGAAATCCAAGCATAAGCCATCTTGTATATCGTATACAGTACGCTACAAGCATTTCTACCCTACAAAAACTACAAATTACAATCTAAGTAATATAAAATGCAAAGTAAAAATATATAACAAAACTTGATACCAGTAACAATTGTAAGAATAATATAAATATATAAAAACAAAACGTTGCACGCTGAATCAATTACTATTGAACGATACATATCACGTAAAGCTATATTTAAATAATGTATAAAATTTCTCAAAATTATAAATCCAATTTCAGGCACAATTTGTTAAAGCGAACTAAAAGTGACACAATCCATGACTCAACGAGGCTCATTATACAAATGTCTTAATATATCTAACATCAGCATAGTGCATCTGTGTGATCATCATTTGCGCATTTGTAGTTTGGTGTATAGCCTGCTTCAATCGGAAAGTACCTCACCTCTTGTTGTGCCTGCGTAGTCGCTGGCAATGCATGCTGCTCACTATTCATCTTCGTTTTCACTGAGGGATATTAATTAAACGTGTCTGACATACTTCATTTTTCATCCTGAAAAATTCATTATGTAAAATTAATCTTTGCACAGTCGAATATACAGAAAGGTGCTGACCCACTAAATGGGTTGTGACAAATTGATACGTTAAGCATCCTTATAAGGATTTATTATTCGTTAATTCAAGGAAACAAGAGAGTGCGCGCGCTAATTAAATAACGTAACGCGCGACATATTGAATTCGTCGACGAATTTTTTTTCTCTCCCGCAATATCGATTCACGTAATCGAAAAAAAGAGCGCCCCACCATACCTATCATACGTTATCTCGAATCTATCCCGATTCGCGGCTTCGGTGCTCGAGTGGAACGGCAGAGCTTCGCGGAAATTCTACTACGCAGTCGCGATTAGGGAAATGTGCTATCTCTCGTTCGCTTAACCTCGAAAAGTCCGTCGTGCCACGAAAGCGACGGGGAGCGCACATATAAGTCGTGTGTGCGTAATCGCGTACGCGTAAACAATCGCGTTCGGCTGGCGTGCGAGGGAGCGAGAGTCGCGCGAGAGAGAAAGAGGGAGCGCTCCCGTTCGTGACGAAACTGATGACGATGACGATGACGAGCGAGAAAAAAAATCTCGCGGATGAAACACCATTATTCGACAGATATTGACCTCGCCGGCCTCTTTTTCTACCCGGACTTTCCGCGAGAGGGTGACTCATCCTCGCGATATGGACGCGACGCGACAAAGGTCCGTCGTCCCTTTCGGCCGCGATTAAAATCAAGCGAAATAGATGTATATATATATATATACATATCTATTTCGCTTATTGCGTTATTGTATATATATATATATATATATATATATATATACATATATATATATATATATATACACATTTTATATATATATATATAAAATATATATGTATACACACACATATATATATATACATGACATGTATATATATGTATATATATATATATATATATATTATATATATAATATATATTAAAATTATTATAGTTGGTGGAAAGAGAAAGCGAGAGAAAGAAAAATGAGGAAAAAATAATAGAAAGCGCGAAACTTGAAACAAACGGGATCTTTTAATGGCGCGAGCGGACAAGAGCAGCCGCGAGTAACAGCAGCGTCATCCTCGGGGACGGGACGACGACGACGACGACGACGGGCGTCCGGGTATCCCGATCTCCCGATACCGTTCGGCGCGTCATCGTCGTCGGGCCGGTCGTTTCGCTCGCACGCTCGCTCCTTCGTTCGCGACGACGGAGGCGTTCGCGAGTGCAAGAAGAAGAGACAAGGGGACAAGGGGCTCGACAAGATGGACGTGCTACGCGGATTCGGGGCGAGGGGGAAAAATATGGACGCGCGGTGCGGCGCGGTGCCGCGACTCGCATCTGGCCTTCTTTCCCAGCCGAGGGTGTAGAAGAATAGGAAGAGACAAGTTGAAACTCACGTGGGGCGCGGTGCCGTCGGCGGTTCTCGCATCTCGTTCTCCGTCTCGGCTCCGAGGCCGCCTCCTCCTCGCCTCCTTTGCCGCACGCACACACATATACGGGCGGACGCAACGGGGGAGACGCGCGCGAGTCCCACAGAGGGCGGGAGGGGACTCAGCCCGCTTAGCGCGCACTCTCTCTCTCTCCTTCTTCGCTAGCGCCGAGTGCCGCGCCGCGCCGAGTGCCGCGCCGCGCCGAGCGCCGCGGCTGCTGGGCCGCTCCCGTCGTCTCACCTCGCCATCAACGCCCACAAACAAATCGCCGATAATGGCCACGCGCGCTCGTCCACCGATTCCACGACTGCTGCCCGAGGCGGCCCGGCCGAGCCGGGATGCGGTACGGCCGTTTTCGAGCGCGACGGACGCCGAGTCGCGCGGAATTTTCACGAGAACGTCGGCCGCGGAGCCGCTACGTGCTCGCGGTTGACGGAAAATGCGACGACTGTCATGGCGGCCCCTCGCCCACCCCGCGGGAACTTACGCGCGCGCGCGGGGTCCACCTGAAAAATGTGACGTACGTCACGCCGGGTTTCCGCCCGATTTTTTCCCGCCAAATTGTCCGGCGCGCTCGACCAAGTCGATCCTCGCCCTGTCTCGACTTGAAATATCTATCCGGGTCCTCGCATTTGTTTCGGGAAACGCATCGATTAGCTCGTCTCGTCGTCGGGCCGAGCTGCGCGCGCAGCTATCGATCGCGCGCGCCTCCTCCTCGCCCACTTCCGCTGGCGGGAAACCGCCCGATTTCGAAAGCGAGGGTCTTGTCGCTCCGAATTTTTTTTTTTTTTTTTTTTTTTTTTTATGATACTTGTATATGATGTTCCGATTTTTTTCTTCTTTACAGCAGCTTCGGCGTTTGACAATTCGATATAATTTAAATATAGGAACGATATATTTTAATTCGATCCAAATTAGACGAGAAATTTTATTTTATTTGAATAAAATAAAAATTTATTTTATTTTATACGTTATCTTAAAATAAAAAAAATTATAATATAATTTAATTTAAAATATTATATAATTTAATATAAATATAAATTATAAAATAAAAATTTATTTTATTTTAAATAAAATAAAATTTTCTTGACTAGTTTGGGTCGAATTAAATATATCGTTTCTATTTTAAATATTACTAGCGACGTTTTAAGTATTCAATTTGATTTTAATTTAATTATCTTTGACTCGGAGAGAAAAATGAGAATAATCATGCAATCGTTTTTCAGAATAGAGCGGATAAATTGATCGATCAATCAGCAAGGATTTTTTTTTTTTTTTTTTTTGTGATCAAACGTAACTTGTGACCAACTTAGGAACACAATTCCTAAAGGAAATAACCAATCAAAATCCTTAATTTTTATCCCCAGGATAGAAATGAAGAATTCTGATTGGTGGACTCTTTACACGTTTGTGCATCCTTCCTACACCTCTGCTTGCTCGTCTATATATTTTATATGTCTATGGTTATATCGTGTGATGATTGATACGTCGCGTATTTTTGACAGTTCAGAGTTGCACGAGTTTAATTCAGTTTGATTTATTTTTGAAAATAAGAAGATAACGTATAATTCTAACTGAATGACTGTTGCGGAAGAAATTGCATATTTTGACGGTAATTTTATTCATTAGATATATATTTATATGAAACTTGTCTTAGAAGCACAAAGATGCTAAAATGCATATTCTGAACGATTACTATAAACTGTATAATTCTGTAAATTAATGATATTTTACATTTATAGTATTATTAGAAATTTATACTATTTCACATCCAAGGTTTTTTTAATTTTGAAATTTATTAAATATAATGCATAAAAAAAATAAAATTAATTATAGATACGAAATATTTTTTAAAAAGTTGTAAACAAAAATTTAAACGTTAATTTTAAAAAATCAATACACTATTTGCAAATTCCACTAATATCGACATATAATGCATTATATTTTTATTCCTAACATCGATCATTAATATCATACATTATACATAAATAATCCTTAAAAGATATTTTTTTTAAAGGAAGACTAAAGTACAAGAAGGTAGTAAAACTGAAAAAGATTTGATTTACAGAAATATATATTATATATATATATGTATATATATACATATACACATATACATGATACCTTCCTATATTTGATATTAAAATAATATAATCACTATTTACAATCAATTTGTACAAGTGGTCAGTTTGACCATATATATTAGATTGTTTGGAAAATAATGCAGGTTTCTACATAATATCTATATAAAACCTGCTGCAAACAACCAATTTTCAAACAACTAATATATATATATATATATATATTACGGTGTGATACTCAAATGTACCTGTGGTGTATGCGTACTTATGTATGCATTTGTATAAATAAAATTGTGGCTGTATAAAATTCATTTTTTTCTCCACTTTGCTATTAAGTTTACATTGCCATAATAACGCGCGGAAAATATAATTCTCTTGAAATTTAGTGTATATAATGAGTATTATATAGCATGCATTATTGCAAATATAGTAATCGGTTTCACTCTCGTGTCAGTGAAACTTCACTGATAATTACGTATACAAATATTTGCATAATTATAAAATTGTCCCCCCCAAAAAAACAAATTAGAATTAAATAAGTATATAGTAGAAATATAAACATAAAAGTCACAGAGATGCAATTTGAGACTTGCAATGTGAAGAAACAAAAACGTTGACTAGTGTACTATATAATATACAATAATCGTTATTAGACATATACAATGCAAAGGAGTTAAATAAAGACCGATATTTATACAAGATTTTCACAATTTTTTGGTATCATTGTGATTTTTTCTATTGCACACATTGTACGCGGATATGTTTAAATCGAAGGCGTCGTTCGCAAAATGACACAATGTTTAGGATATAGATACAGTTTCAAAAAGACAGAACAAAATTTGTTCAAAATGTATCATCGATGTTTAACATTTCGCGCTAGATCATCCTAAAAAAGATAATCAAGAATTCGATTTTACATACTATTGATTCATTTTTACATTGATTAATGACAATTGATTAATTTTTCCCTGATTGATTAATATTCTTGGCAATGTTTGTCGGTGTTTTAACGTTGATCATTAATAATTTATTACAAATATTTTCCAGTGCCTTATTCGTGTATAATTATGTTTTAACACAAATAAATAGATTTCTTAAAGTATTAAATCGTTAAAAAATATTGCTTGCGATACATTGACGCAATATATTTTAAATAATCAAAAGCTACCATGTTGCTATAATTAAACCACGAATAAAACATTGGCAAATATGGAACATCAAAGTTATCGAAAAATATTGTTAACAAGACCAATTGTCTAAAATACTTTGGCGATACATTCAAGAAACCCTAATTTTTTTTTTAAGTCTTATGTTTGGAGATATGTATCAGTCGATATTACAATTCCGTGGTGATCTCGTCTTGCGGCCGAAAGCCAAGAATCGTAAAGTCATCGATGAGATAGTCGCGAGTAGGTGACCAATCCGTTAGGATGGTGTAATTGGCCGCTTCCACGGGACTGCCTTGAAATTTCCATTGGGGATTTAGGTCGCGATCTAGGCCGTCGTTCATTTCGCGCTCGTCGCGTAATGTATGGACGTTGTTAATTTCCGAAGACAACGTGTCGCCGTTATAGTTGCGACCAAACGCGGAAATTGTCTGGAGTTCTTGAAGGTGCGAGTCACTCGTCATCCTCGTTCCACCGCGCTTCTGATTGCTTCCATAGACCAGGGGAGTCATCTGGCCGATCGTCGAGCCATTTGGACTGAGCTTCTCGCCGTTATAAGCGCTGTTTTGTCCTAGACTCGAGCCGAGCGGACTGCTGTCCTTTGCATAACCGAGACTCGAGCTCGCAGGACTAATACTCGACTTGTCACTCGCTTGAAACGTCGCGAGCGGCACATTCGCTTGGAATGTTGTGAGATTGCTGTGAGTGCTTCTAGGTTCGTATATGGGTTGACGAGCCGGTGGTTGCGATGACGCCGTGACTGGTTGCGGCGATAGTGACGACGTCATTTGTACGGGGTTGCTCGTCGGCTGCTGGAGAAACGTCACGAGCTGAGCCACCTTAAAGTTGTTAGAAAAAATATATAAATGTATGAAACGGAAATATATTCACGGATATTGCTTGTGCATGTAAAAGAAAACAATTTACTCGATCGGACCGCTGTTTAAAGGGAAGGGCTTTACATGAGTAACTATCGCCTAATGTATGCTTTTTGCGTACAGCTGGGTATATATGTGACTCACCAAAGTGCTTTAGGGACTGGCGTGAAAAAGAATTGAAAGTGTAAGATAACATCGATAGCACTCGTTTGTGGTTTTTATTCGACGTATAGAAAATATTCGGGCGGAAATTGAATCTTACTTCTGGGGAACTGTGCCTCTTGTATCTTTTCAACAGCCGTTCTGCCCATGAAAACAGTCGTTGCCAATCGTCGGGCGGAAGTGGAATCTCGTCGTCTCTTCTATTCACGAGGACCAGTATCCTCGCCAGGTCACGCAACACTGGTCTGTAATAAATCAATAATAGATTAATAAGAATGTACACAAGAACATATCACGCGCATGTGTATGCAATTATTTATTAAAAAATATTAAATAAAAATAATGTTTTGTTTAAAAATATATTTTCTATATTTTATTAAATTAATTCGATATATTTATAATAATATATTTCAATATAGTTAATTAATAACATCAGAGCTTTTCAGAAAACATGTTGAGTCTCTCCAATATTAAAAAAAAAATTAATTTTTACCGGAATAAATGTTTTTCTCATATCATTCGAGTGATATCTCGTTCGAAAAGTACTTGGACTGTTTTGTGGTTTTCTCCATGCCGTATTTATACCTGTACGCTTGGATTCCAACGGCACCGTCTCCATTACTTCCCGAATAGTACAACTCTCTGACTTGTCTTCTAGTGTCGTTGAGCATCGCGAGGAAGGTATGAGCATCTCCACGGAGTGTCGCCAGATGTTTCAGAAATTCTCTTCTCTCAGCGCTGAAATGTGCAAATAGAAGCATTTAAAGCATGAACCTCTGTGGTGCAAACGGTACTAATTGTAAATGAAGAGAGTAAAGCGAAAATGAACCTGTCCTCGAACTGCTGCGCCAGCTTGGCCGCCTTCTTCTTACGCCGGTGCACGACTATCGCGCCGCAGACGATGATGAAGATGCAGATGGTCGCGCCGGAAATCACCCCTACTAAAATCGCGACCTGGCTACCGGTGAGGCCAAACATATAGCCAGTCTCCCGACAGATGCGGCCCATATACTCGTCTCGGGTGGACCAGTCGGCGACAAAGCCCGGTGGGCAGGTATGCACGCAGGTACCTTGATGTAACAGCACGGCACATCTGGCGCACGTTCCGTCCCTGCATCTCCTGCATCCTGTCTCGGACTCGAAGCATTCTCTCGCGGCTGAAACATAGGCAAAAATTGTTAAAATATGCTTTCCATATAGGTATTCATATTTTATTAAATTAATTCAATATATTTTATTAATTAAATTAATTGATTTTATAATAATATATTTCAATATATATTTTATCAGTAAAAGCTTTTCAGAAAACACGTTTAATCTCTCGAATATTTTATTTTAAAAATGTCGAATTAATTTTTGCAAAAATAAATTTTCTAATATACCATTCGAGTGATATTTCATTGGAAAAGGATTTGGGCTGTTTTCCCGTTGCCGTTATTATATCTATACGCATTATTTGCATCGGATCCTGAGCTTAATATATTATCAAACATTTACATTTTAATCCTTATTCAAGCGTATCATATCAATATTATGGTTATTGTTACAATTAAAACTTTTTTTAAGATAATGAAACATTTTTATATCGTTAGTTTTTTTAATAATATATCGCAGTTACGTTTTATTATCGATTTAAGAGAGAAATAAAATAATTATGAGAGAAATTATAAAAGTTGCAGTCCTTCTAAAGGACTTGCGCAAAGTTCTAACAATAAGAATTAAAACCAACTTGGATCTTCATCCTTTCAGGAATTCGAACACGTAATTGAAATCCCACGCGTCGCATTTCTCTTAACAAATTTCTTTAGAATTCTCTTAAGAAAAATTATAAAATATATTTGAATAAAATAAAAAAAATATATAGTTTAAAAATAGAACAAGTTTTAAAAAAATATCAATATTTTGCAAAGAATAGGTGCTGCTAAAGTTGTATGGCATTTTTGAAAGACTGGAATTTGAAGATTGAAAATTGGCAGACACGAGTCTGCTTTTATTAAACTTTTCAGAGTTCTTGTCGATGTTAACGTCAAACTTGGACCGAAAACTTTTACGGCATAAACTGGAAGTTTTATTCTCTAAGATTCGCTTCCAGAGTAAAAGTGTCTGCGCAGTGTAAGTTGATGATAGTGACTTTTAATATAAATCTACTTGCAGGCAAACTTTCATCTGGAAGCGATTCCTATTAGGCAATATTTTCGAGCGTACAGCCTTCGAGGAAAGGTCACTGTACTCGTGTAACTTTAACCTAAATGAACCTGAAACTCTCTTTCGCGATAGGTCATCGTCGGACGGAAAAGTTTCGTGTCGTGTAGCGGTCGTCGACGAGTCTAACATCCTCGTTTGCGAGTCTGTTACTGCGGTTGATGTATACATATATGTATGTACATGCACGATGTGTAAGACACGAATACAGAAACCGGTGAAATGTGAGCGGTGTATAGCGCCTATTCGTTTGGCAAGTGTGCTTTACACTGTCATTTCCTATCTCCTCTACGCGTGACCTTGCTATTTCCACTGCTGTAACACCTTCTCACGTTCCTGTAAGTATATGTTGCAGTTACTTGCAAGTGTAAGGCAAATTAAATATAGAAGCTGGTCTCAGACCAGCGAATCCTTTTTTTATCTATGAATTCTAATTGGTTTGGAGTGGATCTTCAGTTTTCAGTCAACAAGTTTATCGATTGGATATTCAAATTGTAGCTTTGCAGGAACATCACTGTACATTATTTGAACAATTGTAGAAATCATGATTAATGTAATATACAGTGATTCCTCAAGATCGAAATATTTCACGTGGGAACTTATGAATTCTGATTGGAGTGGATCTTCAGTTTTCAATCAACAAGTTTATTGATTGGATATTCAAATTGAGGCTTTGCAAGAGTATCACTATACATTATTTGAACAATTGCAGAAATCATCATTAATGTAACAGTGATTCCTCAAGATCGAAATTTCACGTGAGGACCAGGACTTATGAATTCTAATTGGTTTGGAGTGGATCTTCAGTTTTCAGTCAACAAGTTTATTGATTGGATATTCAAATTGAAGCTTTGCAGGAATATCACTGTACATTATTTGAACAATTGCAGAAATCATGATTAATGTAATATACAGTGATTCCTCAAGATCGAAATATTTCACGTGAGGACCAGGACTTTTTGTAAAAAATAAATTGTTTTATCTATAGAGAGTGCAGTTAGATACCGATACTCGTATATGTTATGTGTGTCAAGCATTTGGGCCACTGCTTCGGGGCAACGGATCGTTAACCGCGGTAAGAATTCGATTCACACATTGCTTACCTCGTTCCTGCGGTATTTCGTCGCAGGATTACATACATTATTTTACAATGCTCTCTTTATTGCATTTCTCGTTTGATACTCTGGAATTTTGCCGAGCACCGCGCGTTTGTTGCGGTAAACGTTAGACTCTCTGTCGAGTATTCTTACGCTATTGCGTTTATTTATTTTTTTTTATATTTACAGCTTTCTTTTTTAAAATACTATTAAAGTTCCTGGATCCTCGCCGCAGCCATGTTGAATTGTGACGTCAGAAACGAGAAAGCACACCCTGAAAATTCTTAGATGCCGTTTTTATTCGGATGGCTTTAGGACACTTTTAAAATACCTCGAAAACTATGCTTTTCCTTTGACAGTCAGTCAAGAACCGTAAAATAATTATAATATCAGACTTTGTCATGCGGAATGATTATGCGTGTGCAGAGAACAGACGAACACTGGGCCTTATATTACAGTCACTTTACAACTATTGATTGATTATAAAGGGAAAAAGATAGTTTTCGAGGTATTTTAAGAGTGTGCAAAAGCCATCGAAATATCTTTTTATTTCGAAATGGCATCTAAAAATTTTTCGCGCATATTTTTGCTGACGTCACAATTGTCACATGGTTATAGCGAGGAGCCATTTTGTTAACACGTCTTGTTACATCCATTTTACGGTATATTTTCCTCTCCTTTCTTCCTAGTATACTTTTCCTTTGACAGTCAATTAAGAACCGTAAAATAATGATAATATCAGACTTTGTCATGCGGAATGACTATACGCATGTGCAAAGAGCAGACGAATTATTATATAGGCCTCATATTACAGTCACTTTACTATTGATTGATTATAAAGGGAAAAAGATAGTTTTCGAGGTATTTTAAGAGTGTGCAAAAGCCATCGAAATATCTTTTGATTTCGAAATGGCATCTAAAAATTTTTCGCGCCTATTTTTTCTGACGTCACAATTGTCACGTGGTCATAGCGAGGAACCATTTTGTTAACACGTCTTGTTATATCCATTCTACGATATATTTTCCTCTTCTTTCTTCCTAGTTCTCTTTTTTCCTGCTCTCGATCAGATGGACACCGCTCGGGGTCATCAGGCAATAGAGCTGAACGGACGCGCGCGAGAAAATTGAAAGACCTCGTGCGGAGAAGGAGAGGGAAATCCGAGGGATTGAAGCCTTCGGTCCATTAGTACGTGTATGAGGAATGCGGTTGCTAGTTTCTCGATTATGTGGGTCTATAAACGCGCTCTTTCTCTCTCTCTTTCTCTCTGTGCGCAGCCGGTCACATACATTCTCCAAGTTGAGAACACTAGGTCGGGCCCAAGGCGCGAGTCCCCTTCTCCAGTGTTATTCTATGCTGAACCCCTAGGGGGTCGCCTATTTATTTTACCACCGACATCCTTCGATAGGAAACTTCTGCGAGAAAGAGAGGAAATGGGACGCGCGCGATTCCTCCTTCGAGATTTCTACGGTTTTTTCCGTCCGCGACAAAATGGTTCGACTCTTGGAAAATATGCAATTTATTCGAGAAGTATATTTAGAGAGCAACAAAGAATGTTTCGTGCGATTATATTGTCGAAAGTTATATTGGATGACTATATATTGTTATTCGAGATAATAATGATTGATTTACATCTTTCGCATTATCGATCATTTAATTCTTATTTAATGGAGTTTTGCATATACATCTAAAAAAAGAGTAGTTTTCAAAGCATGTTAAATAATATAGCAGAAAAAAAAATTGGATAATTACATTATTCGAGGTATAAATAGATAAACATATTGAAAGACCAAACGTAGCTTTAATAATAGGAATATAACATGTGCGTAATAATTGTATCATAAAAATTAATTTACTTTCTTATTACAATTTCAAATTTATATTATAATTTATCGCGTTATTTAAATTCTCATATAATTTTTAAATCTCCATTAATAAACAACTTTTCATGATGTTTATCTAAGCATCAGGTAACTTGGTAGATTCACCGAGTTGAGTTTTAATTAGATAATTAAAGGTCGAGGAGAGAAGTCACACACACATATATCGCTTCTACACGATTTGCTCGATCAAATTGGCGCGTAGAATTTTCTATCATCCTCTTGATTATTTTTCTGATCGTTTTATTCATCGTTTACTTAGATATTTTTCTCAGATAAACTTGTAGAGTTTAATATCGGAAATTCTATTAAAATATTGGACTGTTATTAGTTTCGCAATTGTGGGACAAATATCGTCTTATTTATAAAGAAACTTGGACGTTTATATAGCAGCGAGCATCGACAGGTTCTCTGTCTTTTTCTGTCTTAATCTGTCTCTCTTTTCGTTATTAACTAATGTATTTAAGTAGTCTACTGCTGACGCTTCTACTGAATAACTGGAATATCTACAGCAATGTTAAGTGTTACCTCGAAATATACGTATAATTATGTATGCCGACTTTATCTTTCAGTATTTCATAATTTAACTTACTTTCTACGCAGCTGAGAGATAAATAATTCCTATTTTTAAAACGTGCAATTTTGTGTAAATTAATAGGAAAACACGTAAAAAATAGAATATTACACAATAATGCATTGCAGCTAACATTAAAATAACATACATATATCAATCCTACATTATTTATTACACTGAACAAAATTTATCGAATTCAAATAAATATTTATTTCAATACTGCCTTATAAATCATTTATTTGATGTGAAAAATATTTATTTAATATAATGCTTTTCAAAACAAATATTTGTCGCAAATAAATGATTTATAAAGAAGCAGTACTCAAATAAATATTTATTAATTTAATAATTTTTTTCAGTGCACGTAAAATAAAAAGTTTAAATCTTTGCGATTGTGTGAATTTAA